ACGAAAAGCACTCAAAACATTGTTATTTTGGACAAACAGTGGGGTCTCGTGTCCAGTGAAGTCTAGTGAAAATGCTTCTATTTCTTATTTAATCCAGATTTTCATTACACATTATATCATCAGCGTAACAATTTGAATGAACAGTAGAATTTTAACATGAATTTCAGAATTTCTTAGTGTTTGTCCCCCTTTTGACATAATGGCAGTCTGATCACTAAAGCCCAATCCAATTTCTTATTTTTACCCCTACACCTTGTTTTCGAGTGTCCCCTTGCCCCTTGGAATTGAGTTACAAGGGGTAGTGGTTGAAATCTTTGCCTACGAAATGGGTCCCTCAAATAAAAAAGAACATTACTTCATTAACAGCTACTAGCGCTGCTCTGTAGGCACCGTTAGTAACTGCTGCACCATTTGGAACAGGAACAGGAAACAGGAAATTTAGGTAGCTAGCTACCGAGATATCAGCTACTACTAGTGATTTTTATGCTTGTTATGAAGAAAAGGACCATAACACATTGAAAAGACATTACCTGAATATAATGTAACGGTTATCATGATTGTTCAACAGAAAATTCTCACATTTGTGGGTTTCTTGGGTCTCTTGTGCTCCATCTTGCCGGTTTTTCTTTTTTTCTCATATCACTCTGTTTGGAGTCTGAAAAACTTCCGTTTAGAGGGCCATGTAGCCCCTAACACTTCGTTATAATGCTTAAATTTGAATAGTGAATAGGAAATAGTGCCAAATCCTGAATACGTCTTCTTTCTTTTACTCATCACAACTTCTCTTTTTTTTTTAAATTGCCAATATTCTAAACCTTTCTGCTGTTTATTTTCAGCTTTAAATGAAAACATTTTCAGATTTTCAAAGCAGTCTCAGACTTTTGGACCTCAGCGTATTATCAGAAGGACCGGCCCACAAAAAAATGGTATCTTGTCAAGTGAAATGATCTTAAATCTAGTCGATATATGTCTAATATTTCTCATTTTGAGATAGTCGTGCACTTAGAGTAAGATTATCTACCTTAGTTTTAGACATTTTTCATTTTTTTTAAACTTTATTAAAAAAATTATTTAAAATTTTAATTAAAATTATCTCACTATACTAGCAGATAATTTTGCTCGTTTCTTAAAAAGATAATTTTACTTGAGTAAAAAGTAAAAAATGTCTGTAAATAAGGTAAATAATCTTAAATTAAGCTTACAACAATCTCAACAGGAGAAATATTAGATTTATTGTCTATATTTAAGATAATTTTACTTGAGAAAATATCAGTTTTTGCAGTGTGAACACATTTCTATAGAAATTTGCAGTCAACCAGAGCCTGACGTATAACTAGAAATGATGTCCACGCTCAATGTGAGCAGCCGGGTCAACTGTTTTCAGGCTCCAACAGTGCATCTGACAGATTACTAGCAAGGCTGGATATGCAATCGATTTTCAAGCACACCTTATGTCCTCCAGCTCAGTAAGCTAAAGTGGGTCAGGTCCATAGTGGAGAATTGGGTCCATCAAGTCCTGTTTAAAATATGTATGTGTGAAGTTTATTAATTGGTTCTGTTATTGTAAGCTCTCTGTTTACCGGTCGGTCAACATACTGACCCTCACCTATGGTCATGAACTTTGCGTAATGACTGAAAGAATGAGATCGCATTCTTTCAGTCAGAGTAGAGCCACTACTCCTCCGCATTGAGAGGAGCCAGCTGAGGTGGTTCGGGCATCTGATCAGGATGTCCCCTCCCGACACCTCCCGATGGGGGTTTACCAGGCACGGCCTACTGGGATGAGACCCCAGGGTCGTCTTAGGACCTGCTATAGGGATTATATCTCCAACTTGGCCTCAGAGCGGCTTGGCGTCCCCCAGAATGAGCTGGAGGAAGTTGCGGGGGACAGGGCCATCTGAGATTCTCTGCTCTCCCAACTGCTACCGCAACCTTATCTGGACTAACCGGTTAAAGATGATGATGATGATGATGATGATGATTATATTTAATCTTTTCTACTGTGCATTTTTCTTAACTAACCATAGATCAGACTGATTATATAAAGGGGAGTGGTTAAAGTGACGCATCAGAAATACATTACATGGCTCATGAAAGACAACAGAAGAATGGTAATTTGCATAATATCAGCACATATTTAAATTATTGCAATATTCAACAGTGTTAATGATCAAAGCTGCCTGTCAGAGCTTGTCATTACTTTCAATGAGAGTAATGCATCGATGGACACCAACTCACAGCAATCTGTTCAGTGCCTTCCAGGCTGGCGTTTTCCAGATTGCCCTGTGTACAACTTGTCAGTTTTGGTGTGCTGCACGACAAACAATGGCTGCCCAGGGTGCTTCAGTCTGGTGATGGACATCGCACGGCCAGTTTGGGCTTTTAAAGGCTTTTTCTTAGATTAATATTATTGTACACTCTCAGAGAAAAGGTAGTAAACTGTCACTGGGGTGGTTCCCTCAAAACTCCAGCAGCACTGCTGTGTCTGATCCACTCAGACCAGCGCAACACACACTAACACACCACCACCACATCAGTGTTACTGCAGTGCTGAGAATGACCCACCACTCAAATAATACCTGCTCTGTGGGGGTCCTGACCATTGAAGAACAGGGTAACACAGAAACAGATGGACTACAGTCTGTAACTGTAGAACTACAAAGTGAGGCTATATGGTTTAAAACAAGGAGGTGGTTTTATTGTTATGGTTGATTGGTGTAAGTCAATCAGGTCAGACTTTGACAGTGTGCTTAGCTCTGCTGTAATTCTGCATTAAATTGAAATGTTTCCATATCTTAAATGTAAAAATTTGCTTGTTTTCAAGCTGACTAGCCAAGATAGCCACCAACCACCAATGCGTCTATTGCCAGATACCAAAATGTTATGGTACATATGGCTGAAAAACATTTGAAATGGCAAGAAAGGGTCACTTTTGGCTCATAAAGAACCACATGCATCAACAGGTGCCCATTTGGAAGTTGTTTTTGTGGTCTTCCTTTCTTCACCACCTTAATTACTTTAGGAGCTCAGATTCAATTGTCGGCTGAAGATGTGTTTCCTCTGTAAGAACCGGTCCCGGGCGTGCCTTTGAAGTGCATCAAAGTGTGGACACAGGTGACCACTGTTTGCTGATCCAATAGTCTCATTGCATTCATCCTGCAGAGCCTGAGAAGCTTCATAGGATGAGGGCTGTGGATTGATGCTGACAGAGTAATGCAATTAGCACTGTTTAGCTGACCTCACTGCTGACTCTTCAACCAGCTGTAATATGAAATATACATTGTCCCCTGAACACTCTGGGCCTTTATTTGACCATCTGTTGTTGACCATGCCTTCAGAATTATTGGTACTCTTGGTAAAGGCGAGCAAAAAGACTGTGAAAATATCTGGCTGGAAACCTGAGAGAACGTTAACCTCAAAGACAGGTTTCATAATTATTGGTACCCCAAACCAAAGTCTGAGGCTACGTTCACATTACAAGCCTCGTTGCTCAAATCCGATTTTTTGCTCAAATCCGATCTCTCTGACACGATGGTTCACACTCATTTAGGTAAGTGATTCAAATCTGTCATTAATGTGACGAACCGGCGTCCTGAAATGACCCTCATGAGCTCATCCTACTCAGTAACGTCACGTGAATGAATCACGTTCATCATCAGCACAAACTAACGAGCAGAACGAGCTTCGCTGAGAAGATCATTAACTCTGATCAGCTCTCAGCTTCATTATTAGAGCGAGACGAAGGAGAAAAAGGTGAGATGAGCTGCTTTTCCACCGTTTACAGGCTTTAACTTCTATTTGGCGCTGCTGCCATGGTAACGCTGAATGATGGCGCACGCGCAGTGGAAAAAAAGCACATGAATTCCGATCTGAGCGTTCACATTATGGTCACATGGCCATGAATCGGATACGCGTCCGATCTAGGACCACATATAAAAGGCTACATTCACATTACCATGTTGAAGTTTTGCCCGAATGTGACTCAGATCTGATGTTTTCAGGGCTGTGTGGACACACAAATCTGATCTTTTCAAATCCGACCTGAGCCACTTTCATATGTGGTCCTAGATCGGATAAAATAAAATGAGCTAAAATAAGTGAAAAATGCCTGGAAATAAGCTAAATATTCTTATAATAAGTGCACAATCATCTTAAAAATGGGAAATATTAGATATATCGACTAGATTTAAGAGCATTTCGATTGACCAGATGTCTTTTTTTGCAGTGCAATTTTTTAACAGAAAAAGTTAAAAGCCATGGCATTTTTTTGGAATTGTAAGCCAATTTTAGTAAATGATATTGGCTCATCAAAAAGGGCTGTAATAAGTAGCGACAGTTCAGGTAAATATTTGTTTTTTGAGTGTAGTCGATGGCTATTGACCATACGAACTGTACAAACAGTAATTTTGCTTGTTGACATTACTTGTTTATTTTCAATGCTGTTTATAAACAAACACCAGCTGTTTATTAAAGTGAACAATAAAAATGGCCTGTTTACTGACTTGCTCTGTCTCAAACAAGTGGGTGCTTTAATATGGGCTAATTGCATAAGTAGAGATATAAGGGGTCCAATAACATTGTTTGGGTCCCCGGTCACCACAAAACCCCTTTGCTAAGTGGCCAATCGCACTGCCCCCTATGATCCTCTGCTGATAGTTATACTGCTGGATCCTGTACTGGTCAAGCTGGTCATGATGGATGTTCCACTGAACGTTTCTGAGGGATCTGAGACGTGTGAACAGCTGCACTGAGCTTTTGAAGCGTGCTTGTGGCCCGAGCTGAGTGTTGCATCATGAGATTAATGGATGGGGGGGGGTGGGATGAATGGGGGCTGAAGGAGGTGGAGAAACAGGGAGGAAAAGCCGGTGCCTGGCGCTCAGGTGGGTGACAAATAGTGCAGATGGGCTACAGATGGGCTACAGTCTGTAACCGCAATTGTACGGCTATACAGTGACTTGTCAGGGAGTGGAGACACACGGTAGGTGTTTCTGATAGCGCCGATGGTGAGCGTAGCGCGTGCCACGTCTGCAGGTGAGCGCACGATGCTCGCGGCCAATGAGCGCTTCGTGGTGTCCCAGGCGGCGCTGTGCGGGATCCCCATCAGTGGAACGGAGCTGCTCGCGCTGCACGCGCAGTCGGAGGAGGACGGGGAGAGCGCGCAGGGTCACGCACAGCGGCACACGCACCACACGTGAGTAGAGCTGGATGCTGCAGAACATGCACGTTTGCTATAATTGATTGTCAAATATAATGCAGTATTTATTGAATAGGTTATGCAATATTTGACTAATTATGACAGATACACTCTGAAGTGTGTAATGGTCAGAGGTGGACAGGGAAAAAATAGTTATTTCTGTAAAAAAAACAGAAGTAGAGGTAAAATTACCTTTCCGAAAAAAAGCAAGTAACAACTCAACCTACTTAAGTACTGAGTAACCTACAGGACAAGTTCTCAATCCATCCAGCATCCATCAGCTGAGAAAGAAAAAGTTTGTTTGGCTCTGTTTTTCACTTTTTAAGTCTTTTTGTCTATAAAATGCTGACGTTGTAATCAAAAACAAAGCAGTCCAGATGCTGAAACAATAAAACAGAATGTAATTAAACCCAAAAAGCAAGCAGAGGACCTCTGAAATGGCACTGGGCACTTATCAAAAGTGCACTTACCAAGAGTTCATTAGTAAAGCTAATAGTTCTATTTAGAACTTTTTCATGCTTAAAATGTTCTATATAGCACCAAAAAGGTTCTTCCTTTTTACTTGTTGACATCATCATGAAAGCAGAACCCTTTTTGGTGCTAAATAGAACAAAGAACATTTTGGTGCTATATAGAACCATTTCGCTGTTGTCAGTATAAAACCTTGTATCTCCAAAATGGTAACTTTACAGGGGAAGGAAAAAACCTACTTTACTCTTAATGTAAGTCAATGGAACCAGACTTTTTTCCAAGTCATTTTGGGCTGTTTCTTTTGGTCCATTCATCATGAAATTTTGACTTAATATAAAGGGCAGCAGGCATTTTCAAATAATGTCAAAAACTGAAAAACGACAAAAAAGGAGATAGAAGGTTTTGTTCCGACAGCAGTGATATACAACGTCAACCTGAAGAACCGTTTCTCCATGCAAAGAAGTATTTAAGCATGAAATGGTTCTATGCAAAGTGAAGGTCAGTGGTACATCAAACCATTGACCTTGACTTTGTTTGGCTTATGAACGACTTTGTTTACATATTAAAGATTATACAATGCAGAAATTTGAAAAATTAGTGGAATTCCCCTTTAATCTCTGAAATTAGATGGAAAGGAAAATAGGCGGCCTACATGTCAGGGATGAGCCGGGACCAATATACAAAAATGTATATCACTGAATATTTAACATTTCTGACAGTTTTGATATTTATCACTGTAGTTTTTTTAAATAAACCATTTTCGATGCTTAAGTAAACCTATTATTGGAGGTTAACTGTAGATTAATCACTAGCTTACTTATTATGAACCAACATAAGTCCAAATTTGTAAAACTATTAGGTTTACTTGTACACAGATCAGGCATAACATTATGACCACCTCCTTGTTTCTACACTCATTGTCCATTTTATCAGCTCCACTTACTATATAGGTGCACTTTGTAGTTCTACAGTTACAGACTGTAGTCCATCTGTTTCTCTGCATACTTTGTTAGCCCCCTTTTACCCTGTTCTTCAGTGTTCAGGACCCCCATGGACCCTCAGAGAGCAGGTACTATTTGGGTGGTGGATCATTCTCAGCACTGCAGTAACACTGACGTGGTGGTGGTGTGTTAGTGTGTGTTGCGCTGGTCTGAGTGGATCAGACACAGCAGTGCTGCTGGAGTTTCTAAACACCTCAGTGTCGCTGCTGGACTGAGAATAGTCCACCAACCAAAAATATCCAGCCAGCAGCGTCCTGTGGGCAGCGTCCTGTGACCACTGATGAAGGACTAGAGTATGACCAACACAAGCTGTGCAGCAGCAGATGAGCTATCGTCTCTGACTTTACATCTACAAGGTGGACTGACAAGGTAGGAGAGTCTAATAGAGTGGACAGTAAGTGGACACAGTGTTTAAAAACTCCAGCAGCACTGCTGTGTCTGATCCACTCAGTACCAGCACAACACACACTGAGAATGATCCACCACTCCAATAGTACCTGCTCTGTGAGGGTCCATGGGGGTCCTGACCACTGAAGAACAGGGTAAAAGGGGGCTAACAAAGTATCAGAGAAAAAGATGGACTACAGTCTGTAACTGTAGAACTACAAAGTGCACCTATATAGTAAGTGGAGCTGATAAAATGGACAATGAGCGTAGAAACAAGGAGGTGGTCATAATGTTATGCCTGATCAGTGTATATTATTTATTACATATCTTGTTATGTGGTATGTTTACTTGATTAGAAGTACAATTAAAGAGTTTTATTACACAATGCATGTGCAACAGTTTTGGATATATCATATTACTTTGAAAATCAGAAAGTAATTCCTGTAGACAAAGAAGAAATAAATGAATGAAGTGATGGGGGAAAATATAGTTTATATAATCTAGCAAAGACAAAAGAAAACAAAAACATTATACCTGAATATCAAATATACAGTGAATCTATGTGTGAATTAGATAAATGTTTGCTCTGCTTCATTTGGCCACTTGCTCTCATCCACATCACCCCTAATGTCCACCGTTCAAGATGTCCATTTTCAACAAAATACTTCAGAACTGACCCCCTTTTTAAAGATGGTCAGTGCCCGGGTGGGACTTCAGCTCAGACAGGTTTCTGGCCTATTTAAATACATTCAATCAGTGGTTTATCTCTATCATCATTATAATTATTTGGGCTTTGATTTTCGTCTGATATAATGTTTGTTGTGTTATCAAATTAATATGCAGTTTAGGGGGATTGGAGTTCAGTTGTGTGACAGTGTATACGAGCATCTGCTGTTTGAGCTACTGTAATACTCAGTTTTGCTAAAGGCTGAGACTAAGTGAAAAGAGGAGTATAGATTTTTGGAAATTGTGGTCAGTCAATACATTCTGTATTTAAGCATGGAAAAAAGGGTCGATGGTTCGGCCCAAAGAGAGCACTGTTATGCTAAATGTGTGAGTTTTTAAAAACGACGGCTCTGAAAATGCCATTGTAAAAAGCTGTAGTCATAATATAGCACTGATATTTCTTGTATATGAAAAGTTCACTTTCAAAGACACGTTTATAATGAAAAAAGGCCAATTAAAGTGTCGTTTAATGCATTTTGGAATGAAACCCTTCAGTTCTTTTTAATCATTTCATTATTTAAAAACACTTATCTAGACCAAATTTTTGCTAAAATTGTTCCGTTGGGCAGCTTTTACAATCATTAAACTCCTCAGACGTCTGGTTCCATTCACCACCACTGTGAACAATTCTGACTCTGAAACGTTTCTCCAGAGTGAAGCATCTCACACCAAAACACTCTGGATGACTTTGTGTACATTCTAATTGTTTAATGCTACAGAAATTGGGGAATAATTGGTGGAATTCCTGTTTAAGTAATCTCAAACAGACCTGGTGGTTTCCATGAATAGAGTTCAATTTATGTCCCATTACCTTTCGAAACAGGAACAAAGTAGCTGTTGTTGACTTTTTCATTTGTTTCTGTGAAAAGTGGAGGGACCTGTACTTTAACTTAACTGAAAATTATTAAATGTGAATTATTAAATGTGAAGTACAGGTCCCTCCACAGGTCCCTGACAATTTGTTCTCCCCTAATATTTCCAATGGAATCTGTAAACACTTAAAATGTATGTATCCACCTTTAATATGGTGACACTGAGCTTCTTTATGAATTATGTTCATTAAAATCTTTCAGTAATGCCATAATTACAATACAATTTGAGTTCCAAGTCATTTAATGTTAAAGTAATTCTTTTTTGCTATTAATTTATTTAATTTAACAAAATATGTTATTTTAATCCCACATTTTATGCGCGGCCCTGTAACCCATAAACTACCCCCCTGTAAAAAAAAGGAACATTGCATTAATTATGATATATACAGGAATCTGCATCATCTCGTTGTTTTCTGCAGACTGACCATCGGACAGGTCAGTATTCTTACTCTATTTTCTTAATTTACACGCACAAAACATTGATGTGACCACCTGGGTAAAGCTTGATGATTCATTATTGCCAAAATTATAGTTAGAAAAATAATATATATTTGTATATTTTTGATGTTTTTGTAAACTACATGGTTATTAGTAGTTGTAATGTTAACCACTCCTGAAAGCTGCTTATTTTAGTCTGAATTCACTTTGTTGTTGCCTAATTTTTTAACCTTTGTTTGTTTTAAGTGAAAATGAAATGAAAATAGCTTGAAGATTTTAATGAAAGCATTTTGATTAAATCATTTTTTCCACTTTCCCTTCTGCTCTATGTATATACTTTATACATTTCTTACTGCATTAATATCAACTATATGAGGAATATGATCTATGTGTTCAACTCTGTTACTCCCATTAACCCTGTTATTCAGTCAATTATAGAGATAACAGCTCATATAGTGTCTGATTTGACAGCCTGAGCTGGGAAATTAACATTTTCTGAAGGTTTGAGACATAAAATAAACTCTATTCACAGAAAGTACAACTTTATTATGTGATTTCTATCACTAAATGCACTAAAGTACAGACAAAATACATGATCAGTGTTAGCATTAGCCTATTAGCTCCAGTGCAAAACTAAAAAGGCTAATATGTTTTGGCCAAACTGCTGCTTTCTAGTTGAGACCAGGATCACACTGAGATGATACTGTGCAGAATCGCCTCTTCATTCTCTCTCTGCAGGTTTGAAGCCATGCAGCGGAGGCACACGACCCTGAGAGAGAAGGGCCGCAGGGGTCCGGCCTACATGTTCAGCGAGAGGGGCACCAACCTCACTGCAGAAGAGGAGCGCTTCCTGGACGCTGCGGAATATGGCAACATCCCGGTGGTGCGTAAGATGATGGAAGAGTCCAAGACACTCAATGTCAACTGTGTGGACTACATGGGCCAGAATGCCCTGCAGCTCGCCGTGGGCAACGAGCACCTGGAGGTGACGGAGCTGCTGCTGAAGAAGGAGGGGCTGGCGCGGGTGGGCGACGCCCTGCTGCTGGCCATCAGTAAGGGTTATGTGCGCATCGTGGAGGCCATCCTGGCTCACCCGGAGTTTGAAGGGGGTCTTCGCTTCGCCCACAGTCCTCTTGAGCAGGAGCCGAGGGACGATGACTTCTATGCATACGACGAGGACGGCACACGCTTCTCGCAGGACATCACGCCGGTTATACTGGCCGCACATTGCCAGGTAGGTTCTTGAATAATATACATTATTTGGGAAGTTGACAATTTGTTCTCTCCTAATATTTCCAATGGAATTTGTATTCCATATGTAGCAACAGGGCATGTTAAGGAATGGGATGTAGCAGGCAGCGCTTAGATGCCGTCAGATATTTATCGCAGTCAACGTGTTGGATGCGGGAGAAATGGGCAAGATGGTATTCCATCATTACCCAATGGCAGTGGCCTCTTTCAGGATAATGACCTGCCACACTGCACACATTGCTCAGGAATGCCAGATGTGCGGGATGTGCTTGAACAACAAGTCCAATCCACCATGGTTCCACTTTACAACTTATATGACTTACGGGATCTGCTGCTAACATCTTGGTGCTAGATACCACAGGGCACCTTCAGAGGTCTTGTACAGTCCATGCCTTGGCCTGGTTAGAGCTGCTTTGGTGCACTAACAGCAGGTGGTCATTGGTGCACCAACAGCAGGCTACAATGGGCATGCAAGCGTAGGAACTGGGTATGATAGTGGGATGAAGACAAGCCAGTGGAATGAATGAGGTGCATTGAGGGATGTTCTGGGTCTGGGCATTCATGTGGACATCATGTGGATGTGTGTTTGACACAACCACTTACCTAAGCATCGTTGCAGACCAAGTACACCCCTTCAAATTCCCCAGACCTCAATCCCACACCAACTGTGGGATTTGCTTGAACAGCAAGTCCAATCCACCATGGTTCCACCTCACAAATTATAGGACTTAAGGGATCTGCTGCTAACATATTAGCTGCTAGATCCGCTGCTAGATACCACAGGACAACTTCAGAGGTCTTGTAGAGTCTTGTCTTGGCACAGTTGGAGCTGTTTTGGCACACCAACAGCATATTAAGCTATTAAGGTCATAATGTTTTGGCTCGCCAATGAATATCACAAGATATTGCATCACTTCACACTTTTCTCAGTATTCTGTGGACATCAACTCAAGGCTGTCATGGCCCTCATACTTAAAGAACACTAACCAACTGCCTGTTACATTAAAAAGTGATTTAGAAGAGGCTCCCCATTGGTGTAACTTTTTAAGGCTTTGGCATAAGATGACCAGTTTAAATCCTGGTGATACCACAAGTCGAAGAGACCATGATTATTCTCTTCTATGTTTTCACATCATCCTAAATATCTAGAAAACTAGTAAGAAAATGTGTAAATATAGCATTTTTGATGTAACATAAGCATCAGAAATTCTGTTCCCGTACACAGTAATACATCTATTTTTCTCATGCAGTTCTGCTGGGAAGACTATATTGATTATAAATAACTTATCAAACATATAAAAGGTTTCAGATCTACAAATAAATCTTCAAAGATATACTGTGTCATTACAACACAATAATGTGCAAAGCTACACAATCCTTTTTGTCCAGCATTATCAACAGCAGGATACCCTTCACTATAGTTGACAAACTAAGTCCCCTACATATATGGCCCCTGACTTAGTATCAACTGAGAGACGTAATATGTTTGCATACTTTTAAGCACTAAAATCCATAATACCAGGCAAGCTATTCATATATCTATATCCACGAAATAGTTCATGTCCTCTCCATGACCACATAAAGATATCATGGTTAAAATGTCCCTGTTTAGTGTTATTAGTAATGAAATTTTAATCGATACAGTGAGTCATCTCAAATCTACTTGTAGACTAGACATGTTACCAACCAACTTTTTAAAGGACTTGTTCCACTGAGTATCAGCGGACATACTTCAGATAGTAAACACTTCGCTCATGTTGGCCGTTTCTCCTAACAAATTAGAAACTGCAATTGTGAAGCCTCTCTTAACAAAGAAAAATCTAGAAGCAACTCTATTGAGTAATTACAGATTGATTTCAAATCTACCTTTCATTGGAAAAATTATTGAGAAAATTGTCTCCAAGCAACTTGCAGGCTTTCTATCCTTAAATAGCTATCTAGACAAATTTCAGCCAGGTTTTCGGACTAATCGTAGTACAGAAACAGCTCTAATTAAGGTTATTAATGACACTCATTTAAATACAGACTATGGAAAAATATCCATTCTACTACTGCTCGATCTCAGCGCTGCTTCTGATACCACTGACCATACAATTCTCATAGATAGACTTGAGAACTGGGTTGTTCTCTCATGAACGGTCCTAAAATGGTTCAATTCATACCTGCAAGGAAGGAACTACTTTGAGGAAATAGAAAATAAAGTTCCTGAGCGAGTGCCGGTGACCTGTGGTGTTCCTCAGGGTTCAATTCTTGGGTCACTCTTATTTCATTTATAATCACATAATGGTGCAGGACCAGCATATTTATCTGATCTGCTGCAGCGATATGAGCCAAGATCATTAGGAGCTAATCAGTTAGTCCTGCTGAAAGTAAATACTAAGCATAAAGAAGCAGTGTTTAGCTACTATGCTGCTCTTAAATGGAACCAGTTAGAAGAGCCCTGATACCACACACTTTTAAATCCAGCCTGAAAACATTCCTATTTCAGCAGCTTTCAGTTCAATTTAAAACACTGTTAGCTCTTCTAGTCCTTCTCCTCTGTAACAGCACTTTATCGTCCTAAATGAATTATTAATTTGATTTTTATTTATGGCAATTCATTTTTTATTTGATTTTGCATTTAATGACTTTTAAAATCTATTGTTTGAGTCATGTTTTAATCATGTTTTTAATTTCTATTCTCTTTCACTTTATGCTCCTCTAATCTCCTGTACTTTTGAAATGACTCTGTATTTTCTCATTTGTAAAGCATTGCGAGTGACAGCTGTGCATAAAGGTACCATATAAATAAACCTGCCCTGCCTTTGAACATCTGCAGGAGTACGAGATCGTGCACATACTGCTGCTGAAGGGCGCCCGCATCGAGAAGCCACACGATCACTTCTGTAAGTGCGGTGAGTGTATGGAGAAGCAGAAGCAGGACTCCTTCAGCCACTCGCGCTCCAGGATGAACGCCTACAAAGGCCTGGCCAGTGCCGCCTACCTGTCACTGTCCAGCGAAGACCCGGTGCTCACAGCCTTGGAGCTCAGCAATGAGCTGTCCCAACTGGCCAACATCGAAACTGAGTTCAAGGTGGGTTTAAAGTCTGAAAAATACAAATTACCCCCCTTATTTTCCCCTCCCACCTCAAATGTTGTGAATCAGTCAAGACGGGTTTGAAGGTTTTGCAATAGCACTACAAACCTAATGTAGCAAACAAACCACACAAAACCACACAGTAGAAAATAGAAAGGTAGAAAGTAAAATTTGGCTCAAGTAGAAGCAGAAATGCCTTATTTTTATTTTCATTTTTTAAGCTAAAGTGCAAAAGGACTTCAAAGGACCTCAAAACTAAAAGTACTGTGAGAAATTCAAACAAGTAAACGTTTCTTCTCTTGTGCCTTCAGTTTAGTAACGTCTAAAACTCCGGATTCAAGCTGATGGGTAACCTGATTTAGCATCACCCCGCGCAGTGTTATGACATTTTCTGAAAGATTGTTGGAGGTAGCTGAACCTAATTACAGTTGCTAAGCAATATTTGGGCAATTGGCATTTAGGGGAGGGATTTAGTGAAAGCTGTGCTACAGTTGGTTTGATTTATTTGTGAAAGTGCATCATTTTCTTTGAACATTATGGACAGTCTAGTTTTACTTCACAGTATATTGCAGAAGGCAGTGCTGTAAAAAGTAGGATATTTTATTGTGAACTGTAGTAGAGACAAAATAAAAGTCTCAAAAAAAAGGCAATAGGGAAAAACCCTGCTGGAAAGAAACAACATAGACCAGCAGTGATCTGCAAAACCAGCATATCATCACTGTCCCAAAATAAAAAAAAATTATAATAAAAATAAATAAATAAATAAATAAATAAAACAAATTCTTAACTTTTAACTTTTAAAGTAAAGTTTATGTATAGATGTTTTGGAGCATTCATTTCCATTCACCAGGAAACTTTTACAAATGTAATGAAAAATTAAGATATATTGTTCTTAGGGTTTTTTTTTTGTTTTGTTTTTTCTTTGGTAGGGTTGGGGGCAGTGACAATATGTTATGTTGTCTTGTTTTGGAAAAGCTTGTATGCTGGTCACCAGCATTGGAAAGCTACTATGCTAATCATCAAAAAAAAATTACCATGTTATATTTGGGATGTTGGTATGCTGGTCAACCGGCATGACCATGCTGGGTGACTAGCTAAACTAGCACCAGTATAAACCAGCATCAACCAGCTTCATGCTGGTCTTCACTTCACAGGGAAAGTACAGATACTTAAAAAAATACTACCTCTACTTCATTACTACTCACCACCGCTAACAAACAATAGAAGCTTATATGCTACCAGTTAGCATCATGCAAATTACATGGCTAAATTAGCAAACTTTAGCTTTGGAAAGGTGCTATATAAATATAGCATAGTAGCATTAAATCATCACACATACCTCAAAACATGTTTAGCTGTTCAGTAATCTCTAATAGACTTTAAAACACTGTTATCTACAAACGTGGACAGAGTAAGAACAAAACTGAGGCTCCAGCATTAGCTATGCAGCCTGCGTCTGTGGTATTAGCCTGTTAGCACCAGCGCTAAACTGAAGAAGCAAGCATGCCTTGGCTGATCGTTGACATTTAAGGTAAGGTGAAAATTGTTAAAACTTGATTTGTTGCTGAACTGTCGCTCTGAGGCAGAGCAAATGAAGAGGTCAAACACGGACTCTGATTCGGACACATTTCGCTTATAGCTCAAAATGCTGCGTGATACGTTAAACCGCCTTTTTGGCACTTTTTAATCACTTTATTCAATAATTCAGGAATTAACGCCAGCCTCCCGGAGAGCGCTAATGGTGTTTCAAAGAGCACGCCTGCATTTTTAATCTGTTTCCACACACACACAAACATCTTTAGGACTAATTTGGGGAGGGTTCAGTCATGAGCTCGCTGAGTTTGTCCTTCTCTTCCCTCCAGCTCCACATTCAGTCTTTTGCGCAAATTAGGATCAAGATTTTGCTCAAATTAAGAGCCTCGACTGCAGTTCATCGTAGTTGAAGAGTGAGTGAAGCTGTAATTGCTGGTACACAGAAAACACAGAGCGTGGAGTGTTTCTCTTTACGAGAACTCTTAGAGAAGCGCTCTCGCATGCTGTTTGATGGCTGAAGGAGCTCGAGTAGAGGACGGAGGTTGTCTTTTCTGAGAGCCACTCAGGGGATCTTGTCTAATCGCCGATTCTCGCGGCCAGTTTGTCAGCTCCTCTCATTGATTTAGTGAGCCGTTAATTGAAGAGGCTCTATTGAAGGTGCCGTGTAATCACTTCATCATTATTCCCTAATCACTGTTCTCCGCCGCGAGCTCACTCCCCGAGCGGTCAATGACATCAATCAATAACCTTGTATTGCTTTGTATTTCTGAACTTACTCTGATGCCATGATAGAAGGATTGTTGTTTGTTTGTTTGTTTGTTTTTTTAGGGCATGCATACAGTTTTTATTTCAGCTAGAGGAGGCAGAATCATAAATATGAGATACAACTGTTCTTTGTTACTTTTTAGTGTTTTTGTGCATCAAAGCTTAGTGTATTCTTCTCATAGGATGCAGAAATCAGACAAAAGGGTTTATGATTGTAACGATATATTGATTCTAATGGGTACATTGATTCTAAAGCCTATGATTCTCTCAACCTAGTGTATATACAGTACCAGTCAAAAGTGGACACATCTACCCATGGAAGGGCTTTCCTTATTTTTATATTATACGTGTTTTTCTATTTTTACGTTTTGTGCTATATATTATGAAATAACACATATTGTAACAAATAGTCACTAAAACTAAGGAAAAAAGGAACAAATAAATTCTAATGTATATTGTATGTCACTATATACCTCCTCTATCACGTGTGTACTTTATGTCCCATTTTTTCCAGGTGTTTCTTGTCTTTGCTGCTGTATAAGTAGCCCTCCATTCAAAATATTGGCTGCAGGTGTTTATAAATTTCATGTCCTCACATTAACTTAACTTACATTTGTTGACCTATGTAGTATTTTTCAATATTGGTTTAAAATGTTAAATTAACTCCATAATCTGCCTTGGTGTACATTAAATTTTAAACTTTAATTAAATTCAAGTTACTGTAAAGTGGTGTAACCATCTAAGCACTTGCCCCATTATGAGGTGGCATTGTGTAACGTGAGTCAAAAAAAGACACACACACATAAATATATATATATATATATATATACATCCTGCAGTGTAAGTTAACTTGCCTGAGTAGGGTGGTGTTTATTTTAAATATAAATGTGTTTTCACTCATACCTGTCATATTTTACTAGGAGGAAGTGTATTCTTCATTTTGCTCATTCATTTTTGTGATATGTATAATGTGTCCTGCGTCTGGCTCCACCCCTTTCTTGACAAAACACATCTTGTTTTTTTAGCTCTGCCCCCCTGAGTCATCAGTGTCACCTGTGTCTAGTTTGTGTTTCCCCATTCTAGGTGTTTGTGATCTTGTCTGTTCTATTAGTAGCCCTCATAATCGTCAGGCGTCTTTGTCTGTTTGTTTTGCACATACATTCTGTCTCCTGTTTGTGACAGTATAATGTAAAATAAATAAATTATTTTAATACAATTGTGATGTGACTAATACGCTGCGGCAATGCAATATATTTAATTCATGTGGGACCTATGTACCCATTTAGATCAAGTAAATTCAAGGCATCACTTTTTCCAGTTGTGTTTAATAAGAATGGGATTGATGTGTTTAATTAACACGTTGTTTCTGTTTTCCTATAGAATGACTACAGAAAGCTGTCTATGCAGTGTAAGGACTTTGTGGTTGGCGTGCTGGACCTGTGTCGGAACACAGAGGAGGTGGAGGCCATTCTGAATGGTGACGTGGACCACAATCTGCCCAGTGACCACAACAGGCCCTGCCTTAGCCGCGTCAAACTGGCCATCAAATACGAGGTCAAAAAGGTAGAGTCATCCAGAGCACCCAGTGCTTGTTTTTTAAGTGGGCAAACTGAACACATCTTTGTGTATTACAGTTTGTATGCACTGTAAAATGTCTCAGGCCACCTGAGCAAATAATACTTTAAAGCTATTTGTCTGGGCAGCAGTCAGATATTTGCTTGGACGTTACCATTCACACCTGATTGGGTAATCAATACGTTATTATGGTGAACAAGGCTGCCAGATAGGAAGAATGCTTTCAAAAAGTAGTGATGGTTCAATGCTTAATACACTGTGCTCTGTGTGTGTTCAGTAACTTATTCTTTAACAATAGATTATATGTAATATATTCAGAATATATTTAGAACACACATTGATATGAGGAAGTTATTATTATTCACATAATTTATTAATATGTGCTAATATGTTTAAGAAAAATATTGAAAACATTGGTCCCACTTTATATTAAGTGTTTCTAATAACTGTGTAGTTACACATGAATAACATATGCAACAACACTGTAACTACTGATAATTTAGTCAATGTTACAGATGGATTACAGAAGTACAGCCAATGTAATTACACATTTGTATCTTCTACACAGGAACTTTCCAGTACTGTAGTGTTAGAGTTAGACTTTAAAATAAGTGGACAGTTCCTGTGTAGTTGTTATGTAAGTACTGTGTAATAAAGGAGTGATAATATAGACATTGCTTTGGGGCAAATGCAACACATTTAATTAATGAGATAAAAGTTATATTTTAATATAAGGGGACGTCTGCTGTTCTGTTACATTACAGAATGGTTTAAAGCTAGTAACATAAATGCTAGCTAAATGTTAGGAAAGCTGGCAGATACAGTGTAATTAATGTCTTAATGTAAGTTATCACATACTTCTTATTACTGCTGGAAAGAAAAACTTCTGAAAGAAACTGCTTTTCCAGTCTGATTACAAATGTAATTACGTGTGTTATTACCCTCATGTAATTACATGAGAGAGAATAGGCTGTTACAACTATTAAGATATACATGTGTAATTACATAAGGTGTTTGTCTGCAATCCATCTGTAACAGTGACTAAATAATTAGTAGTTACATTGTTGTGGCATGTGTTGTTCACATGTAACTACACAGTTATTAGAGACACTTAATATAAAGTGGGACCAAAACATTTGTAATTGCATTCAGTTCATTTTTTTCTTTTTTTTGGAAGAAGTCTTCAAGATTTGGCACTATTTCTAGGTTACTATTCAAACGTAAGCTAATTTGTGGCACGTTAGGCCCTTTGTACAAAGTTTTGTCCCTTCTATTGAGGCTCGTGTTTAGATGACTCTTGGGAAATCTGCTGATCATTAAATTTGATAATTAAAGCAAAATGGGGACATATCAAATGCTAAAATTTCATGTATAAATTTCATGTATAAACACTGAAAGTGTTCAGCTGATAATATAATTTGTAATGAAAATTGTTCTAAACTACACTCGAATGTGAAATAGAAGGATTTTCACTAATAGTCTCAAAATATCTAAAAACTATTGTTTAGATTAATAAAGTTTACTGTACGGTACTACAGCATATCAAAGTACAGTAAGACAGTACTACAAGGAAATTATATAGCAGTATTAAATTATTATGCCTGGTTAGTTTAGATGGATGGTTGTCCTGAATCGGTTCTAAGAGTTCAAAACACAAAGTTTTTACTTTGAGTGGCCCTACCCTTTAATTATGTACATTTTATTAAAACACATTATTGAACATTCTGTTCTGACACTAACAAAACAATCATAACTCTACCCAAATGTTTCAGTAGTGACTGTTTCAGTTTTATCTTATTTGGAGCAGAACTCAAAAACACTATCCAGTACATGACGAGCAATCAGAGCTTTAGTACGTAATTGCGGAAAATCTGTTTCGGTAGTGACAAATCTCCAAGTTCCACACTGATTTTCAGACTTTGGGACACGTTTGCTTCAAAACAATGGGATCTAGCTGCTCACCATGTGGCCATGAGGGAAAGGGATGCAGCCTCACTTCCTTACTAATTTTACTTATGTCTAAAATGCAGGGGCGTGGCTTAAACCAGGCTCCACCCACTGTCCAAAACTCAGTCATAAAAATGTGGCTTTTTTGACTAATGTGTTTTTTTTTTTTTTCAATAAAGCTCACAAAAAATTCTAAATCTGTCAACTTCACTTCAATTTAACTAAAAAAGTGCAAAAAAAAATGTAATTATTATTTTCACAAGTATAAACTTGATGATTTTGTACATATTTAGCTTATTACTTTTTCTGTTTAAATAGATTATAACATAAACCTTGTAAATATCTAAGGTCAAAATAAATTGTTGTTCTTTAAACAGTTGTTTTTTACTGTGGGAGCACAGTTTGGACTAATTTAGTGGAATGGAATTCTATAGAATTCTTTTAGTTTGTTATCTTATTACTGCACTTCTTTTTTGTAAGCGCAATAAACATGATGTCATTTTCATAATGCTAACTGATGTCTGTTCACTATTATTGATTGACATTAGCAATAGTGACTTTCTTGAATATTGTTAATTAAAGTTCCTTTTTTCCAAAGTGTTACCTATTTTTGTAATGTTATGTAGTGTTTCCACTGGGAATAACACTTTCTGCCTTTATAAATAGTTTCAATAATTATTTTATTTTATTTATTTCTTTTATATTATATAAGTATATATGTATTTTTTTCCTGGCCTGTAACATTTCCTCAGTGCTGTATTTATCTTCACCATTTCTGTGCAGTTTGTGGCTCATCCGAACTGTCAGCAGCAGCTGCTAACCCTGTGGTATGAGAACTTGTCTGGCTTGAGGCAACAGCCTATTGGAGTGAAATGTTTAACAGTGCTGGGCGTGATGGTGGGCCTACCGTTCCTGGCGATTGCATACTGGATCATGCCCTACAGCAAGGTACAGTCCACCACCACCAGCTCCCCCTTATATCTGCTTTTCAATACCTCAGTTCAGAAGTGCACAGGAGGAGACATCGCGCTATCAACTGTAGTTAGTCTAGAAACCCTTTCTGCTTTTATGTTTGAGTTTTGAAGGTTAATTTGTGCTCTTCTGTTTCTTTTCCCAAGGTGGGTCAGGTTCTCCGCAGTCCGTTCATGAAGTTCGTTGCCCATGCTGTCTCCTTCACCACTTTCCTGGGTCTGCTGGTGCTAAATGCCTCCGACCGCTTTGTTGGAGTCAAAAATCTGCCCAACGAGACGATCACTGACCACCCGCGCCAGGTCTTCCGCGTCAAAACCACCCAGTTCTCCTGGACGGAGATGCTAATTATGAAATGGGTGCTTGGTTAGTATGACTGAAGTAAACAGGATGAAGACATAGTTAGACATAAAGACATAAATAGGTGGCTAAGATGTAAACAAAGTTATTCAGAGTGGTTTGGTATGAAATGGTCCAGGCTAGAATATTTACTGGTCCAAATTGTTCACAGTGGTGGTGATAGGAACCAGACAAAAGTGTTTAATGCCTCTAAAAGCTCCCTCACATAAGGTTATTATACAACATGGATATTTTTGGATAGTAAATAAATAACATATTTGTATTATTGACATCGTGACTCCTGGTTCCTGTCACCACCACTGTAAAGAAATCTGAGTCAATATGTTTCTTTACAACTGACCATTTCACATCAAACCATTCAGAATAACTTTTGCATTTCAATGGCTGTGGAATTCTGACAGGTCTAAAGTAGATGAGAAAGATGTATAACATCAGTACATACACTATATGGTCAAAAGTATGTGGACATCTGACCATCACATCAATACGAGCTTGTTGGACATCCAATTGTGGCCATAACAGCCTCCACTCATCTGGGAGGTCTTTCCACAAGATGTTGGACAAGAAGGCCTGGCTTGCAGTCAGTGTTCCAGTTCATCCCGAAGGTATTCGGTGGCGTTGGGGACAGGGCTCTGCACAGGCCACTGGAGTTCCTCCACACCAAACTCGTCAAACCATGTCTTTAAGGAGCTCACTTTGTGCACAGTCATCTTGGAACAGGAACAGGTGTTCCTCAAACTGTGGCCACAAAATTGGAAGCATATAATTGTCTAAAATGTCTTTGTGTGATGTAACATTAACATCACCCTTCACTGGAACTAAGTGGCCCAAACCCTGAAAAACAGCCCCAGCCCATCATCCCTCCTCCACCAAACTTTACTGTTGACACTGCGGATTCTGGTTGGTAGTGTTTTCCTGGTGTCTGCCAAACCCAGACTTGTCCATCAGACTGCCAGATAGTGAAGTAATGAACCATGCTTCATTATCTGGCAGTATAACACGTTTCATCTCGTCCATGGAAACCCATTTTATGAAGCTCCCACACAGTTCTTGTGCTGATGTTGAGACAGTTTGGAGCTCTGTAGTTAGTGACGCAACAGAGGACAGGCAATTTTCATGCACTACACGCTTTAGCTCTCTATGAGTTTATGTGGTGTGTCATTGCTGCTAAATGCTCACGTTTCACAACAATAGCACTTACAGTTGGCTGGGGCAGATCTAGCAGGACAGACATTTCTTAAACTGGCTTGTGGCAAAGGTGGCATGTTTTGGAGATTGCATGACTTTGTGCTTGATATTACGCCCCTGCCAGCAACAGGTGTGGAGTTTAATTAGGACTGTCCACATACTTTTGGCCATATAATGTAAGCAGTAAAATTAACATCCAGAAGGCCTCATGTGTCAAAAGTGGGGATCAAATCCCAAGAGAAGAATCTTGACAAAAGATTGTAAATATGTAATTTGTAAGTATATTATTTGCTATTTATTAGCAGATTGTTGTTCCCAAAATACTTGAAATATCAAAATACATTTTTATTTGATAATATCAAATACATTTTTAAACAATTAGTCTCATTTATAATATTTAAACCTTCATTGTGTATATTTGTACATTGAACACACATTATTAAATTTACTAACAGTAGTGTATGTTATAACATAATCATGTAATTATGTAACATTTTGAATCATTGGAGCTGATCATGATTGACAGTGTTCGAATCCTGTGGTCAGGAATGATCTGGTCAGAGTGTAAGGAGATCTGGGAGGAAGGCCCTCGTGAGTATGTCATGCACCTGTGGAACATCCTGGACTTCGGTATGCTGTCCATCTTTGTGGCGTCGTTCACGGCGCGGCTCATGGCCTTTCTGCGAGCGTCTCGTGCACAGCTGTATGTGGACCTGTACGTGACGAGCGCTGACCTGAGCAACGCCTCTCTGCCCGCGGAGGTGGCCTACTTCACTTACGGTGAGAGCAGATTTACTGACATTCAGCATCTGCAGTTCAGAGTAATGCAGCAATTCTTTGGAGTGTTTAGCTACACTGTTCATTAGATAGTTGTTACACATTATATTATTATGTAAAATACTTTGTATTCTTATGTACATTTGGTACAATTACTACAATTACTTACTTTAGTTTATTACTTTCATTTATTTATCTTCCAGTCAAAGTGGTCATATATCAGATGTTTCAGTACTTAGAGTGTCCACACTTTACGTTTACCTTTATTACAGCTTCTATTCTTTTCAGGAGACTCACAGTTTTTCAAATAAATCTGCAGGAAAATCAAAAACACATTCAGTGATGTTGAGGTCTGGACTCAGGGGTGGTCAGTCCATTGTTCTTAGAACACCAGCAGCTTCTCTTTTTTTATCTCCATGCTCTTCTTTTCTGTCTATTTCCTTTTGGAGTCTAATGGAGCTTGATTTTCTCCTCTTTTTCAAAGATGAAAGCTTTAAGTGCTGTTTATCTGATGGGGGCAGTTTTGGGGTCTACCAGGTCTTCCAGGTGGTTGTTGGGAGCCACATTTTCTCTGTAGCTTTTAATCAGTTTTTGAATGCCAGTTTTGTAAACTCCTACAGTCTTATAAAAAATGGTTCTTCGAGGGTTCGTTAGTAAAGACATAAGTTCTATATAGAACCATAAACACTCAAAGAACCCTTTGCCTGATTAAAGGGTTCTTTGCATGATAAACAGTTTTTCAGATGGATGGAGAGTGTGCTGTAGACGGTTCTATATAAAACCTTTTTAAAAAGGGTTCTTCTACTGTAACAAGCTTTTATCGTAACAGTAGCAGAACCCTTTTTGGTGCTATATAGAATCCCTTTTCACAATGGTTCTATATAGAACAAAATACCACACATTCTCCATCAATCTGAACCCTTTCACAAAGAACCCTTTAATCATGCAAAGAGATCGGATTTGAGCCAAATGTCGGATTTGAGCCATGAGGCTCCACATGTAGCCTCTGTGTGGAGTTTGCATGTTTGCCCTGTGTCTGCGTCGATTTCCTCCCGCAGTCCAAAGACATGCAGTTAGGCGACTTGGAGATGCTAAATTGGCCCTAGGTGTGTATGTCTGTGTATCTGCCCTGGGATGGACTTGCCACTGCCCAGTGAGAGATAGGCTTCAGCACAATTTAGAAAATGTGTTATTTGTTTATGTATTTTAACAACATTCATCCCCTGTAAAGTTATTATTTTGCTGAAATGAGCATAGAAAAGTACCAGAATGCTTTTAGGGTCTTACATGTTTCAGTGCTGCCATCAGTCATACTATAGAAGTGCATCAATGGAGTTCTAATGGCTGTATGTGTGTTTCTCAGCAAGGAACCGGTGGCTTCCCTCTGACCCCCAGCTCATCTCCGAGGGTCTGTACTCCATCGCTGTGGTCCTGAGCTTCTCACGCATTGCCTACATCCTGCCGGCCAACGAAAGCTTCGGACCCTTACAGATCTCCCTGGGTCGCACCGTGAAGGACATTTTCAAGTTCATGGTCATCTTCATCATGGTCTTCCTCGCCTTCATGATTGGCATGTTCAATCTGTACTCTTACTACCTCGGAGCCAAGTATAACCCGGCTTTTACCACGTACGTGTTGAGAACGGTCAAAACTATATCCCCATATGATCCACAGATGCTCAAACACTATTGGATGATTGGAGCAGTTTGGTAAAAAATCAAATGTAAGAGGTTTCCATCCTCACCCCAAATGCAGCTGATAGTCCTAGACTTGTTTGATGTCTGAAGTTTCTTTAGTTTTGCACTAGAGCTGTGTGGCTAACAAGTAAAAGAAGCCTTTACCAGAATATTTGTTAAAACGGGTTGGAGTTGTTCTGCAACTTCTAATAGACTTGCTTATGTGGTTTCTGACACACTGGTATCTATACAAGCGACAAAAGTGTGTCACTCTCCATGCAGAGTGGGAAACCATGTCACAAAGGTTGCAGGGCTTAGAAAGATGCTTAAAATTTTAGGCACAGCTCCAAAAGTCTGTACGTACATTTACACAGTCGACCTAAGATTAAATCATTTTTCTGATTTTTCTATTTTTATCCTGTTTCATAGTGCATCTGTAAAACAACTCGTCATAAAAACAATGATCAACATTTGAGAAACCATTTTTAAAATAAAACAATATTTTTAAGAGGTTTATCTTAAACAGATTCATGTTTCCTTTTTATATCATTAACATTATACTACATTATATGTGTTTTATTTTTAAAAATTCATTTGTCACAGAGATTTTGGTCACTGGTGTTATCAGCACTCTTATGTTAGTATTTTCAGCTCTATTAAACTGCTTCTTTGAGTCGAGGCTCATCAGAGAGGAAGCATCTCAAGGCATGAGGAGGCGAGTCACACTTGATCACTATATTTGATTAATTTATTAATAATTTAGTTTATCAGGCAGCTCATAACTTCTATGTGTCATCAGTGTTTTGTGCTTTAATGGCTGGGTAATTAAAATGTTGTCAAAATGAAGCCAAATATCATTTTTATTACTGATTTTAAATGTACAAGGTCACCTGACCAACAACGAGTCAGCCAATTTACAGAATCCTCAGTTTTAACCAGAATGTCACTGGAGTCACCGTCACTGGTGTTACACCATATTCATGCAACACCAGTGACTGTAACATATGTTTAGAATTAAGCTCTCGTTTTAGCATATATGATAATAGGAGATGTTAATATGGCTGGACATATTAAGATTATTTAGTTTTGGGATTCAAAAAGATTTTTTTTAAAAATGTATCCACCTGAATTCCCACTCCAAACGGAGAATGACCCAAGTACAAAGTGCATAGGTAAGACTATTAGTAGCAGCCACCTTGAAATGTGAATTTTGCCCATACTATTAATCGTATCCATAGATAGTACATCATACAGTGTCAGAAACCACATAAGCAATTTTTAGATTTCCCAACAGCTCAATTAGTGAGTATGCAGTTTGCACTATACTAATCATGTGGTATAGCTACATTAGCCTCATAGCATCAGTATAAAACTAAAGAAGCAAAGTTCAGATGCCAAACATGTCTTGACTGGTCAACTACGTTTGGGAAGAGAGCTGAATTTTTCCCCAAACTATTCCTTTAATGACAGTAATTAATTGTATGTTAATGACAAAGCATCCACAGTGGATCAACGTGTTATCACAATATGGATTATATACACCGATCATAACATTATGACCACCTCCTTGTTTCTTCGCTCATTGTCCATTTTATCAGCTCCACTTACTATATAGGTGCACTTTGTAGTTCTACAGTTACAGACTGTAGTCCATCTGTTTCTCTGATACTTTGTTAGCCCCCTTTTACCCTGTTCTTCAGTGGTCAGGACCCCCATAGACCCTCACAGAGCAGGTACTATATGGGTGGTGGATCATTGTCAGCACTGCAGTAACACTGATGTAGTGGTGGTGTGTTAGTGTGTGTTGTGCTGGTCTGAGTGGATCAGACACAGCAGTGCTGCTGGAGTTTTTAAACACCTCAGTGTCAATGCTGGACTGAGAATAGTCCACCAACCAAAAATATCCAGCCAACAGCGTCCTGTGGGCAGCGTCCTGTGACCACTGATGAAGAACTTGAGGATGACCAACACAAACTGTGCAGCAGCAGATGAGCTATCGTCTCTGACTTTACATCTACAAGGTGGACTGACAAGGTAGGACTGTCTAATAGAGTGGACAGTGAGTGGACACAGTGTTTAAAAACTCCAGCAGCACTGCTGTGTCTGATCCACTCAGACCAGCACAGCACACACTAACACACCACCACCACGTCAGTGTCACTGCAGTGCTGAGAATGATCCACCACCCAAATAGTACCTGTTCTGTGAGGGTCCATGGGGGTCCTGACCACTGAAGAATAGGGTAAAAGGGGGCTAACAAAGTATCAGAGAAACAGATGGACTACAGTCTGTAACTGTAGAACTACAAAGTGCACCTATATAGTAAGTGGAGCTGATAAAATGGACAATGAGTGTAGAAACAAGGAGGTGGTCATAATGTTATGCCTGACCGGTGTGTATAAGTACACTGCATGTTCCGTATGTATCTGTGTTGCTTTTGCAGGGTGGAGGAAAGCTTCAAGACGCTGTTCTGGTCCATCTTTGGTCTAAGTGAAGTGATCTCCGTAGTGCTGAAGTACGATCATAAGTTCATTGAGAACATCGGCTACGTTCTGTATGGAGTCTATAACGTCACCATGGTGATCGTTCTGCTCAACATGCTGATCGCTATGATAAACCACTCTTACCAGGAGATCGAGGTGAGACCTGCTGACTAAAAACACCATGTCTCAACTTTACACTCTGATGCTGAAAAGAAACTAAAAATAAACAAAAGGCACTGTGGGCCTGCTTGCGTTGCCATGGTTACAGTCACCGTGTGGTCGGAAGCTCACGCACAGTTCTGATCAGACAGAGAAGTGGATTATTTATAGCTTGTAGCTTCGTCTGGGGTTTTTTTTTCAAATCTGACTTTGATTAATCATCAAGTCACACATCTTTAGGGTTATTGAGATAGTTCTGATATTTACAGTAGAGATGTCAGCACCTTTTACAAGCTGCAAAAACCAGATGGAAAATGTGAGGGTAGAGTGCATAGTTTCATGGTTTCATAATAATAATAATAATAATAATAATAATACAATATGGATGAGCTTGAGTTTGAACACCCTCGGCCAAATGACATGCTTTGTCCTCTCCTCAAAGGTGGGAAACCCAGATGTTCAGACAAGACATTTTGTCTTTTAACAAAAATCAAATCACCTTGGGAGCCACTACATTTTGAGTCAATTTTACCATCTTGGCTGTAAATATGTCTCAGTGTGTGCTGATGTGCTAGTATAGACTAAAAATATAATATGAACGAAAACGCAGACTTACTTTGCTCTGCTTTAAGCTTTAGATCAGCTGTAGCTGCTTTTCTCACATCTCTGACAGGAAACTTTTCCTCAAAAGAAGAACAGTTTCTTGTAAAATGTCTGAAGTTGCTTCTCATTCACCAACTTCTTGTTCAAATTTTCCTGTTTCACCTTAAATGGTGTCTGAGGTGCCAGAATGTAACAGATGCACCATTTAAGGTGGAATGGGACAATTCGAATGAGAAACTGACTTCAGCCTCACAATTTTAGTGTTTCTCGCTGCAGATTAAATGTATCAGGAAACCAGCTGGAGTGATTATAAATGCAAATACGTCCATTCGTCTCCAAATCATCGATGTTAGTCTTAAATCTCTTTCTTTGCCTTTATGTTAGCTACTAGCTAGGCGAGACTGTTCTCTCCATTGCTATGGTGACCAGCAGTCTGTGCGCCAGCTTTTAGGGTTAAAGGGTGAATTAGCAGTTCTACATTAACTCCAGAGTTTAAGACCATTTATTGTTAAACTGTGTTGAATGATCAGCAGAGCTTTATTTTACTGTAAAGGAGGATTATTTTATTTTTACCCACTAATCTAATTCTGCTGTGGAGCCACAAAACAGCCGCATGCCAAGCCCTGCTCTATAGGGAACCTAAATTTTTACATTTTTTAAATTTTATTTTTAAATTTTACTGCACAATTTCTATTTGTTTGCCATATCTAACATATTGTAAACAAATAAAATATTCATCATAAAGTGTGCCAGAACTTTTGCACAGACCACATTTTATGTGTTATTTTTCACCTAATATATTAAATTCAGCAAATAAACAGTAATTGTGCACTAAAATGTGCAGACGTGTGTTCGGACGTGTTAACCTTTCAACGTAATATGACCAGAGGGTGCCGATACTTTTGCACACATCTGCATCATTGGTTAAAAAAAGTGTATGAATAAAATATCATCATCACTAAAATGATTTAACCTCCAAACAATCTAGGTTTACTTCATACAGCGGCTTATTATTCAGTAACTACAGGGACTTCAATGCAAACTAATGAAGCTATTCTTAGGTTATAGAAGTGTGTAATAACACTTTGGGCCATTCGGTGGGCCTATGGCTTGTTAAGGGCTTAATTGGACATTTATTAGGATTAGGTCTGTTATTGGTTCTTGCAAGAGAAATGGATTTGATTAGACTTTATGTCTGTGTAATTGAAATCAGACCTGCACAATATTATAGTCACTTTTTCTATATTGGTATTTTCATATCCTGAAAAATTCCTAAATTCTTCCAAAAGTGCCCCCGATTTTACTCATGTGGGACACAGAATTCCCACATGAGTAAAATACACTACAGTACAATTTCTGCCAGACATAAAGAGCTGAAAAGCTGTGTGGATGTAATAGATTTTATTTATGACTTACGCATTGAATCGACAATTTGGTGCAGCGCTTTGTTCAGCGTGTAGTATTTTGGGATGCGAGTGGTGTTGTCCTTCTCCGTGACTGTGATTGTGTTGTATGAGCAGGAGGATGCCGATGTTGAGTGGAAGTTTGCTCGTGCCAAGCTGTGGCTGTCTTATTTCGACGAGGGCAGGACCCTCCCTCCCCCGTTCAATCTGGTGCCCAGCCCCAAGTCCTTCTATTACATGGCCTTACGCACCAGAGCCTGCCTCGTCAGACTGTGCAAGGCCAGAGGCCGTCGCCATGGCAGCCAGAGAGAAATGGACGTGCCCAATTCTCGGACAAAGGTTGGAACACACAGGACGCTCCCTTGCATCACCTTACCTGCTTTTCGCTGTTTTCATTTTAAAGCGATAGTTTGCCGAACAGCCAAGTTTATACAGTTTATTCCAAATGTATTCAGTCAGCCAGGAAACATTTGATTGATTAATTTCAGAATCCAGCATTTTCACTATTTCTGTACATTGTGATTCTTAGTCAAACACCTCATATTCAGAAAGTTATTAAACCATAAAGAAATCATAGCTAAGGAAGACCAGAGAGGCAGTAAAGTAGTCATAATTTTCTACATTGTTATCTTGAGATAATGCATTAATTATCTTGTGATCTCAAGATAACAAAGTTGTTGTCTTAAAGATAATGAGTTAATTATCTTGTGATCTCAAGACACCAACTTTGTTAACAAACTTGTTATCTCAAGATAACAAGTTATCTTGTTATCTTGAGATAATGAGTTAATTGTATTGTGACCTCAAGATAACAAAGTTGTTAAATGGAGATAATGAGTTAATTGTCTTGTGACCTCAAGATAACAAAGTTGTTATCTTGAGATAATGAGTTAATTGTCTTGTGATCTCAAGATAACAACTTTGTTAACAAACTGGTTCTCTCAAGATAACAAATTGTCTTTTTATCTCAAGATAACAAAGTTGTTATCTTGAGATAATGAGTTAATTGTCTTGTGACCTCAAGATAACAAAGTTGTTATATCGAGATAATGAGTTAATTGTCTTGTGACCTCAAGATAACAACTTTGTTATCTTGAGGTCACAAGACAATTATATGAGGTGAATATGAGGTGACCTCAAGATAACAACTTTGTTATCTTGAGGTCACAAGACAATTAACTCATTATCTCGATATAACAACTTTGTTATCTTGAGGTCACAAGACAAACTTTGTTATCTTGAGATAATGAGTTAATTGTCTTGCGATCTCAAGATAACAACTCTGTTATCTTGTTATCCCCTTGTTATCCCCATAAAACAAAGTTGTTATCTTGAGATAATGAATTAATTGTCTTTTGATCTCAAGATAACAACTCTGATAACAACCTTGTTATCTCAAGATAACAAGTTATCTTGTTATCTTGTGACCTCAAGATAACAAAGCTATCTGAGAGATGAGTTAATTATGTTGTGACCTTACGTTAACAAAGTTTTTAACTTAAGATCATGAATTAGTTATCTTGTGACCTCAAGATAACCCATTGTTGTCTTGAGATCACGAGATAATTAACTTGTTATCTCAAGATAACAATCCAGAAAATTATAGCAACATCTCATAGCCTCACTGGACCTCTGTACCTAGCACCTCTGAGATTCTTTATATATTAACCCCTTAAAATCCCAGGCTTATTACATACTAAGGCTTATTATTCAGAGGCTTTAATGCAAACTTGCTGAGCTATTCTTAGGTTATAGAAGTGTGTAATAACACTTTGGGCCCACTGACAGGCCCTGGCCATTTAAGGATTTACTAACACATAACTTCCTATTCAGAATTTGTTTATTGTATGTTTATAATGTGTTTATTCTCAATGTCAGCTTCATAGGTTTCGCTCTTACCATGCCCAAGATGAATACACAGTGAGAAATACCATCAAACACCCAACCAGATACCAGGTTCTTCTTTCTTCTTTCTTTTTTTGCTATTCCAGACACTCTGCTGAATTATTTGATGTGTATTGATATGTACTGACATGACTCCTAGTCGTGAAAACACTGAAAATCGGCTCTCGTTTTTAACCCGCTGGCTCAAACACAGAAGCTCATGAAGCGCCTCATCAAGCGATACGTCCTGAAGGCCCAGATTGACAGTGAGAACGATGAGATCAATGAAGGTAAACCTAATATAGCATTCACTACAGGACTGCTCAACCACATTCTCATTCAGCTGCATTCACATGGGCTTTGAGCTCATGATGCCCATCATTTTAAACCATTACTGGTCTATATTTGTTACTGTTTTTTTGCAATAATGTTTAATATAATAACATAACTACATATTGAAAACAGAATTCTTCTGCCATTTTGAAATAAAAGAGCTTAATGTAGTGCGTAAACTGCTAATACTGCTAATTCTTCAGAAAGTACCATTGGCTGCCCAGTCCATACAATCCATACAATCCATACAGTCCATAGAGTCGATATCTGGAACCTAAACTGTGAAAACAGCCTGTTATGAATTCACAATTTTGTGATGTCAGCATTTCCCAATATCCATCTATTCAACAGTTTAGCTCCGCCCATTCACACTGAGGTTATAAGGAGTGTTTTAGTCCAGACTGCTTTTGAATAAAGCACAGCCAATCAGAGCAAAGCTCATTTAATCCCACTTTATATTAAGTGTCTCTAATAACTGTGTAGTTACATGCGAACAACATATGCAACAACAATGTAACGACTAATGATTTAGTCACTGTTACAGATGGATAACAGAAGTACACCTTATGTAATTACACATATGTATCAACCTCCGTTTTGCCTCGTGTAATTAGACAAGTGTATCTTAATAGTTGCAACAGCCCATCAGAAGTGGACCTTGTAGAATATGGGCCCCTTTCAATAATTGCATATTGGTATAATTTATAAAATATAATACATTGTATTTATATTCAATTTATATTCTGTTTTGAAATTCAATTTTAAATGAAATCTCATAAACAGTTTGCAGCATCCGGTTCAAATAACATGCAATCATTTCAGGTTCCATTTCAGGTTACAATGAGGGAGAGCGTCTTCCCGACTCTGGCTTTACCAGCAAGACGATTGGCTCTTTTTATTGTAGGGCAGGAATTTCGGGGAATTTTCGGTGGCGCACCGTGACTATTATAGCGTGGTTCTTGGTCAGAACTCGATTAAAACACGTGGAAAAAAAACATCTTAATGATAATGCTAACGTCTGTAGCATCCCTATAGGATTCTAGTAGTTTGTTAGCTCTCAGCTAATGGTGATTCACTGTTAGTGTCTCAGAACAGTGAAGCAGTTAGGGACCAGAATGTCACTGCTGCTGTGCTTAGTGGAGCGGAAAATAAAAGAAAAAGGCAGTTCTAGATTAAAAACACAGACATTTGAAGCTTCTTAAAGACATTCCGTGTTTTACTTAAAGCTTCTGACAGACATTTTTGCATATATTTTACCTTGTATTAGTTTCACCGTGACTGTTTCCATAGAAACGCTGGTGTAGAGCTGCTGCCACTGTTTTCCATTTCTAACAACCCACTGCTGTTTGTATTCATTCAGTGACATATCTAGAACTTCCAGAAGGCTTAGAATGATTTTTTTTCTCTCAACTTTTGATCTTACCTATTAGAAATTTGAATCTGATTGGCTGATTCCACTGTCACTGTAATAATGCTGAGATTTAATGGGCTTCGCTTCAGCTCCTGAAGTCCTAACCAATAGGAGAGATGACTTCACTCTATTTAGCGAGATACCATGGAGAAAAACAATTCCTGATTGGTCCATTTTCCACGGGGTATTTCAAGAATTTAACCCTTTTGTTTCCTTCTGAAACTTTACAGTCAGATGAGTGTAGTGCTGTAATGCTTAAGAGGTTAAGTACAAGCATGATTCTGTGTAATGGAAAACAACCTAAAATACAGACATATATATATATATATATATAAATGATGAATGGACTAAAAGAAACAGCCCAAAATGACTTGGAAAAACATCTGGTTCCATTAACTCACATTAAAAGTAAAGCATGTTTTTTCCTTCTCCTGTAAAGTTACCATTTTGGAGATACAAGGTTTTGTTCCGACAACAGCCATACATATCCCAGAAATCAGTAGGCCCTCTCTGAAGACCCTGAGGGTTTCTCTCTGATGAGGGAGGGCTTTGCCAGCAATCTGATTGGCCCTTTTTTTGAAGTGTGGCAATTTTACTCTGTAAACAAACAGCAAGTTGAGCATTATGGTGAACCGTCTCCTCCTCCTTTATAATTTCTCTGTTGGTATGAGGGAGAGTCTCTGATTTAGCTGAGCATTTTGGATATGACTTAGTATTATATATGAGTTAGTATTATTTTTCACTGCCCACCCTCATGCATGGTGATGTCATCAAAAAATCTGAAGATATTTCAGAGGTGGAGCAAAAGACGTCATAGTTTGTTGGAAGATTATGGGAAAACAAGACTGGTATAATGAATGGCGCGTAACATAAGCAGATACAAAAGGTCATTTCTGATTTGAGGTTGACTTTAACCTGTTCAGCTTTGCCCACAAATAAACAGTCAGTGTATGTGTATGTGTGTGTGTGTGTGTGTGTGTGTATGTGTGTGTGTGTGTGTGTGTGTGTGTGTGTGCGTTCAGGTGAGCTGAAGGAGATAAAGCAGGACATCTCCAGCCTCCGCTACGAGCTCCTGGAGGAGAAATCTCAGGCCACAGAGGAACTCGCTGACCTTATCCAGCAGCTGGGTGACAGGCTCAGTAAATCCACCAAGAAACCCTGAAGAGCTTCCTGTTCTCTGCATCGCTGATAGCAACCATTCGGCCTGAACGCTGCGGGCTATGTTCTAGCTACTGTCTCTGAAATCCTACAACAAACCAAGCGAAAACGTACCTGACACATTCAGCCATGTTCTACTTATGCAACACAGCCTGTCTGAGAACAGCAGTACTTAATGCCTGTTTTTAGTTTTTGACTTGAACAATAATAACATTGTGGCCTCCACATTTAATATTCAGCCCTGCTGTAGAAACTGATGTATTATAAACTTTCTGATGTCTTTTGACAGACATATGCAAAAGTTTGGGCGCCCCTGGTCAAATTACATTTTCTCATGAAAATAAGTGAACACGTCATCTACAGAGGACTTTTTAATACACTGTCGCTGCTTATTTACTGAATTTAACACACTGCGGACAAAACTAAGTAAAAAATGTGGCCTGTGCAAAAGTTACAGCACATTTTATGCTTTATGTTTACTTTTAACAGCAAATGAATAGAAATTATGCACTAATTTTTCAGAATAAGCCACATTTAAGTGTGTTCTCTGTAGAGGATGTGTTCACTTGTTTTTAAAAATTCAACAAAATGTGTAATTTCACCAGGATTGTTCAAACTGAACAGACATATTGAATTTGGGTGCTTAACGCAGAAGGGGGATAAGTGTAGTAAACGTAGATCAGTGGATCATTATACTTGTATGAGTAGTGCACAGTGCAATACTGTATTTTCAACATAAAAATAAAATTAATATGAAAACTTTCTCAGATAATATTTGATGAAGTCTCTCTGTTCCTAACATGCACATATTAATCATGTATCATTTGTCTTACTTTCTAATTCTTTTACAGTTAATTTACAATTATTTTTGATTCAGTTCAATTTACTTTCGTCGCACTTTTCACGACTGGAATTGTTCACAGTGGTGGGGATAGGAACCAGACGTCCACCTCTAAAAGCTCCCTACATTAAATGGTTATGAATTCGCTGCCTGATGACTGAGACACTGTTTTATGACAGTTTTGAGACAGATAAACGTATTTAAACTACATTCAGGGTGGAGGGGTACTTGTAGAGTGTTATGAGGCAAAAAAAAATTCCCAAAGAAGCTTTTTCACTGTTTTATCATTGGAAACACTACATAAGATAATAAATACAATGGCAGTTTGTAAAGAAATCTGAGGTGGCAAGTTTCTCTACATCAAACCACTCTGAATGAGTATGTTTACATCTCATTGACTGAATTATACAGGAATGTTGAAAAATCAGTGGCATTCCCCCTTTAATTCAACACGCCGAGCCCTATGCCTTCACCTGTGCTTATGGCTCTATCTGCTGGCCCAGTGATGTAACTACATGAACGGGAATAAAATGGTGAAATTGGGGGACTTGATTTGCTAAATAAACAAAACAGTGATCATACATGATCAGCTGCTTTTCTGCCTTGATGTTCAACTAAACATTAATGATTTTAATATATTATTACTGTTCATTTACTCAGTTTAACACACTGGGGACAAACACTAAAATGAAAAAAATGTAGCCTGTGCAAAAGTAATGGCACATCTTATATTTTATGGTTATTTCTTCCATTATGTTAAACATCAGATAAATAGAAAGATTTACTTTTTGCTTAATCTTCAGAAAAAAATATTATTTTCACACCTCAGGCTATCAAATCAGACACTATATGAGCAGTTTTCACCATAAATGACATGACAAATGAGTAACAGGGTTAAACTGTGAGATCATATCCCCCATTTAGTTGATATAAATGATATAAATATAAATTATATGTTTGCATAGAGCAGAATCTCTGGAAAAGTGTTTGTTTCATTTTCATTTAAAGAAACTGAAGATTAAAAAAATTAGTAACAGTGCTGTGAATGTAGCCCAAAATAGGTAGCATTCAGGAGTGGTTGGCTTGACAGGGTGCACATATATATGTATATATATATATATATATATATATATATATATATATATATATATATGAACACACACACACACACACACACACACACACATATATATATATATATGTGTGTGTGTGTGTGTGTGTGTGTGTGTGTGTGTGTGTTCAGTTTTTGACACAAATTGAAAATGACTGCTGCACTTTACATTGTATGTAAATTTCATGATGAATGGAGCAAAATAAATGGCTCAAAATGACTGTATAGACATATATGTTTATAATTATGTATATATGCATAGAATTTTGGTAACAGGGTTGAATGATCAAGCGTCACTGCAGCCAAATTAATTTGTTTGTGTGTAAATTGAAAAAAACAGAATGAAAACACTGACCTGTCTGATGGTCATTCGGCAGAAAACAACAACAAGAAGATGCAAATTCCTGAATATGTCACAATAAACAAGTTAAAAAGACTGGGATATTTTTGTTGTTTTAACATGAAATTGCATAATTTCTTGAACATTAACCAAATAACTTTGTAATTATGGTGTTACTGGAAGATTTTGATGAACATATTTCATAGTGAAGAGTGTCAGTAAGGTGGGACGACCCAAAAACACCATATTAAAGTGTTTCTGTGATTAATGTGATTAATAAAATGCTACTTTTAATCATTTTATTTTCGATAAAGTACAGATCCCTTCACATTTCACAGAAATTAAAAAAAACAACAACAGTCACTTTATCAGTTTTAGGTAATGGGACATAAATTGAACCCTTTTCATGGAAAGTGTGTGATAGACTTACATATTAACCCTATAACACACTGTAATGCAAGGCAATCTCTGATAAATACGATTAAAACTCAACTTTGAATCTGGAAAATGTAGCTTTAAGCTATAAAACAGGCTGTTCTCCAGAGTTTGGCTGCTGTACAGGTCTCAGTTCATTGAAAACATACTGCACATTTCAAAGTAACCTACTTTATCTTTATCAAAACTTGTTTTATTTCCCATCAGAACTATTTATGTCAAGCACTCACTGCAGCTCAGTTTCACAAATAGGGTATTCTCTTCTGTCTAGTTCATTAATACAAGCTATAAGCCTCTTACAGGCCAAAGCCTGCATGATCAGCTGTGTATTCAGTGTGAGCGCAGCATCGTGATCTTTTTAAAAATCTCTTGAGCTACAAGGAATTTCTCTCAGAATGTATGTCAGTGACAAGTCTTTTCTAAGAGTTATTCTCAAAGGCACCAGGACCGCTCCTCCTCTCTCAAAGGGATGGACTCTCTTGTAGAGGCTCTTCGTTTATGAGATGTATGTGTCTGAATGTAGATATCCTATCATAAATCATAAATCACAAATCATTCCACTAAATGTGACCACAGGGAGATTCTCATCGGCATCACAGCCTTTCTCTCAAAGGCGAATCTCAGCGCTGATTCATGAATCACAATTCATGATTCAAAGAAGCCTCGAGGTCCACTTAAGACATTTCTGTGGCTTTAATATATATAAACAATTAGAATTCTTTTGTGCCATTTTTGTCCTTTCCTTATCCCTGAGAATTAAACCGGCTGTTTTTGTTACCCTGATTTACAGTCATATGCAAAAGTTTGAACATTCATGGTCAAATTACATGTTTTATTGTTTTCTAAGTGAAAGTAAAAGAGTTAACAAATCCTGTGCAGAGAACACAAATTTGGTATTTTCGCAATTTCCATTAATATGCTGAGATTTTGAAAAAAAAATAAAAAATAAAACGTAAAATATAAAATGTGCCATAACTTTTGCACAGATCCCAATTTATGTGTTATTTTTCTCAAATATGTCAAATTCAGTAAATGTGCATTAAAATGTGCAGTGTGTGTTCTCTGTAGAGGATGTGTTCACTTGTTTTCACTTACAAAATCAGCACAACTTGGAACTTGACCAAGGGCGCCAAAACTTTTGCACGTGGCTGCATGTAAACGAGCACTGTTCTGATTGGCTGGCTCATTCAGAAAGCAGTACTGGCTGAACCAATCCTTATACTGTCAATGTGAGTGGGTGGAGCTAATCTTCTGTAGGGCTGAATAGTCAGATATGTAAACATATGAGACACCAAGTCGTAATTATGACAGTCATTATTATGAAATGGTAAGTCATCATTATGACATAGTAAGTCATACTTATGACACAATTACAATACAAAGTCATAGTTCTGGGATGCTAAGTAAGAATTATAAGGAAGTGAGTAATAATTATGAGATTCTAAGTCATAATCATGTGTTACTAAGTCGTAATTATGAGATAGGATCTCATTATTACAATAAGATAATGTCATAATGCATGAATAATTATGGAAAACGTACTAATTATACTATCACGTACTAAATATCTATATATTTTTCCAGTGGCTTCTATAGTTTTTGGCACTAAAATAATTAAATAATAATAATAATAATTGCAGCACATAAATAGCCAAGATCTTCTCATTCACACACATAAACAACCATGTGAGACATGCTCTAATTCTCCTTTTAACGTGCACACGAAGACTTTTTAAAGGATCGGTATCGGGATATCAGCACTTCATATCGAATCGAAACAGAAATCAGTCCTTGCTTTTAACAATCTGCGCAACACTGGTGCAAAAAAATGACAAGTCAACTTTAACACTACGAACCACATCTAGTGGGCGGGGCGTCGCCGACAGTACGATGATTGACAAAGCGGCTACCCAATCGTAGGCTCGACTGTGTGGCGTTTCCATGGAAGTGACATTAAAGGAAAAAATCCTCAGCTCCGCCCCTAAGCCGGACCACGCCGCGTACAGCGAGAGTGAACCGGCTCCGAACCGGAAAACCAGCGGCAAACTGCGAACAGCCTGTAAGCGCCTTTCGCTGCTTTAACTCGTCCAGAATAGCTTTATAACACTGATAAAACACGCAGGAAGGAGGAAAAAAGTTCAGCTAGCGGCCTCTCGTCTTCTTCCAGCCGGGCAGCACGGAGGGCTCAACCGCGCGAAGCGAACCGCTGCCCGGAGAGGAGGAGGAGGAGAGGCCGCAGAGCTCAGCGCGACCAGCCGGCTAGCTTAGCTTAGCTACATTAGCCAAGCTGTGGAAAGTTTAGTCGCGGTTTTTGGGTCTGGGTCGCTACTTATAACCATAGCGAGGGCCTTGTTGCCGTTTTTGCTGAAGATATTTCGCAAATAAACTGATTTATTAAATAAATGTTGGCGCTGTCAGCATTTATCTTTCTCTCAATCCGGCTGGCTAGTTTAGAGAAAGCTCGAAGTCGGCTTCTTGTTCCATTTTTCCCGTTCCACCTTAAACGGTGCATCGGTTATATGTAACTGCTGCACCAGTTAAGGTGGACCGGGGAATTTCAGCTTCACCCTCGCATAGTTTAGCTCATATTAGCTTAGCTTAGTGCGTAACAACTTAGACGAGCCGGGTAAACTTCGGTTGCTTTTTATAATGATCCCTAACTCTTTTTTAATGTAGTTTCTGGTTGTTTTAACCAAACTAATAGATTATAATTCCAGGATAGCCACTCGGTGCTCGTCTTCGGTCTTTCCCTTCAAACAGCTGGTTAGCTTAGCTTAGCGTAGTTTGTGACGTTCGGTTTTAGCCTTAGGTTAGCTAAGCTAGCTGTTCAGAGTGTGTCAAACTTTTAGTTCAGACAGATTGAGTTTTATTTGTTTACTGTTTTATTAAAGACATTGTCTTAAAGCAGTTTTACAGAAATGGGGGTCCAGACCGCTAACTAGCTAAAGAGTAAGCCGAAGACCGGAAAAAAGTCCCAAACAGCTCCTTTCAGGAAACTTTAGCTGCTACCGGTTGTTATGTTAGGTCCTAATAATAATAATGATCATAACAACTGGCTGTTTTTGTTCACTTCACCCTTAAAAACTAAAAATTAAACTAATTTGAGCGCCCATCATTCTCTTGAAGCAGACGAGGATGGTTACTCAACGGTCCCGTTCCACCTTAAATGGCGCAGCAGTTAGCGGTAAACATCCGACGCGCCAGAACGTAAGTGCAGCGGCATTTAAGGTGGAACGGGAAATTCGAATAAGAAGCCGCCCGAAGCAGCTGGTTAAGTGGTTAGCTTAGCGCATGTAGCGCTGCTTTATCTCCGAGGACGCTTGAGAAACGGCTTTTGGGTCTTTTTTCACGTACTGTTGACCACAAACCGGCAACAGTCTGAACTGTCCCGGAGTTACGGTGTAGACTGCTCTGTTCTACATCCAGCCCTCGTCATTCTCCGGAATCGGGCGGTTAGCTCGTTAGCTTAGCCCAGTTTAGCTACGCGTGGTGTGATGTTATGTCAATGTGCGATGCTATAACTTTAGCTGCCTCTCTCTCTCTCTCTCTCTCTCTCTCTCTCTCTCTCTCTCTCTCTCTCTCTCTCTCTCTCTCTCTCTCTCTCTCTCTCCACCAGGTCTCTCATAACGACACGCTGAAAGATGGCGGACGACCCGAGCGCGGCGGACAGGAACGTGGAAATCTGGAAGATCAAGAAGCTGATCAAAAGCCTTGAAGCAGCCAGAGGGTAAGAGCCCCAGCTACATATCACGCATGACCGTTTTTTGGGGGGTGTCCGGCTCTCAGTGTGGACTAAACTCTGCCTGATGTGTCCTGGTGGTCTGCTCTCTGTACCCAGCCACATGCTGACAGCCAGCTTTGCTGACAGCTGTTGAACGTGTTGTGAGGAACATGGCCAAGGCCCCACTCCCAGCTTTGCACGGTGGTGAATGGCAGCAGACTGGGGTCTTATCACTTTGTCTCTCAGTAGTGGCTGAAGCGGATCCTCAGCCAAATCACTGAAGCCCTTATTTTGGACATATTCTGAGAAAAGCTGGTTCATTGACAAATTATGTCTGGAAAAGCTGAAGGCAAGAGAGGAAGCGGATGACCAGCAACATATGGATGGATCCGATCAGCACAGTCAAACAAACCGTACATAAGACAGGATACTCTGGTGAAACACTATCCATATGGTTGCCAGGAGTCGGACACGATTTGACAGCACTCGATAATTAATAATAGCATCTTTAAACATGAATATTTGTTAAATAACCACTTGTAATATGGAATGGCAGAAGTGCAATGTAGTGGACCACCCCTTAACCCACTTATAATGGTCAGCTGTTGTCCAGTGGAAAGGTTCAGCCCTGTGATTCTGAGGTGCCTTTATAGCATAGAGGTTTGACCTGGGTCAGTGTTGATCACTAAAGCATTTTCAATGTCATAGGTTTGATATAGCTGGCATTTGGCGTAGCCTGCAAACAGTGCTACTTGTCATCCATGTGGTACTACGTGTTGCCTGCATGTGAATGTAACAGCTACTAATTAAGTTTTACATGCACATAACAGTGTGACCAGCTTCTTAACTGGACCGAATCAAGACTTTTAGAGGAGCTGGATAAAACAGTGGTTCATTCAAGAGCAAGGCTGAAAGATTAGTCGTTTTTATATTGAAGTGGCAGGTTGAAAGAATCCACTGTCTTAAATTTTAAGTGGTGCAATTTAACCTAATAACATGGAGCTACAGCCTGTAGATGAGTTAGACCAATCAAAAGCAACTAAACACACATGCTGTGTACATGACAGTACAACCACAACTGACTGGCGGTAAATGGTAGTGTTCAAAGCCCAAGCTAGAAAAGAGCACTATTCTGGTGTTCTTGGCCAAAATAACAGGCCTGAACCTAAATTAAAAAGTCTCAGTTTAAATTACTGTCAAGGTATTGGTCAGAAAATCGCAATTAGATTTTCCCCCAAGTGGTTCAGCCCAACACTGGCTGGTATAGCAAGGTACAGTTATTAATCCAACTCCATGACTGTCTATGCTCTGACCACTTTTGTTAATTTCCCAACAGAACCATAAACGTAGGCTATTTCTAGCTTTGCCCATTAGCCTCAGTTCGGTATGCTTGATAAACTGGCAAGGAGGGTAACCAAATTCAGTACAGACACTCAGGTATGGTACAGCTCCCTTGGCAGTGGAGAAAGTGCGGTCATGGATTTGTAAACATATCGTCCTGTAACACACTTCCTGATGGAAGAACGCCTTTAGTAAGACTAGCAGTTAGTTGGATATTGGTGTGAATATGAACATAGCAGTTGGCCCAGCAGTGTATTTGTTCAGCGTACAGCGGGTAGCCTGATATGGATCTACAGTACTGTGCAAAAGTCAGAGACCACCCTTCATATATTTTATTCAAGTCAAAATGGCCATTATATTACAATTACATATTATATATGAAACATACGTTTAACGGAAAATTACACACAAGTCTCAACAACTTAATATAATAGCATTTGTACAGTATTTAGTTTGTCCACTCTTTACTTTTATAGTAACTTTTATTCTTTACAGGAGTCTCTCTTTCAGTTTTCCAAATAAATCTGAAGGAATATTTTTCCTTACCTCAAAAGTTCAGTCTTTGAAGCTGGTTGATCATTTTCTGAAGTAATCAAACACATTCAGTGGTGTTGAGGTCTGGACTCTGGGGTGGTCAGTCCATTGTTCAGCTTCTTAGTTTGATGTGTCCGTCTCCTTTTCTCAGTGAGGTTCTTCTTGACAGCTACACATCCTTTCAGACCCACAGCGCTGAGTCGTCTTCTCACAGTGGAAGGATGGACAGAAACACCTGTGGATGTTTTCAGATCTGAAGCAGCTTGATTTTCTCCTTTAAGTGCTGTTTATCTGATGGGGGCAGTTTTGGGGTCTACCAGGTCTTCCAGGTGGTTGTTAGGAGGCACATTTTCTCTGTAGCTTTTAATTATTTGTTGAATGCCAGTTTTGGAAACCTTTTTTTTCTAAACTTATTTTTCCTTTGACTGTATCTCCTCCAAAACATCTGAAAAATCAGTTACTTGGACTTATTTGCTGTTTTGACTGGAAATCTCTGGCTTTTCCACAGAACTGCAGTAATGCATGCAGCCCTAAACTTTCTTCAGTGATGTATAAGCAGCCTATAGAGGTCACCTCAGAATGAAGTCCTCGAAAATGTGTTTTCAGTGTGTAATGAGAGAGGCTGCTCTGTTGTCGTGGCCCCTGGTGCCTGTATTATTAGTGAGCCCTGTCTGTTGTGTAAACGTCACATTATTGAGAATTGAGTTTTGGTGCTCCAGGGCTCGCTTGCTCTTGGCTCCTCTGGGCTACAAACATAATTTCTAACCTGCCCTCATGTTGTGAAGGTCATAAGTGCACTCTGTGTGATTCAGTAACTTGTGTTTTATTGTTACGTGGCTTGCAGGAATGGCACCAGTATGATATCCCTCATCATCCCTCCTAAGGACCAGATATCTCGTGTGGCTAAGATGCTGGCTGATGAATTCGGGACGGCCTCGAATATCAAGAGCAGAGTGAACAGACTCTCAGTGTTGGGTGCCATCACCTCAGTACAGCAGAGACTCAAACTCTACAACAAGGGTATGCAATTTTTTTCATTGGGGGGAAAGAAAAATTGCTAAAATGTGTGGTTTTCAGGCTGTTAAGCCTGAAATAATCTTTTAAAAGTCAGATTGAGAGTTTTTCAATCTGCATCATATGTCTTTACATGTTAACGTCACGCGCAGACTCAAAAAGAAGGTCCAGCTCGATGTTTAGGTCTCAGATGTAAAATAAACATTATACTGACGAAGATATGATGACAATAATAGATAATTCACCTTCATCGTCGTCATTCAACAAGCTTTGGGCGAGTCCTCTGTGAATACTCTTGTAATCATCGGATTCGTCCGCTCTTGAAGGGGTCCGAAGCACAACCCACGCTACAAAACGTTCTTCTACATGTTGCATGCAGTTACACATTTCTGCCAGAGAGGTCTCCAAATCCCCAAAACTTACATAGTGCAGCCGTTAAGTAAATAAGGACTTTTTCACTTCACAAAAAAATTGATGGGTTGTGAGACAAACACTGCCTCTACATGTGGGTGCTGTCATAAAAACAGTTGAGAACTTTTGCATTAGAGTACCAGAAAGAGCTGCTTACACCAAGAATGAAGACGTGGGTGAGTGACTGGGGTGTAAATCTGTGACCTCACAAAAATTGAGATTATGATTATTTAGCGGATTATTTAGTGCGTCATCAGATGTCACATTTTACCACACTGAATACACAAATATGAAAATAATACAGCATTTTCTGATCAGCCCAATAATTATTTAGCCAAACAAGGTACAGTTGATTCAATGCTGTCATAATTAATTGTTGATATAGATGATTTTATATGTATGTATTTGATTATCATTAATTCTAACAGTGCTAAATGTATATAATTGAACTACTCCTCTTCTTTTATGTTGTATTGGTAAAACCACACATCCTGTATAAGTACATATTGTTTTCTACTCCTGTTTTCTGGTGTTCATTTGCAGTGCCTCCCAATGGTCTGGTGGTGTACTGTGGGACCATAGTGACGGAGGAGGGCAAAGAGAAGAAAGTTAACATTGACTTCGAACCATTCAAGCCAATCAACACGTCCCTGTATTTATGTGACAACAAATTCCACACAGAGGTGAGTGATTTCCTTTATTTTTATGCAGTTCTGGTCAGACGTTTGTGGCATTTGAAGCACAAATCAGATCACGGATGTTTTAAGGCAGATTTCAATTTCTATACAGATAAATACAGAAAATGGAAACAAATACAACACTGTTTTGTTTTTTCTCTTTACCTGAAAATCTCACTTTGCTGGCTAAATTAATGCACTTATATTAGACGCCAAGTTGGTTGGTAGATATGGATGTGTCTTCAAATGCAGCACATTATTTACCTTGTAAAACCATAGTCATTTTAGTAAAATTTAAAGTTAGTTTGAGGATCACTTGTAAGGAAGGAGTATCTGCCGATTCCGATTGTGTGCCCCATGGTGATTAATTGGCCTGTATCTTTAATTTCCTTTAACTTTTCTCAGCCCATGAGAGATTGCACCACATTAATGGTTACCAATTGAATTACCGAGTTGAGTTTCTGGAAAAAAGCATGATTAACATTTTGTGGGGCTGAACTTGAACCTGACTGTTGTCCACCTTCAGGCTCTCACTGCGTTGCTCTCAGATGACAGCAAGTTTGGGTTCATTGTGATTGATGGCAGCGGTGCTCTGTTCGGAACTCTACAAGGCAACACAAGGGAGGTGCTGCACAAGTTCACAGTGGACCTGCCCAAAAAGCACGGTAAAGTGTGGTAATTTACCCACACCTTCCTGTGATTATAGGTTGTGATGTCACATCAGTGATCTGAAAAAAGCCACTTAGGTAGCTTATATTCGGCGCTTCTGCTGGATAACCTTGCTAATGGATTGGTGTTGACTTTGCTGCGAATGACACCCTTTATTTAATTGCAGACACCTTGGCTGTTTTACTGCAGGTTCAAAGTAATAAATAATTTATTAAGGAGCCCCATGATCATATGAGATGAATGTTCACTCCTCAGCCCTTACAGTCCGTACACAGAAACTAATGCTAACCATACACTAGAAGACTTTGAGAAGAATTTGGAAAGACTTCTGAAAGACTAAAGTCTGACACCCTCTCACATCTAAAGACAATGTCACAGTTTTTAGTACAGACTGTGATTTTGAGACCATAAGAAACAAACAAAATAAGAAACCAGTGTAACAGGAAGAAAAAAAGTGGGAAAAAAACATTGATGGTTCTTTAATAATAAAGTTCTCTGCACATTTCCTAACATTACTGTTACACTCAGTGAACATAAAATTTTCTTTCTTTCTTTCTTTCTTTCTATCTTTCGTGCCGCTCGCTCTCAGGCATGTAATTGTTTGCATGAGCCAAGATTTAAAACTCACAATAATATTAAACACGGTTGATTTTGTTGTGGCATCAAGACGAGAAGAAGGCTGATTTAAGACCACCATCCAGACCACCTCACACTAAACGATCAATATGACACGCGCGCAACGCAACTCTAGCAAGACTCTCAAGATTTTATTCCGACACGCCAAATTTGTCTGCGACAGTGAAATCGCTTGAAAAGTCGTTTGGTGTGAGGCTGCAAAAACAGCCTGTTTTGTGATGTAAAAAGAACAATACAACAGCGATTTAGCTCCGCCCACTTACATAGATTTTGTAAGGAATGTTTCCATACTGGGTTTTTGAATAAAGCACAGTACAGGGCAGCCAGTAAGAACAGGGCTAATTTACATATATCATTGTGAAAATCACAATACCAAACAGCCTGTTCCAACAGCAGAGTTGGTAAATACTCATATGAAGATTAATTATGACTGTTTTTTGGTACATAAAACTGCAGAAATGTTATAAGTTAATTTCAATAAAATAAAATAGAAGGAAAATGTATAATATGGGTCACTGATCCAGTTAGCTATAAGCTAACAATCTTGCTATCTTGGCTTCCTTCTATGCCTCATAAACAAAGGTATATGAATCATAAAGAGAATAGTTTCACAGTGGTTGAGTGCCTGTTTACTGTGGATCTGCCCATAAAGCACAGTAAAGTGCTGTAATTTACATCTGTGTCAGTTTGAGGTCGTTGCTCACTGTTCTTTGTGGTCTCCCCTTCTCTCAGGCCGAGGAGGTCAGTCCGCTCTGCGTTTTGCCCGTTTGAGAATGGAGAAGAGACACAACTACGTGAGGAAGGTGGCAGAGACGGCCGTGCAGCTGTTTGTGTCCAATGACAAGGTCAACGTGGCTGGGATGGTTCTTGCTGGATCAGCTGACTTCAAGACTGAGCTTAGCCAATCAGACATGTTTGACCCGGTACGTTCCTCTGTATATGCCATACAGGGGTGGCCAGTAAGATACACAGATTAGGCATAACATCATGACCACCTCCTTGTTTCTACACTCATTGTCCATTTTATCAGCTCCACTTACTATATAGGTGCACTTTGTAGTTCTACAGTTACAGACTGTAGTCCATCTGTTTCTCTGATACTTTGTTAGCCCCCTTTTACCCTGTTCTTCAGTGGTCAGGACCCCCACGGACCCTCACAGAGCAGGTACTATTTGGGTGGTGGATCATTCTCAGCACTGCAGTAACACTGATGTGGTGGTGTAGTGTTAGTGTGTGTTGTGCTGGTGCGAGTGGATCAGACACAGCAGTGCTGCTGGAGTTTTTAAACACTGTGTCCACTCACTGTCCACTCTATTAGATGCACCTGCATTGTCAGTCCACCCTGTTGATGTAAAAGATACGAGACAATAGCTCATCTCTTGCTGTACAGTATGAGCTAATCAACCCCACAGGACGCTGCCCACAGGACGCTGCCCACAGGACGCTGCCCACAGGACGCTGCCGCGCTGGATATTTTTGGTTGGTGGACTATTCTCAGCCCAGCAGTGACACTGAGGTGTTTAAAAACTCCAGCAGCACTGCTGTGTTTGATCCACTCAGACCAGCGCAACACACACTAACACACCACCACCACGTCAGTGTTACTGCAGTGCTGAGAATGACCCACCACCCAAATAGTACCTGCTCTGTGAGGGTCCATGGGGGTCCTGACCACTGAAGAACAGGGTAAAAGGGGGCTAACAAAGTATCAGAGAAACAGATGGACTACAGTCTGTAACTGTAGAACTACATAGTGCACCTATATAGTAAGTGGAGCTGATAAAATGGACAATGAGCATAGAAACAAGGAGGTGGTCATTATGTTATGCCTGATCGGTGTATGTTATCATTTTTGTTACAGCTGTCAAAGGTTGCCCCTTTTTAACTTTTAAAGCACGTGATGGGTGTAATCACTACTCATAGGACACTGAACAACTGTGTGTGTACAGATGTAAAAAAGACAGTTTTGCAGTGCATTTTCTCCATTCAAACTGCAGTCATCAGAAAAGCATGTTATTGTGAAACACACTGCGTTGTGGAAATGTGTTTATGTTGTGATCTGCTTCGGCTAACTTGCCCACCTTTTAATGTTGTCTTTCTTCAGGCGCTGTGGGTTCTTTTATCCCACTTCTTGACTCATTTGTTTTCCCCGTCTCCATGCAGAGGTTACAAGCAAAGGTGTTGAAACTGGTCGACATTTCTTATGGAGGAGAGAATGGATTCAATCAGGCCATCGAACTCTCTGCTGAGGTGCTGTCCAACGTCAAATTCATCCAAGAGAAGAAACTAATAGGTAATAAACCTGAGAATGGATCCTAATGCTTTTGAAACATTATTCTGTGTTCAAAGTAGGTCTCTACTGTAAACATAGTCATATGAATTGTATTGCAACATATTATATGATTGACATGGTTAGCGTTAGCTTGTTCACATGCTAGTTTTTTTAGCTTCAGGGTAACATTGGCTCGAGGCTAAAGCGTTAGACCGAGACATTATAAAGTAGAGATCTGAGGGGGACTGTTTTTCAGTCCCACTCCTGCAGAAAATCGGAATCATTTCAACCGCAACAGAAACTATTTGTCTCACTCTCGACTGCAGTTCCGTCAAGGCAGAATGACATCCAATATCTGACACAGTCTATTCACAAGTACATTATTCTCTGCTGAAATAACACGGCAGTCATAGTCATCAGGCTTTTTATGAAGTAACTTCACCAAACGCCGCTTTTTCCTGTAAACACAAAGCAGGAATTAAAAACAGAGCGGTTATTTTTGGTGTTTTGCTGGGCAGCTGTGGCTGTCAGACTGAAGGCTCTGCCCTCTCTCTAACGCCTGATTCACACATGCTACCTCTGCGTTGCGTGAGTGATGCAGCAGGCGCTACAGCTCGGACGCGCTGGCCTTTCATACATACATCGTTTGAGTAGAGCAGCGAGAAAGTCATACGGACATACAGACGTTTCCAGACGGATAAATGGTCACACCGGTCACTCTTTAATAAAAAAAAAAGTGTTTTATGATAGTACGTGGTAAGTTTGTTTATCCCGGACACCATTCTGACTTGTGACTAGGCAAAAGTTTCAAGCCTGGTAGACGAACCAGGAAATATGTTTGCAGCACAGAATGTTTAACTAGTTTTTGCCATAATTTACATCACATTACATTTATTGATTCTCATGGCTTATTTCAGTGTATTTTGCTGTGTGACGCGCACAGGAAAAAATCGGCGCCTGGTCTGTTCTCTAAACACCGCTGGGATGCAACCTGTGTGAAACTGCTGACCACCTAAAATGGGCACCAAAACGAAAAGCAAGACTTTCCGCGTCGCTCACGGCACGTAGACACAGTGTATGTGAATCAGGCCTATGAGAATTCGTGACTAGTTCACGTGATTGGTTGCTCGAGAATGACTTCATTCATTTTAACTGTTTTACTGTTATTTTGTTTGCATATACGATTTAGTGGCCGTTCTACTTATTTAGGCTATTCTTTAATTTGCGGGGTTTTCTCTTGTCTGTATCTGCCCGGTCCCACCTGCAGTGGGCTGGCTTCCTGCCCGCTTCCTCACACAACACTGAAAATTAGTCCCACGCTGCAAGAAATTGTGGCGGGTCCTGTGGGAATCCGTGGGAGTGCAGGCCTCTATAAAGTGTAGTTTTGTCTCAAGTATTACTCGTAAAATGTTTAGTGCTTTAATAAACTGAAAATGGAAACTAACATATTAACACAAGGCACATTTTTAGCTGCTCCTTTTTGTTGCTATATCGAAACATTTATTGAACTTCTGTGAGTTGTTATACCCCTAATAGGGGTGAGCATCCTGACCGACCCTCACATGTTCATGGCCATATTAATGATTCAAGACATTTAATTGATCCAACAACCCTAAATAATTTTGGTTAAAATATGCCGGCCAGTTGTTTCCATGTTGTTTTTTAAGGTATTACATCAAGACATTATTGCGTCTCTGTTCAGGGCGCTACTTTGACGAGATCAGTCAGGACACGGGGAAGTACTGTTTTGGAGTGGAGGACACGCTCAAAGCGCTGGAGATGGGAGCTGTGGAGATCCTCATTGTTTATGAGAACCTGGACACTATGCGCTACGTCCTACGCTGCCACGGAGCCGAGGGCAGCGCGCCGGAAAATGGTATTTATGTAAACGTGTTTCACTTTTTGATTCTTTCCGTCTCAAAAGACCATCCTGTTAATCCTGTTTCTTTTCCCGATTAGATGAGAAGACACTATATCTGACACCAGAGCAGGAGAAGGATAAGTCTCACTTCACAGACAAAGAGGTGAGCAAACAATCTTTCTTTTCTTTTAGATGATGCCGCACAGTAAAGTGGAAGGAGCATTAGTGAGGAAAACAAAACTGACCTGTCTGGTATAACTGTTTAGATTTAAACAGAATAATTATAATTGGTATAATAAACACAAACTCTAATTTCACTTTACATAGAGTTAATTTGCTTCCTTTGCCAGGGGCCAGCTGACAGCAAATGCACATCTGAATGAATACAGTAGAGGAGGGTTTTGCTAAATAATTTAAAATTTTAGTAATAAAATAAATTTTAGTAATTTTTAGTATTTGCGCAATATTAATTTGGTATACAAGCAACCTACACATTTTTGTTTCAAGCATCTACCGTATGTGAACACTTCAGCTGAAAGTGGTGTGAGCCCAGATGTTTGTTGTGGGGTAAACTGTAACAGACTGAGGGACTAGTTGTAGTAGTAAAAACAGTCACTGTAAGTCTGATAAAATGATGCAACAATTTGTTCAGCTTTATTGTTTGGACCAGATGAGCTTTTCAACCTAGATGCATAAATATATTCTTCAAATTGAAAAGAACCTGTTTTTGAACACTTAAGTTTATTTTTGACCACAAAGGCATGATCAGTTTTTTGTTTTGTTTAAAATTGGATTTTGAATAACAAAATGAGCCTATGGTAGTATGGTAGTCCAGTATTGCTGTAGAAATAGAGCTTCTAGTGTGGACATTTAATACCAAAACAATCTGCCAAATTTCAGAAGCTGTACCACTTAAATCCTTACTGTTTTTTTTCAACATACAATGTATTAATTGTACGTGTACCAGCTGAGTCTGTATCTCTGTTTTAGACGGGGCAGGAGCATGAACTCATAGAGAGCATGCCGCTGCTCGAGTGGTTTGCCAACAACTACAAGAAATTCGGGGCCACACTGGAGATCGTGACTGATAAGAGCCAGGAAGGATCGCAGTTTGTGAAAGGCTTTGGCGGCATTGGTGGTAAGGGCTAAATTCAACTTTCTCAGTTGAAGTTTAGTGGCTGAATTGTAGGGGTGGAAGGTGAATACTGGTATGATTGTCTTATGATAAGGATTTTATCCTGTGATAAAACACAAATGATTTTCCACAAACAGTTCGACCCAAAAGCCAAAATAAATAAGAATAGATTAAATTATTTATTCTTATGAACTCACTAAGGCTGCGTTTACACTGCAGGTAAAAGTGGTCCAAATCTGATTTTCTCACCGGGTACGAATTTTTTTTGTTTGGCTGTTCACAATATCTTTTAAATGTGATCTGTATGCGACATCAGTCTGAACAGATCAGCTCCTAAACTGACCCTCATGCGCATAAGAATAATGCTTCACGCGGCTCATCCAGATGAAAACAATCACGACTGCCATCGAGCGCCAGTCGCCTCCGGAGCTTTCATTTTCATCTTCACCAGCATCACAGGAGCCATCATGAAGCTTCACTGACTGACAGCTGGGCTCATCACCCAGAATGTGTTCGAGTTCGCTGTAAAAAGTCCACGTTATTCGGACACTTCTTTGGTTCGTGTCCTCGGATTCTTTAAACTTTTTTTTCCTCACGCTGCAGCCTTGTTCTCTTATGGCTGCGTTTGGGTGTTTCATTCGAAATCTCTTTGAACATGGAGCAGTAACGATAAGTGCTTTCTAATTTTTTGTACAGAAACATCACCCTGACCGTTTGAGGTCTCAGCAGCATGAAATTATGACAAATGTGGAGCTGGATTGGCGTAAAAGTCGCATGAATTCCGACCTGGCTGTTCAGACTGAGTCGCATTGGATCGGATTCGATATGGATCGGATTTCAGTACCACATATGAAAAACGTCTCAAATCGGAATTGAAAATGTCAGATTCATTGTGTTTATCTGTTCACAATAGCCACGTTTACATGCAGCCTGATAATCCGTTAATAATCCGACTAATAGCTCAATCGGAATAGAATACGTCCATGTAAACACCTCAATCGGAATAGTCTAGTCCGATTGAGGCCATTCGGAATACAATTTCTATCCCGACTGATCGAGGTGGGTAATCCTGTAAATAATCCGTTAAATAGAAGAATAATATCCATGTAAACGCCTGTATCTGATTACATTCCCTATCGGAAAGTTAAAGTCCGCTCTGATCATGTTCGTCGTGTCATAGTGAAAGTTTATACCGTTCAACATGGCGGAGCAGAAACTGGTCTGCAGAGGAGACGAAGTTTATGCTCTGGTCTTTAAAAGACAGCGGTGGGACGGACGTCCAGCTTATGTGTCTCAGAACACGACGTCTTCCTCTCGGCCTTCTTTAATAAGGACATGTGAAGGACGTTTTCCTGAGTCTGACATCATTTTAAAGCAATTAAAACACAAGCGTGCCAACTGGAAACTCATCTCACGCGGACTGAACCTCACGTGATGTTCGCTGTCATGGTAACGTTTACTCTAAGCGCTACTCCACGCATGCGCGTCATTTTGCATCGGATTACTTGTAGTGAGCATATAAACAAAGATTTTCCATCAAATTGTTGAGAAGAGTGTGCATATAAACACCTCAGTCTGAATCTGTAATCGGATTTTATTCAATCAGATTGGCAAAAATCTTTGCATGTAAACAGCCACTGACACACAGATAACAGATCTGTATCACGTATGAAGATTTGGGCCACTTTAACCTTCCGTGTGAACAAAGCCTAAGTGTTGGTGTAGATTAATACCTTACAGCAGTGCACAGGTTTACTTCATTCTTTTGTTGCACTCTGTTGGACAGAATACATGTTACGTCACATAACAGCAGAGTGATAAACTTGACGTGTGGAATAGTGAGCTAACTACCGCAAACTGAATTATTTTTGGGGCCGTCTACAAGTGTAACATAGAACTGAGGGGGGAAAAAAAAACAAGAGGAAATATCTGGGAGTGGGCCAATATGGCAAGACATGATGCACAAAATTTGCATCACAATAGCTGGTTTTCTGAGGTTGAATAAGTTGGGACCGTGCTGCACTGAATCGAACACGAATAATTTTGCTGTCTTGGTAATGAAACATGCAAATGGTCGGTGTTCAAATACTGACAATTTACTAACCATGTTTATTGTGATAATGATAATTATTTATCATATTGTCCAGCCAGTGATGTACATTTTAAGGTAATTTTTCCTACCTGTACTGAAATGACTGATGTTTTAATACATGATCATGACTCTAAAGACCTTGCGAACAGCTCCACGATTGCCCATGGTGCATATTTTTATCTTCTCTTCTTGTAGGAATTTTGCGGTACCGAGTGGATTTCCAAGGCATGGAGTACCAGGGCGAGGATGACGAGTTCTTTGATTTAGATGACTACTAGGTAGTCGAGACTGACAATTGGAGAATTTTTCAAAAGTAAAGGATTTCCCCTCTGCTGCTCAGCGGACGACTTGGGGGGGGCGGCGAAGACAGTGAATCGGCGACGAGGAGATTACGATGTGAGGGGGAAGAGAAATGGTATCTACATGTATGTATCCCTGACCTTAGAACACAGTGACTCCATCTCCTGACTGGATGAAGCTGACTGGGTTTTGCTCCTCTCTTTACATCGCTAACACATCACAGCAACAGTACGGACATGGACATCCCACCCCGCACCCCCCACCCCCTGCCGCCCCTTCTCGGCTCTCCAGAATACATGCTGATAGGCTGTGAGGTTTATTTTGTTTTGTTTTTTTAAACCCATCCCTGTTTCTTGACTAGGGCTGCACGATATGGACAAGCATAACAGGTATATTACTTCTGTATATCGCGACTGGGATTCCTTGCAATATATGAAAATGCACTGGCGACTCTGTAATGTGAGCGTTAAAGATTAACAATATTTTGACCAAAATAATCTTCTTTTGTTGGATTACACAAATACCTGAATTCATCAAAACACCCGTAGAAGCCAATCCGCCTTGGCTGTGACTGAAATGGATCCCTGGCTGCATTTTAGGTACCTGTTACGAACGTTTGCTAGTTTCCTTTTAGGGTCTGAATCGTAAAGTGAATTTGCAGTGTAATTTTGAGGGCACTGCACTCGTCATTTCTAGCGAGCACCGTAGATCACCAAAGCTGCGATCCGTAATCTGGCAGCTAAGACGGTTGGGTCCTCGGTAGTGCTGTTCTTAGAAGGCTCCTAAATTACATTATGCAAAACAGAACCGTCTACAAAACACTGTCAGTCAGCTGGCAGGCATTTATATGAATGATGTAACGTGGCAAGCAAAACATTTTGTTTGTGATTAGATTCTATCCTGCAGCTAAAAACTGTTCACCTCACTGAAAGCTGGTGCATTTCATAGCCTGCGTTCAGTTTAGACCCTCTTTAATACGAAACAGCCCAGTGAATATTTTACCGTATATTTTAATGGCCGCTTTAAATGGCGTGTAGTAGTTGGTTTCGTCTGTCGGTGTTTCTCTTAAAATTTCTTTTGGTCAGATGCGTGCATGAAGAATAGTCTGCTCCTTGAAAACTGTCAGAATGTAGGCTTACATCAGCTGAATATGTACCAAAGTGCATCGCGAGTCCCGGTACTAAGCAGCACATTAGTTAACGTTAACGGTGGCTGCTGAGCCGTTGAGCCGAAACTTTGGGGGGATAAAAACAGCAGCTCTGTAGAGTTAAAAAGAGAGATTTACTGCTAATCATACAGAACAAACACTTGGCTGGTTATGGACTAAGAATTAAACGTGTAGCCAAAAAAAGTGTACACTTTCCCCCCTACCTGCACGACCATGTCTACAGCTGCGAATAAGAAGCCACCTTAAACTAGTGCTGTATTATTTATACAACTAGTGAACACTATGGCACTGTTGCAGAATGATGAGTGTCCTAATTAATTTGATTCATGCTGCGGTATTTGGTAGGTAGTTCTCCTCTGTATAGCATAGTACTAAAGAGGGATCCCTTTCAATCACAGCCATGGTGATTGGTTAGAGGCCTCATATGCAAACTGCAGCCTTCTGCGATATGAGTATTGATCCTTGTCGCATGTCCGTATTAGACTCGGAAGCAGTCATAGTAGAGACAACATTTAGTGCTTCAGTTAATAAATGAGAATGTAGATGAGTTGCACATTTTTTATAACCTCATTAATATGTTGTTTTCCCTAGAAGATGTTTGTTTAGCAAATCAGTCATTTCGGAAAGGAGCAAGATGGAAAAAAGGCTACAAACTCTTCAGGAATTACCTGCATGACTTTAGAGCGCAAAGATCCGCATAAGATGAAATGAAAATGTTTTTAAAGTGTCGGTTTAGCTCTCCAGGACCTTGTTTCCATCAAAGTGGCTTTAAAATGCTGTACCAAACCACGTCATTTCCTGCAAAAAGCTCTTGTTGCAGTTTTGGTTTATGAAAAATATTTTAGAAATAGCTGCGCGACATGCTTTCATCTCTAATTCCATGTATTTTGCATTTTGTGTACGTTCGGGTTCCCTGACTTCCCAAACAAAAACGACCAAATGGAGAATTTTGATTATTTTATTTTTATTCTGTTATCATTTAAAGCTAAATTTATGCATAAATGTGTTCTATTCCACACTTCTCGTCCCAAAAGACACGTTTCTAGTGTAGGTTTCCGTAACATTTCAGGTTATCAGCAAACAATACATCCACTAAAGTTGAATGAAAACATTTTTGCCAGTGTTTATAAAACATTTCCGTTTCCACAGCCTACATCAGCAAACTGTTTTGCGGACAAAAATAAAATAAATTGAACGCCTCTGACCACTTCCGCTGCGTCAAATACGCAATTAGAAAAAGGGTCCATTGCAAGGGTGACCACTGCAGTAACGTTTTACATGCGATATATTGTGCAGCCCTATTCTTAACTCTCCTTTTTTGGACTCTCTTCCCGCTGCTGTGCTATTTTATGAGAGTTTATGGCATTTGCTGTTTTATTTTGAAGTAATCTCAGTGTGTGAGGCAAGCAGGACAGATTAAATCGGTGCCGTTTCCTCAGCTGCCTCAAGCCCCTTTTGTTCTTCTCTTTAGTTTACTTCTGCCTCGTTTCTGCTGTAAATCAGTAGGATTATGCATTCTGAGCCAGCTAGATCTCCTGCTCCTCCTGTCTCGGTGGACCTGACGGCGCACCGAGACGTCTCCTGCACAGAAGGACCATCGCGTAGCTGGATCGCCTCTCCGTTCTGCTGCATCTGTATAAGGACAGATGTTTGTTTCTCGGCCTCGTCAGCCTCGCCCTCGATAATGTACACCACTTTACATGCTTTACCACCACCTGGACAACTCCCCCCCACCACCTGGACAGCTCCCCCCCACCCTCATATGAACTGTACTTGCGTGCCTGAATCGTGTGATGTGTGAAGTAATGATGGCACAGTTCTTTTGCCTTGCGGTATTTTTATGATTTGGATATAAATATGAGCTTACAGCTCTTGCTGACTGAACTCGCCCATAGACTTCTGAAGTGGCGCGTCATTCTGTAGCCCACCTTAGGAACTCCATGTCTGGTTTTCTCTGACATGAATGGGATTTTTTAAAAATGTCCTGCCGCAAACAAAAAACCTGATGCATTTTGGCCTACGTACATTTTTCTACCATCACTGGATCCTCTGTATTATGTCAGTAAAGAGCTGAAATATGGAGGTGCATGTTAATAACAAGCTGCCCTTCCTGCGCATTGAAATTAAGAATGTATGCTATTAAACTTCAACACCATCATATATCAGTGGTGAATCATGAGAAAGGCCTAGAGTGACGTTTGTTTCCTCATCAAACTGGTCCCACCCATTGGAATTCAGAGCATGTCAGTCAGTCTGCTGTGTAAGGACGACTCTGCTTCTGAAGTTCTAACCGATTGGAAAGATGGCTTATATCTACCTACATTCCATGGAGAACAATTCCTGATTGGCCTGTTCTCAGCTTGGCATTTCAAGAATTTAGTCCTCTTGTTTCTGTCCAGAACTTGACAACGAAGTGAGAGTAGTGCTGTAAAACATGCAGAGTTCGAATACAAGCATGAATCTCTTGAATAAAACTGCTAAAAATTATTTTATTCCCAGAAATCAATGTGCATTCTTTAGGGGTTTAAAAGGCCCTGTGGCTTTCCCTGTGTTATACACTCTTTTTAAAAAAAATGGTTCAAGGGTTCTTTAGTAAAGAAAATGGTTCTGTATAGAACCATGAACACTCAGAGAACTCTTTAAATAATTAAAGGGTTCACTGCATTGTGAAAGGGTTCTTCAGATGGATGGAGAATGCGTTAAAGATGGTTATATGTGGAAGCAAGCTTGTATCGAAACAATAGCAGAACCCTTTTCAGAAAGGTTCTATATAGAACCACCTATAGCACATTCTCCACCAATCTGAAGAACCCTTTCATAATGCAATGAACCGTTTAATCATGCAAAGAGTTCTTTGATTGTTTATGGTTCTATATAGAGCCATTTTCTTCACTAAAGAACCCTTAAAGGACCATCTTTTTGAAGTGTGTAAACAAACAGCAGCTACACCAAATGAACTCTACGGCTGCCAAAGCACACTTTGTAAAGCTTGCTGGGTTGTTTGTGGTAGTTTGGTGAGGTTGCCAGTCTGATGACCCTTCAGTGCGCAGTGTTGGCTCACATGTAGCAAAATTCATATTTTGGCTACTCAACGACCTTGTAATTCTGCCCACGTTCAGAGGAAAATGTACCTAGAACAAAATGTATCATGTTCTGAACCTTTTTGTTTGCCACTTAGAAATGATTTTCAAAAATCCCATTCGCTTCTGTCACAGACAAAAGCAGGAGTTTCTAACGCTACAGAATGACGAGACAACTTCAGAAACCTATAGGGAAGTTTATGGACACTGACTGTGATGAAGGGGTGCTGAGCTTGACTGGACTGTGACAGTATGGATTTGTAAATCCTCATTAGGGTTCATATCCCTATGCCTCCATGTTAGTTCACCTGAACCTAAGCCCTCCACTATGCCCAGTCGTTTAGTGACCGATTTGGTTTTGGATAAATGGGAGATGAGCACCTATTGGACCTTTTATTAGTAACTGCGGCACGGTCTCATTTGATCTTGTATCAGATCGGCGGACTCGGTAATGTAGTCTAACAGGAGAAAGTAATCGCAATGAAGATGCTCCCTATTTTAACAGATATTTTCTGTATTTTCTCATCTCCTTGCTCAATCCATCAATATTTTGTATAAATCATTTGTTACATAAGGTCACAGATATATTAAACGTTCTCATTGTTTGCAAATTTCGTGTTTTTTGTCTGAATGTGTCTTCAAAAAAGATTATCCATTGTACAAGGATTAGTGGTAACGTATTGCCAGGCTTGCCAAACATGTATTTAAGAAACTTCCTTTTGGCAAGTTCTGTAATGCTGGTTGAGCTTGTATTTAAAGTGTGATGGGAGAACTACTGTCAAAGTTTAATGCGCCTATAGTTTGTAATAAAAACATAATTACATAGTTATATGTACTATGTAAAGGTTATTCACTAGATTAGATGTTCATATTTTACATGAGTCATACTTGATAGCTTCAGTTCAAAGAGGTTAAAGGCTATTTTGTTTAGTCCATTAATGTTTTCACACCACAATACCCAGCATGCATCACGAAAGCACATCTTATACCCATTGAGAATAACCCCAAAGGCCATAAGGAAATCCACTCATGTAGAGGGTAATACATACAGCTTTGAGGTTTTCAGTTGTAGTGTTAGATGCCTGGGTTCCTTCTGTATGAGCCACTAACACAGGGGTCACAACCCAAATATTAACAAGAGCCATTTTATCCTTTCAGCAAAAATCTAATCACCTTGGGAGCCACAACATTTTATGTCCATTTTACCATCTTGGCTGTAAATATGTATCAGTGTATGTATTTAGTGTGTGCTAATGTCCTAGTATAGGCTAAAAATATAGTATAAACAAAAACGCAGACTTTATTTGCTCTGCTTTAAGATGTAGCTCAGCTATAGCCGCTTTTCTCACATCTCTGGCAGGAAACTTTAACACAAAAGTTTCTTATCAAACATCTCTCAAAGTTTGCCTCATTCGCCAGCTTGCCGTTAGAATTTTCCCGTTCCACCTTAAATTGTGCCTGAGGTGCCAGAATGTAACTGCTCCACCGTTAAGGTGGAATGGGAGAATTCGAAGAAGAAGCTGGCGAATGAGAAGCGACTTCAGCCTCACGACTTTTTAGTGTTTCAGTTTCTCGTTGCAGATTAAACGTATCAGGAAACCAGTTATAGTGATTATAAACACAAATAAGTCCATTCATCTCCAAATTATCGATGTTAGTCTTTGCCTTTTTGTTAGATACTAGCTAAGGGAGATTGTTGCCGGTGTTGCTATGGTGACCAGCAGTCTGTTCGCCAACCTTCAGGGTTAAAAGGTGAATTAGCAGTTCTACATTAACATTTATTGTTAAACTGCGTTGAACGATCAGCAGAGCTTTATTTCACTGTAAAGGAGGATTATTTTATTTTTACCTACTAATCTAATTCTGCTGCGGAGCCACAACTGGACAGTAAAAGAGCCGCATGTTGCCGAGCCCTGCACTAGCAGGAGATATTAAAAACATTTCTAACAGTCCATCATCTCTTACTCACCTCAAAGAAGCTGTAGTTTTTCAAAAATTCCCTCCAACCTTCAGGAAACATCATCAGAAGGGAGCCTTTCTTGTCTTTAAACCAGAAAATCTCACTCTAGGGATGATTGTGGCAGCACTATAGGAGGCGAGCAGGCATGTTTTTAACAGATGAAGCATTGGTTACACTTCTCATTTTGTCTGAAGTGCCTCTTTAAGGGTTTGTCTTCACTTTGATGCAGACCTTGACCAATCCAAATTGTGTGCAGTGCAAGTCTTGCCAAACGTGTATTTGCGAAACTTCCTTTTGGCAAGTTTCATAACATGATTTGAGCTATTATTTATAGCCTGGTGGAAGAACTACTGTGGCAGACCAGTCCATCTGTTTCTCTGTACTTTGTTTCCCTGTTCTTCAGTGGTCAGGACCCCCCACAGGTCCACCACAGAGCAGGTGTTATTTGGGTGCATTCTCAGCATTGCAGTGACACTGACCTGGTGGTGGTGTTAGTGTGTGTTGCGCTGGTCTGAGTGGATCAGACACAGCAGTGCTGCTGGAGTTTTTAATAACGCAGTGTCGCTGCTGGACTGAGAACAAGCCAACAGCGTCCTGTGACCACTGATGAAGGACCAGAGGATGACCAACACAAACTGTGCAGCAGCAGATGAGCTATCGTCTCTGACTTTACATCTACAAGGTGGGCTGACAAGGTAGGAGTGTCTAATAGAGTGGACAGTGAGTGGTCACAGTGTTTAAAAACTCCAGCAGCACTGCTGTGTCTGATCCACTCACACCAGTACAACACATACTAACACACCACCACCACATCATTGTTACTGCAGTGCTGAGAATGATCCACCACCCAAATAGTACCTGCTCTGTGAGGGTCCATGGGGGTCCTGACCACTGAAGAACAGGCTAACAAAGTATGCAGAGAAACAGATGGACTACAGTCTGTAACTGTAGAACTACAGAACGCATCTATATGGTCAGTGGAGCTGATAAAATGGACAGTGAGTGTAGAAACAAGTCAGGTGTACTTAATAAAGCGGTCAGTGAGTATATTAATTAGCTAGAAAGCAGCTACTTATTTTGATGCAGCAAATAAAGTGGGTTTTAAAGTCGTGTATATTGGCAGGTTTTGTAAAAACGGATGAATTTTACAGAGGTGTTGTGAAAGCGTGACGTACCTGCCAAATTAAGCCAAGTAAACGTTTTAACAAACACCGAAAAACCTGAATCATTTGGGGATCGCCTCAATCTCTTGGTTGGCGGCGTGGAAAGCCAATCACCGTACAGATGCGGACGCGGGCCACGCCTTCTATGCGCCTGTTTTGCCCAATCAGAAACGTGGACTTCACCGCGTCGTCCCGCCCCTCCCTGCTTCTCCCTTTTCTCGTATGACGTCGCCGGAGCTGCAGGGCTGGGTTTCCATTTTTTGATGCGAGTTTCGGGGGAACAACAATATGGAGCCGGACATGGAGGACAAAACGTTAGAGCTGATGGTAAGCGCTCATCTCTTGGTGGGGAGTTTCCCCTTTTTTTAAAACCAAAAACCAAAACAAGCCAGCCCTACATCGGTCCGTAGGAGCCGAGGTGAGGGCCGAGGCTGAAGTTGTTTCCTATTCGCCAGCTTCTTGTTCGAATTTTCCCGTTCCACCTTAAATGGTGCAGTAGTTGCGTTCTGGCGCCTCGGGCAGCGGAATGTAACTGCTGTGTTGTTTAAGGTGGAACGGGAAAATTCGAACAAGAAGCTGGCGAATAAGAAGCTGACTTCAGCTTCGTGTCCTTATCGTAATCGATCAGTGTTGAGCTCCTCGGAGAGGACAGATTCAGTGAATGAAGTGTATTTAGGATAGGAAAAGGAAAAGCGGGGAGGTGGGGGGGCAAGAACGGGAAGACAAATGTCTGTCTGGCTTGTTATATATAGACAGGGAGGGCCCTGGATGTCCACAGGCAGGCTTCTGCTTCAGTTTCTTATTTTATCTCGGGAAAAGATGAGCTGTCTCGTATTGACGGACGATTAAGTGGTCCACGGTTAAAGCCCAGCGTTTACTGAGTGTGTTCACGGTTAAAAACCAGTAGGTTAGCTGTGTAGGAGCGGAGTTACGGCGACATTTGTTGAGACTCCCCCCGTCGCTTTAACCAGCCAGCCGGGGTTTCACTGCGGCGCCGCTGCGCCATTATTAGCGGTTAGCCAGCAGCTAATGCTAATGCTAAAGCCTCGCCTTGATTCGTTTCTTCTTTTGAGACCGTGATGGATTGTGGCTCAAATATACCCCAATCTTTTGGCTCGGAATGCTGTTCTAGCATATTCTTTCTAATTTTAGTACTGTATTAACGCGAATGTGCCCTGTTAGATGATTCCAACAGACTTTAAGTTAACGCTGCGTAGAAGGAAGCTAACGCGACTAGCTTGTTAGCTTGTAGCTAACCGGTTTAGCCTGGCTACACTGCCAGATGACGTTGGCTGGATAAACGGTTAATAAATATGTTGAATTATTTAGAACCTGGGGCGAAATATAAGCGAAATTTCTGTCAATAAATAAAGAGCGCATTTTTAAGTTAAAGGGGAACTCCATCCATTTTTCAAAATTTCTCTACAATTCAGTGGTTGAGGTGTACACAAAGTCATTCCGAGAGGTTTTGGTGTGAAATGGTACAGTGGTGGTGATAGGAACCAGGGGTCACGGTGCCTACAACGCAGATATAGCCGTTTTGTTTACCATCCCAAACCACAAGTGAACCCACACTTCCTTCTGCTTTTATAGTTATTTATACATGATGTTAAAATAGGCAAAGATCTGAAAATAATCAGTTTTCTTTGGGGACTGCTTTGCCTCAGAACACCGTTCATGTATCCCTCCATCAAGAATGGATCAAAATAAATGGACTGAAATACGTTTCAGACCAAAAACTTTATCACAGAACTATGATAAACCAACGTTTCAGATAGCAGGCAGTGAATTCATTTCTTGTAATAACCTTCTGTGAGGGAGCTTTTAGAGGTGGACGTCTGGTTCCTATCAGCACCACTGTGAACATTTCTGAAGTTTCTCTAGAATGGAGCATTTCACACCAAACCACTCTGAACGACTTGATATGTTAACCATTTAACTATGCAGAAATTTTGAAAAGTCGGTGGAGTTCCCCTTTAAGTTGTCGTTAGGACATTAGCAGTCAGATAAGTCTAAGATTAGCCATCCACCTAAGTGGCTTCATCAGATAACTGCTGTAATATCATGCGTGAATAATCTTCATCTATTAAAATGATCTTCGCCCCAAAGCTAATCCGACATATGACCTTTTGTAAAGGTTCATCCTTATTGTTTCGGTCGTGTGGTGTTGGTTCCTGTAGATTTAGGGTTCTGTCTTGCTGCTTATGGATGAAATTCATATTGAAAGTGATCTTTAAGGTCAAACACGTATCTGATCAGAAATCTAGTGAGTCACGTAAGGTAAATACAGGTGCTTGGTGTTCTTCTGAATTTAGATTTCAGATTTTGTGGCATTTGTAATTGATTGAAGGGAAAAATCTCTCCTCTTAAAGGGCAACTCCACCCATTTTTTTCAAAAAGTCTACATAAACAATGGTTGACATATAGGCAAAGTCATTCAGAGTGGTTTGGTGTGAAATGCTCCATTCTAGAGAATTTTTCACAGTGGTGGTGATGGGAACCAGACGTCCACCTCTAAAAGCTGCCTACAGAAAGGTAGTACATGGAATGGTTATGAATGCACTGGCTGATGTCTTAGACATTGGTCTACAGTAGTTTTGTGATAAAGTTTTGGCTTAAAATGTATTTTGATCCATGTATGGTGGAGGGATACATGTTGGGTGTTGGAAGGCAAAATAGTCCCCCAAAGAAAACATACTATTTTCACATTTATGACTGTTTTGCCATCATCAACATTACATATAAAAGCTCAGAAAACACATGTAGGTTCACTGCTGGTTTTGGATAGTAAATCAAATGGCTATATTTGTGTTGTGGACATTGCGACTCATGGTTTCTGTCACCTCCACTGTAAAGAAATGAGTCAGTAAGTTTCTCAACAATGAACCGTTTCACACCAAACCACTCTGAATGACCGTTTACATCTCAAGGACTGAATTATTCAGGAATTTTGAAAAATTAGTGGAATTCTTCTTTAATCAGTGTGGCCCTCCTGTACTACGCAGCATCACTTTTTGTCAGTCTCTGCAATATTATGGCATCTGCCCTGGCTGTGGGTTTGCTTCCTGTTGCCATGGATACAGTGAGACGGGTAGGAGTGTGTCCACTCTTGTCTCCATCAGGAGTGAAACGTCGAGGAGAGCTGAGGGTTTCTGTAGATCCAGTGGAGCGCAAACTTGGGCCTTGAGGGTCCGAATCCAGCATTTTGGAGCTTTACCTGCTCAGACGCGCCTGTTAACCCTGGTCCGTACAGGGCCATTCCACCAATTTTTCAGCATGTTCGCATAATTAAAGGTTAAAATGTAAAGAAAGCTGTTCAGAGTGAGATGCTTTGTTCTAGAGAAACTTCAGAAAGTCAGAAATTTTCACAGATAGTAAGAACAACAGGAAAACATACAACGTTTTGGGCATTATATCATGAATAAAGTGGATATAGTGCTAATAATCTATCAAATATATGAAAAACATTGCTTAAAATTCCTATTTTAGTGCTGTATTGGTTACCTGAAAAGCAATACCACTCCACTGTATGTCAGTATCACAGTCTACCGATATATACAGTCGCCTGGCACTATTATTAATTAATGTTGTATCAGGTGCATCTGAAATCATCAGACTGTGCTGGACTCCAGCTCTCCAGGCCCAAGCTGGGCACGAAGGGTGTAAATATTTGCACTGATAAAACAAGCTCTCTCTATTACAGTATATGAGGGTACAGGATATTGGACTTCCTGGACTAGATTTAAGTGTCCTGCACCTGCTAAGCTGACCTATTAAAAGGGGCTGGAAATGGACACCATTACTTTTTGGCGGCTGGCGCGTCGTCCAGCTCTTCAGTGCTTTATTATTGGTTTATTATGTTTTCACTTATTATACAGGCTCGTAATTAGTGTTCTTTATTGGATAACGGACCAGGACTTTTTTTAAAATAACAAAATATAGTAATTTAACAAAACCAGTCATTTTAAATATGACAGATATTGCCATGATAATACATACATACATACATCATCTAAACCGCTTATCCTTCTGGGTCGCGGTGGGGTGCAGGAGCCTATCCCAGCTGTCATTGGGCGGAAGGCAGGATACACCCTGGACAGGTCGCCAGTCCATCGCAGGGCTTGCCATGATAATTATTTGCAAAAATAAATCATGCATAAAGTGCCTAAATATTCATATTGAACTCTGTAGTTAGTCTGTATATGTTCAGTACAAGTGAATGTAAAACGTTTCTCTTCCACCATGGATAAATGGCTACAAACAGAAAATATTTATTTGTTTATGTTGGTGTTTATTATGCTGCGTGACTATAGTCAAGTGAAATTCAATAGGCTCTCTTTGATTATTGTTGTTATACACCGATCAGGCATAACATTATGACCACCTCCTTGTTTCTACACTCATTGTCCATTTTATCAGCTCCACTTACTATATAGGAGCACTTTGTAGTTCTACAGTTACAGACTGTAGTCCATCTGTTTCTCTGCGTACTTTGTTAGCCCCCTTTTACCCTGTTCTTCAGTGGTCAGGACCCCCATGGACCCTCACAGAGCAGGTACTATTTGGGTGGTGGATCATTCATGGGGGTCTTGACCACTGAAGAACAGGGTAAAAAGGGCAACGAGTGTAGAAACAAGGAGGTGGTCATAATGTTATGCCTGATCTGTGTGTGTGTGTGTGTTTTATATATGTGTTTATGTATGTGTATATGTATGTATGTATTAGTATTTTTTACACTTTTATATGTCCAAGTTTATTATTTGTAATTAATTGTTTCATGACCATTTCCAACCTATAAGACTGAAATATGTAAATGAGGCTCATTCAGAAAGTAGCCCAGGCTGAAACGCTCAAATTCATAGTGAATAGGTGGAGCAAAACTGCTCCTCTGAATTTATGTATGTATGTATGTAAATTCTTTAGACTTCATGACATCACAAAAACAGTAAATTCAAGATCAGCCCTTTTTTTTGCTTTATTTCTGTATATGGACTGTATAGACTGGGGTTTGAACAGCACACTTCGAATCGTTTAACAGTGTTAGGGTAGCATGTTAAACATTTTTATTCTTAAACAAGTGAGGAAAATTTCATTTGCTTTTATATGGGCCCTTAAAAAATCAGTTTCTCTCTTCATTTGATCTGAGCACAGCGGTCACCCTTTACATCATGAACATTTCATGCAGAAAAAACATTTTTACATTAACCTGCATTAAAAGTTAAAAACATTTTACCTTCTCTTGTAAAGTTACTGTTTTGGAGATAGTGGCATGAATCTGACGTAGACTTTATTGTTGGAGAGTGAGGCCCAATGTTTTTATGTTGGCTTAAAAATACTTGTAAATACGTCCGTTAGTTTAGATTAGCTCATCCCACTCACAGTGAAGTCATAAGGAGTGTTTCAGCCCAGGCTGCTTTTTGAATGAGGGACAATACAGGACACCCCAGTCAGAACAGAAGTTGTTTACATATATAATAATAAAAGTAGTAATAATTTTTATTAATATAGTACTTTTTTTATGCTGGTTGTAGCTCAAAGTGCTTTACAGACAGATGATAAAGCTTAACAGTAATACAGGAAATTCTGAGTACTAATTTAAAATCTTAAGAAAATAACAGATCAAATTAATAAGAAACACCAAAGAGACGTGGAGTTTTAATTAAATGCTAAATTAAAGAGACGTTTTTAGATGTTTCTTAAAAGTGAGCTCTGAGCTTGACTGTCTAATAAAAGGTGAACTGAGCTTTACGGAAGTTATTTGCTGAAAGTCAGTATCTGCAGATCTCAGATCACGTGCTGGAACATAAACAGACAGACAGTCTCTGACGCAAGTGGGTGCTAGGTCATTTAGAGCCTTAAAAACTAATAGCAGAACTTCTGTCTTGCACTATACAGGCAGTCAGTGCAGCTCTTTTAAATGAGAGTGATATGAGTTCTCTGTTTGGTTTGTTAGGATTCATGATGATGCATTTTGTACGAGTTGTAGATGATGTGTTTTTAGGAAATCCAGTAAGAAGATCATTACAGTGATCGACTCTGCTTGTAACAAATGCATGAACAAGTTTCTCTGCATTTACTGTAGTGCCTGCGTTTACATGCAGGATAAAACAGGGCTCAGAGTCTAAGATCACGCCAGGAAATTCAGTCTCACAGGTACAGCCTGTTTAATTCTTAGGGATAAAGAGAAATTAGAAAAGATGATGAACACATACGGGAGAACATGCAGTTAAAAACCATATCAGTCATTACATTTGTACAGTGTTGCTTTCAGTGTAATGAGGAAAAAGGTGCCCGTCTGATGTAGCCATGTGCTTTTTCAGCTGCTGTTGCCGTCTGGGCCGTGTGGTGGCAGCCATATAATTCAAAAACACTCAAACCCAGTGCAAACCATGTGTTAAACCACCATGTGGCGCAAGTTTTATGCTTCCTTTGTCATATTTTCCTGGATGAGGCTGTGGACCGAGGCTCGTGTACAGCTGTTGATAGGCTACACTTGCCCACACATACTTCCCCCAGCCCAGTCCCCACCCAGCATCCTCCTGTTAGATTATTTACTGTACACAAAGCTGCACCACGGAAAATAAATAGCCTTCCTGTCTTTTTATCCACGCCAGCAATAATAAAAGTAACATGGCAGAGTTACAGCGGGGAGAGAACGGCTGATAATAGGGTTGGTTTGCTGTGCTTAGTGTCACGTTTTGCTTTCAGTTTGACCATTTTAAAGGGCCCATAGAACCTAAAACGTAAATTTTTTGCCACACTTTTTAGAAATAGGGCTGTTTGTTTTAGGTTGTAGGGTTGTTTAGCATTATTGTGATTTATTACGTCACCGTTTGCTTTCCTGAGCACGTCATGGCTGTCGTCAGTGTTTAAAGTACTTGTATCTCCAGTTTTGCAGTTTTTCTTGTTTTTGCGTCATTTGAAAACTCCAGTTACCCTTTGAATTCTGAGATTTCATGATGAAAAGGTCCAAAATTCCTTTGTAGTCTGGTTACATTCACTTTCATGACAAGTTAAGAACATTGGGCCTCATTCACCAACCGTGCTTAAGAACAAATTGCTTCTTAAAACTCTGACAGTTTTCACGAGATTCAAGATATTTTCTTATCTGGGATTTGTTCTTGGGTAAGAACAGAATCTACACACACAGAGCACAGAGGTGCGAAAACTCGTAATGATAGACTTTTTCTTGAGACCTTTCTCAAGAACCCGTTTAAGAAAAAACTTAACTGAGTTTAACTTAAAACTTAACTGAATAAGACCAATTTTTCCCTCCTCTTTTGAAGGTACTGTTTTGGAGATACAAGGTTTTGTTCTGACAGTATTCAGTCCTGTTTAATTAGATTTAGGGCATCGCCATATGCAAAACATTTGTTTTATTGCATTCATAGCTCTATATATATATATATATATATATATGTGTATGTATGTGTGTGTGTGTATATACAAAGGAACCAATCACAATCCAATTGAAAACGGGTTTCATAGAGTTTCTGACTGTCAGTATGGTAGTGAACCTCCAACAGCTCAGAGCGTTCATCGTTGGTACCATCATCTGTACAGCTGGAGAAGGTTCATATTGAGCACTTGTAAAATGACATAATAAACTTTATGCTCATTTAAACCATTTAGAGTTTACCGCATTGTTCTGTAATGATTTACAAGTGAAGTCAATCATTTTGAAATCGATTAATCTTTTTGAATCACCCTGTATATTCATTTTGGAGATATAAGGTTTTGTTCCGACAACAGTGATACATGTAGAGCTGTTGTTGGAACAAAACCTTCTATCTCCAAAATGGTGACTTTACAGCAGAAGCAAAAAACGTACTTTACTTTTAATGTAAGTCAATGGAACCAGACTTTTTTCCAAGTCATTTTGGGTCATTTCTTTTAGTCCATTCATCATGAAATTTACGTACAATGTAAAGAGTAACAGGTACTTTCAAATTATATCAAAAACTGAAAAATGTCAAAAATGGAGATTCCGACAGCAACAATATATAAAATATAGCATAAAAGTGTCACTACTGGTTCATTTCTGTCTGTTCCAACTTATGAAACCCTAAAAAAGCTGAATATTGTGATGCATATTGTGAAAAATGTCTTGAAGTGTCGTGATGCCGTTTTGTCGTATCACCCACTCCTAGTTTTATGTAGCATTTAAAGCGGTATTGCTCACTCCATACGGTCCACATATATGAAAATGAATTGCTTTTGTCACAAAAACAAACACATTTGCATACATCCGCCAGTTCAGTCTACAGTAGTTCAGCCCCACCCAGTCATGTTGAAGTAATGAACGTTTCACAATACAGGGCAGCCAGATCAGAGCTAATTTACACATACCATTCTTAAAGGCACGGTAACAGGAACATCCTGTTTAGTTCTAAGAGGTAAATAGAGACAGGAAATTGTTAAGTAAAAGTAATTTATATTTTTATGTCTAAAACCTCACAAATGAAACAGGACAAATACTGGGAGAATTTGTTAAAGTTGCCATTTATATACCCTGATTTTCATCATGTGCTCATTCACAGTTAGTCCTGAAGTAGTGGGGATTTATTGGTCTTGGTATTTAATAGCAGATTTTCATGGTTCGTTAAGTATCGGAATACCGTGTAAACTGAAATCAGCGGTTTTGACGAAACGTTGTAGAAATACGTAAGAACTGAAACGGCTTCCTTTCTGGAAATGTGGTTTGTCTGTGGTCAGGGTTTGTAGCGCTGTGGAAGCTTCGCTTTGGTATAATTATAGACAAGAAAGCGGAACAAAACAAAAGCTTCTTCAGGTGTGAGAGACGTGCTGGGGGAGAGTAGCAGAGCTCCTTAACTTCGTTGAAGAGTGATAATGTAAATATCGTGATCATCTATGTTCTGTGAGACTCTTTGAAAATGTGGTGATTTTGAGTTGTGTTATTGTACGAATGCCAAGTGTTTGATGATTAATAATGGCATGTTTTCTCCTTCAGAACACCTCTGTCATGGAGTCCCATACTGGAGATCTGTCCCCAAAGACCACCACAGTATTTAAGGTGAGAAGGGACCCTCATCTCTTAAAGACTTCTACCGTAAATATGAGTTGTACCAAGTCACAGACTGTGCAGTTCAGTATAGTATGTTGTTGTGCTGTCCTAGTGTGGATAAGCAGCTGAGCTCAGAAATCTGCTTGTTGTCAGTGTCCACTTTTCAGTTTATTAGAATATTTAACATTGGCTGTGTTCACATGCAAAGATTTGTGCCAATCCGATTGAACACATTCCGATTACAGATTAATACTGAGGTGTTTTTATGCCCTATTAAACAATCTGATGGGAAAATCTTCGTTTACATGCTCGCTACAAGTAATCCGATCCAAAATGATGTGCATGCATAGAGAACCGCTTAGAGTAAACGTTACCATGACAGCGAGCATCACGTGAGTCCAGTCAGAGTGAGATGAGCAGCAGTGAGCAGTGCTTGTGTTTTTAATTCCTTTAAAATGATGTCAGACTCAGGAAAACGTCCTTCACGTGTCCTTATTAAAGAAGGCCGAGAGGAAGACGTCGTGTTCTGAGACACATAAGCTGGACGTCCGTCCCACCGCCGTCTTTTAAAGACCAGAGCATGAACTTCGTCTCCTCTGCAGACCAGTTTCTGCTCCGCCATGTTGAACGGTATAAACTCTCACTATGACGCGACGAACATGATCAGAACGGACTTAAACTTTCCGATAGGGAATGTAATCAGATACAGGCGTTTACACGGATATTATTCTTCTATTAACAGATTATTCACAGGATTACCCACCTCGATCAGTCAGATAGAAATTGTATTCCGAATGGCCTCAATCAGACTGAAGTGTAAACATGGACGTATTCTATTCCGATTGAGCTATTAGTCGGATTATTAGGTTCTGTGTAAACGTGGCTAATGTAAAAGCACAGTGTAATAGAAAGTAGAACAGCACAGTGGAGTTTTGTCTGATCTATTCAGACTGGATAGTAACAGCGGCAGTTAAAGAAAGATTACTGTCCAAATTACACTATTTCAAGAATATTGCTCAGAAAGCAGGATAGGATTATATAATGGAGGGAGCGCAGCAATCCACACTCAGGTTTGTGTGATGTGTATTGTTTGTGTGATGTTTGTGTAGATGTGGCCGTGCGGTTGGTGAAGCACAGAGAACCTGTTGGTGTGACTAAGGGAATACCAGATTAGTTTGGTTGCATTTTATTGCCGCTACTTTGCACATCTTTGATTTTACATTTTGACAGGAAACGTATGGTTTTATTTATCTTTTCTATTAGCAGGAAAGTTCAGTAAAACAGTTTTTTTAAATAAGGTATTCATATTCGTCTTCACTGTTACTTAGCAAATGCACAAAACAACCTCAAGCTAAATTTAAAGCTGATAGCTACAAAAGATTCATTCATTCATAATCTGAGTAATCAATTATTCGTTTCAATAATCGATAGATTATTCGACTATCAAAATAGTCGTTTGTCACAGCCCTACCCCAGGTTAACGTGCTTCCCATGACCTAACAGTATTTATTAGTATATATTTGTTGGCTTTCAGTGAACCGTATCTATAACAACCTTGTTGTGTTTTGTTATCAGATCACTAATGGTCCTCTGACGAGCTCGAGGAAGAGGCCGTCGGCAGGGAACTACGAGAAGGAGAAGGACGTTTGTATCCAGCTGTTTGACCAGTGGTCTGAGGCTGACCAGGTGGAGTTTGTGGAGCACCTGATTTCACGCATGTGCCACTACCAGCACGGCCACATCAACTCCTACCTCAAACCCATGCTCCAAAGGGACTTCATCACAGCGCTGCCGGGTATATCTCTCTCTCTCTCTCTCTCTCTTACTCGCTCCTTCTTATTGTCTCTCGCTCGCTGTCATTCTCTCACTCTTATTCCCTTTCGCTCGCTTTTATTCTGTCGCTTTCTCTCTTGCTCTTATTCTGCTTCATTCTCTTCCTGTGTGTTTTATACTCGTTGTCTCTCTTATTCTCTCTCTTATTCTCTTTCTCTCTGTTTCTCTTTCTTTCCTTTCTTTTCTATTTCTCAAGGGTAAAAGTACTCAATATGTGTTTCCATTCTGGAGGCAGCTGCCTAACTAGTCACTGCCTTCAAAGGCAGCTCTCTTGTTGGACATTTAAGAGAAGATGAACCTTAGTAGGTGTCACATTCGGGACAGAGCTTCACAGCCATCATACGTCATAACTTTCACTGCGCTGTACACGTTTTATCTGTTTACTCGAAGTCGCTGATTAACTTACACTCACCTCCGACTGTAAAGGTGGATCATCTCAGTGTAGAAGGATCCCAAATCTGCAGCAGCTGTTTTCCTGCGTTGTCACTGTATATGAAGAACAGGCTGAATTAAGGAGCCGTATCTGTCCTGATATACTCGACTCAGTCATGTTTGTAAATCATCTCAATTCATTCACTGTCCCTAATCCACCTTAATGAACCTGCTTTAATTCTAACACAAACGATATAAACTGCATATAATTTTGTACAACATGCATCCAGAAAAAAATGATCGCACACAGTCTGTTAAGCTGCTGATATACATTTCATTTCATGCATTCTCATCTTCTTTATGAGCTCTTAGTCTGAAATTTAGCCGTCAACATTCACCTAACGCTGATATGACTGTGATAAACACAGTAATACCAGACAAGCATAGCAGGCAAAAATACACATTTGTGGTATTTATTTTTTAAAACATTTATTTTCTGAAGCTCTACATCATCCAGTGTTGAAGTATTTTTCATTGTTCAGGGAGAATTTCAGTCTTCAGCTCTGGCTCTGCAGTGTTTTTCCCCCGTATACACTGCAAAAGTGAGCTGCTTTCAGTCGTTCAGTGCAGTTTTCTCCCCAGAACCGCTCTTCCTCAGCCCCTCGGACGGCGCGTCTCCGCTGCTGTAACATTAGTTCCTGAGTACAGAATCAAACTGATAAGTTTTTTACAAACAAAAACTGCCAAAATTTTACCACAGGAACAATTTCTGGAGATCTGCAAACACAAATATGTTAAATACTTTACACAAATACAACAATCAATCGAAACGGTAAAGTCAGAAGTAAAGAAAACTTAGATTTGTAAACTCTTCAGTCGGCGTTAACGGTCGCTTCGTCCACCATGTTTATCAAAATGAAGCGATGGAACTCTCGGCTTGTGAGTAGGTGAACAGTATTGTGGGATTGCCCTGCCTTCCGAATGGGACAGCCTTCATCTCGGGAGCACAAATGCTGCCTTGGAATGCCGCCTACTTAGGCAGCGGCCTCCTGATCGGAACGCGCCATATGTTTGTAGATCTGTTTAGAAGCCGTTCTCTTACCTCCGTGTCTTTCTCCTGCGTTCCTGATGCAGCTCAGGGTCTGGACCACATAGCGGAGAACATCCTGTCGTTCCTGGATGCACGCTCGCTCTGCTCGGCCGAGCTGGTGTGTAAGGAATGGCAGCGCGTCATCTCCGAGGGGATGCTGTGGAAGAAGCTGATCGAGCGTATGGTGCGCACAGACCCGCTCTGGAAGGGCCTCTCGGAGAGGCACCAGTGGTGAGTTCACGATACTGTTTCTGACACACACGGCACGCCTCCCTGTGCTCCGTGCAGGATAGGAAATAAAATCTTCAGTGTTTGAGGGGCCAGTTTGTGCCCTCACTGACTGAAATTCAGGGGCATTTTATACACAAATCAGGCCACACATTCGGAGTAATGACTAGTGATTTAATCTCAATTGCAGCAGCTCATTGTTCTCTGAGTCCAGGCTGTCAGGTTAAAATCTGGGGGCAGAGTGATGTGCAGAGTAGTTAAGTGTGATTCTGACCTTCATTTAAGCTGATTTATTACATTCTGAGGTTAATCTAATACATATGATTTATAAGACAGACTCAGCTCAGTCAAATATGCCAACCTGGCTAACAATGAATGGGAGCTAGTTCGCACCAGTTAGCTTGCTGATGATAATTAGTGGCTGTTCAGTGTCATTTACAGTTATCAGCGTTAGAGTTTCTGACTGAACTGTTCCTTTAAAGAGTGCTCTGTGTAAGATTGTGAACCTTTTTAAGTTTACAGTTTAATATATTCATTACTTCTCAATGTGGAATCTGTGTGTGATGATTTTAGACCAGGGCAGGAGGTGAATGTGGGCACAACATATGAAAATGGGCTTTTCTCAGTGCTGATCGTTCAGCATTCCCTCTTCATTTATTATGGAAATAGTTTTATAAATTGTAAATCTTCGCTTTTGGCCACTGTGTCTGCTTTTTAGCCTCATATCCACAATGGTAATTTTACAGGAGGAGAAAAAACATTTGTAACTAGTCATTTTGAAAACTTTGGGCAGTTGAGGTTTGCAGATTACAAAATAAAAAAATAAAAAAAAATTGAGAAGATTTTGCCCAGACAATTAAGTTTGTTTGGTTGTTTTTAATTAACTATTTTTTTTATTATATAATGTTATTATAAGATTGTAAAATAATGATATTTAGTGGTGTCAGATGTATTCAAGTACTGTTTTATTAATTTATTTATTAATGATTATTTTAAAACCTTATTTATTTATTTTTAATTAGATTTTTTTAAGTATCTAGCCTGCTCTTCCATTTATTAATTAATTTGTTTGTTTGAGTATCATAAGTGTGTCATATGGCTTCCAGTTTAAGCCTCCTGTATTGGCTCACATGCCTCTGTTGACCTATTAGCTTCTGTTTTGTGGCTAATGTGTCTGGTTTACTGTGTGGTATAATTCGAGTGTTTCCTTTTTTACAGGGAAAAGTACTTGTTCAAGAACCGCACTACAGAAGTTCCGCCAAACTCGTACTACCGTTCTCTTTACCCAAAAATCATTCAGGACATTGAGGTGAGCGCCGTGGCCATTACACTCTTTATTTAGTGGTGAAAATATATATGTGTATATATATAGCCTCTAATGGAAGATTAGAACACGAATCGCATGAACCACAAAGATAACCTGTTGTTATCTTTACGATCAACTTGCTACCGGTGGCTTGAATGACATCAGAGGAGTGCTTAAGCTGGGGAAAGTAAGGGGGTGTTGGCATAGAAGGCATAGTTGGATTTGCATGTAAACTATGCAGGGTAAACCATAGGAAAATCATCGAGCTCGATGATGCTGTGCTGAACGCAGCGCAGGCCGTGTGTTACATGCTTGTTGCTGTTTGCAGACCATCGAGGCTAACTGGCGCTGTGGACGGCACAACCTTCAGAGGATCCAGTGCAGATCTGAGAACAGTAAAGGGGTCTACTGCCTCCAGTACGACGACGACAAGATCATCAGCGGCCTCCGAGACAACTCCATCAAGGTATGTCCCGGTTAGGGGGTGGGTAGCATACGTTCCTGCACAACATTAGTATCGGTATTAATACCATGATGACCCTTTATTATATACTTTATTGGAGTATCATGGTCCATCTGGCTCTTCTTACTGTAATGACTATCAGTAGGAGAATTTAATGATGCATTATCATCAGGCAAGTTGCCAGCGAATCATTGCTGATTGAGGTCATTAAGTATTTGATTATTACGTAACCGAGTATAATCGCGCTGTGCTCGGTTTCAGATATGGGATAAGCAGTCTTTGGAGTGTTTGAAGATACTGACGGGGCATACAGGGTCTGTGCTGTGTCTGCAGTATGACGAGAGAGTCATCGTTACGGGCTCGTCTGACTCCACAGTCAGGTTAGTTCTCTCTTTCTCTTTCTCTCTTTCTCAACATCCTCCTCCTTGTTTCTACGCACATTATCCATCTTATCAGCTCCACTGACCATATAGGAGCACTTTGTAGTTCTACAGTTACAGACTGTAGTCCATCTGTTTCTCTGCATACTTTGTTACCCTGTTCTTCAATGGTCAGGACCCCCATGGACCCTTACAGAGAAGGTATTATTTGGGTGGTGGATCATTCCCAGCACTGCAGTGACACTGACGTGGTGGTGGTGTGTTAGTGTGTGTTGTGCTGGTACGAGTGGATCAGACACAGCAGTGCTGCTGGAGTTTTTAAACACCTCAGTGTCGCTGCTGGACTGAGAACCAAAAACATCCAGCCAACAACGTCCTGTGGGCAGCGTCCTGTGACCACTGATGAAGGACTAGAGGATGACCAACACAAACTGTGCAGCAGCAGATGAGCTGTCGTCTCTGACTTTACATCTACAAGGTGGACTGACAAGGTAGGAGTGTCTAATAGAGTGGACAGTGAGTGGACACAGTGTTTAAAAACTCCAGCAGCACTGCTGTGTCTGATCCACTCGTACCAGCACAACACACACTAACACACCACCACCACGTCAGTGTTACTGCAGTGCTGAGAATGATCCACCACCCAAATAATAATGCTTTAAAATGTATTTCCATCACTTGGGTCATATTTTCTGTTGCTGTATAAAAGATGCTTTTTCTTTTTCTTTAAAATCGTACAAACTGAATACGAGTCTGAATTTCAGCAGAATTCGTTATTAACAGCAAAGTGTCAATAACGGCAGGAATAGCCACTTTTTTGCATGAACTTTTTTGTGGGTTAATGTTATGCCACATGTGGCTACTGTTATCACAAGACCCCTTCTTCACTTTATTTTTGCCTTCCTCTCTGTCCCTCCTCCCTCTCTCCCCTTACCTCTACTGTCCTCTTGCTGTTGTCTTTCACACTCTTTCTTTCTCTCTTCTATTCACTCAGCGCTTCAGCTTTGCTGCAGTACAGGATGGGTGGGTTGTGTTGACTTTGTCTCTCTCCTTTTCTCCTGAACGTGCTCTGTTTTGCAGGGTGTGGGATGTGAACTCGGGGGAGGTACTGAACACTCTGATTCACCATAACGAGGCGGTGTTGCACCTGCGCTTCTGTAACGGTCTGATGGTGACGTGTTCCAAGGACCGTTCCATCGCCGTGTGGGACATGGCCTCCCCCACCGACATCAGCCTGCGCCGCGTGCTGGTGGGCCACCGGGCCGCCGTCAACGTGGTCGACTTTGACGACAAATACATCGTCTCCGCCTCCGGAGACCGCACCATTAAGGTCAGTTAGCTCGCATTTTAACTGTGATTAGCTGTTAATCAGTGCCGGACAGGAGTGATTTTTCAGGAAATGATTCAGAGAGTCACAAAATCTCAAGTTTGCTCCGGATCATTTCTGTTGTTTTGGTCCGATTTCAAACATGCTGAATACAGACGTGACTGGAGGAGCTGTTTGCACAGCAGACATTAAAAACAATAGTCATTTTTATGTATTTATTTATTTTCAGTCATTTTTTTCCAGTTAAATAACTTCTTACTTTTTCTTTCTCACTTTCATTTTCCACTTTTCTCACTTTCATGCTTTTTCTCACTTTTTAATTTCTTGTCTTTCTTTTTTTTTCCCTCACTTTTTGTTACTTTCGGTTTTATTTCCTTTTTTCTTTCATTTTTTCTTTGTCTTGCTTTTTACTTCTCACTTTCACGGTTTCTTTTAGTTTTTCTTACATTCTCTCCTCACTTTATGTTGTCACTTTGCTTCTTTTTTCATTCTTGCTTCCATGTTTTCTGTCTTTCTTGCACTTTTTTTTGTATTTTGTATTTTTGTATTTTAAAATACCTGTATATATGTTATTTTGCTCAATAAAAGAAGTACACCCTGTATTAAATGTAGTACAGTTGATTTTAGTGATTGTTCCAAAACCGATGCAGTTAAATCACCTCCAGTGCACCCCTAGTTCATGTTACTAAGACTAAATCAGCACTGCAGTGGTTCTTAGTCAGTCCAGGAGGCTGTGCTGTGGCACGTATGCATAACGTCCAGCAGAGGGCGCAATTGGTCAGCCGAGCTCTTTACCCGGAGTTCATTGAGATCCTCTGCAGGCTGCAGTTTTGACTGACTGGCTGAGCGGCGGCCAGACTGCGGCCTGTCAGCTCACCTCGGCTGGATCGCGCTCCGTCTCCTGCCCTTCTGTCTCCCAGACACTGGATTTGCGGGCAGTCGGGATTCCAGGAACGCGCAGCAGCCCCGCGCGAGCCCACCCATCGCCCTGGGACCCTCGCCAAGTCATTCTGCGTGGAGACAGAGTCCACCACTCAGAGCTCCCACCCTCTCAAAACATTCCCCAAATAATGAGGCAGGGCTGTCGGGAGTGTGTGTTTCACATGACTCCACACTGCCGAACACAGCAACAGTGGACGCTGTTTTAAACATGCCTGACCATTCCAGTTCATATTAAGAGTTTCCAGCTTGATCATCCTCTGTGGTGGCTGGGAGCTCAAAATAAACACTTTTATTAAGCGTGTTTAAATTCTGATTTAAAATCACTGACCACAATTTCCAGTCCTGTTTACTGCCATCTTTCCCACAGATCTGAAATCAGTCGTCTCTTTAGTCACTGTTTCTATCGAAACACTGGCCAGTTGAGCAGTGACTGAAACATCTGCCATCTGTGTCCCAGTAATGACCCCTTTTTCAGTTACTTGGAATTTTTCTTCTTGATATTTGAGCCAAAATCGAGCTAAACTGGGCCTGCTCAACATTGTCACAGAGCGCAGTAGCATAATTAATCACTTGTGTGCTCTTCACTCGTCATGTTTCTCCTCTCTATCAGTCTTTTCCTTCAGGGTGTCGCTTGTATGTGTGTATATGTAAGCAAAGATCATTAAACATTTATTAGTGTTATTTTGTTATTAAAGTCATGCTTCTGTCTCTTGTAGGTGTGGAGCACGAGCACTTGTGAATTTGTGCGCACTCTGAATGGTCACAAGCGTGGAATCGCCTGCCTGCAGTACAGAGACCGCCTTGTGGTTAGCGGCTCCTCTGACAACACCATCAGGTATGTGTGTGAGTGCGTCTGTGTGGAGGAAAATTGTGGCCATCGGGAACAAATGTCTTCTTATATTTGATCTGACTGTCCATTTGCCGCTGCTTGCTTTTTATTTTATCGCTGTCAGTTCGCGTGTAATGAAATCATCTCGGCTTCTGAAGCTCCAACTGCGTTCTGTATCATGATTTATAGTCTCTGGCTCTGGAGTAAATTTAATATTTGTCCTCTCATGCACCGCTCTGTCTGTCTGCAGGCTATGGGATATCGAGTGTGGTGCCTGTTTGCGGGTTTTGGAAGGGCACGAGGAGCTGGTTCGCTGCATTCGGTTCGATAACAAGAGGATCGTGAGTGGAGCGTATGATGGGTGAGGACCGCAGTCTCTGCCGCTCTTTCAAAGGCTGTTGAAAGCTTTTTAAGTTTGTAATATATCTGACCACAATTAAGTCTTGTTAGTTTTGTTGACCAGTTCAGTGATTCCCAGTGCTGATCGTGGAATTTCCTTTGTCCTGCATGTTTTGTTGCTCCAGCTCAGGCTGGGCGTTCACTGCACGACTTCTAAAATCTTAACAGATTTCTAAAACGGAGAGCATCACAAACTCAACCGCTGTTTGTGATAGAATTTCTTTTCCTTTTTTGTCGTGAGGGCGCTCACACTAGAGGACAGAGCAAAGAGAGAGAACAACACACATAACGAGTTTGGGCTACGAATAAGAACTCAAACTCCCAGATCTCCTCAAAGATCTCACAACACAATTAAAGCTAAACTCAGTGGAGCAGTTTGTGCATTTACACGCAGCGAAACGCAAACTGGGGTTTAATATGGGGCTGAGAAGCGCTGATGCAGTGAGAGCTGGATAAATATTTCACTACTAACTGGCAGGTGAGCTGAAATTGTAAAGAGGGTGACCTGACGTCTGGATTCATACATGATAAACACGATATTGGCTCTTATCTGTCTGTGTTTTACATACAGCTCATCTGCTCTGCTCCGCTGTTCATGCACGTCTCTTCACCTGTTTATCTGCTCTTCTAGTTCTCTGATTGGCCGTTTGAATCACTCATTGAGTAAATCTCTGACCTTCTCACACTGCAGGACTCGTGAACGTTTTGAGTCGTAATTAACAGACATGGTTGATAATATCGGAGGGTCTCTGGTCACTTCGGAGTTCGATCGGAGGGCTAAAGATTCACTTGTTTCCCATCTCACACTACCAGATCATCTGCATCGTCAATCGCTTCCGATCGAGCTTCCGACCTGGAGAATCGCTTCAGATTGCGAAAATTTGGGTCAAATCAGGGTTAAAATCAGGCAAAAAATAATGTAATGTAGGCTCAGCCTAATCAGCTACTGAACAAGCCCTGAACTGATCTGTGGTTATAAAAGTAAATCAGATTTGTTTAATAAAAGTCAACCTGTTTTTTCGTGATCTTGCATCAGAATGAATGATTTTGCCCTGCCTTTTAAAACGCGTTCTGATTTTCTTCTGTAACATCATCATACACCAGTGGGCAGGGGAAATATTAACCAATAATATCATGTTTCACCACCCATGCCTGTCATTTGAGAGAGAGCACTTAGTTAACTCAGAGAACCTCCGTGATGCGGTATCTGTTGTGAAAAGACGTGCTGTTTTCCGGTCCACACTGACTTTAAATTTAGTTTGTGTCAAATTCAGAGTGTCTTAATTTGAAAAACTAGACTGCAGATTAGACTCGAGCCAATTTATCGCGATGCTCAAACAAGTTGGACGGTTTAAATGTCACCCACGGCTCCAAGATGTACAGAAGTAATTATTTTTGTCGTGCGATTTGTTTTCTGGAGCGATATGATTTTAATATGGCAACCATTTTGATGCATAATTCTGATTTTTTTAAGCAGTGCTCTGCACTAGAAGGCCTAGATGTGAGCAGAGCTTGTTGTCTTCAACTGGAGACTCTGTTGGTCATTTCTTCCGTCAGTATTTCCTAAAGTTTTGCACTTCACATTGTTGCATTTTAACTGCTAGTTTTGAATAAGGACTTGTTTATTAGCTGATGAGTTCAGTCAGGTGTGTTTTAAACAGAGAAAATAATAAGTGTACAGAGCAGAGGGGACACATTACATCTGTAATGTGGGCAGTAGGTTTTTTATTTATTTATTTATTTTTTTATTTATTAATTTAATTATGGCTGTTAATCTCATACCCTAATGGTTTATAATAACCTGAACAATCATATTTGTAATCCTCTTTAGTCCACCGTTGTCCACTTGGAAATGTATGACTAGCTGTAAAATATATAGTCTGAGAAGTAACTTCCCCCCTTTTAAAGAGTTTTCAGGTTTATCCAGTGGGCTGTAGGCAGTGAAGATAAACTAATGGTGTTTAATTGAATAGTGGTGGTTGATTATGTGCATAATGGCTTCTGCTGTGTGTCTGTCTGTGCAGTAAAATTAAAGTGTGGGACCTGCAGGCTGCTCTGGACCCTCGAGCCCCGGCCAGCACTCTGTGTCTGCGAACACTGGTGGTGAGTGACCTCAGAACACACATTGCATAAAAATAAACCCGTGCCAATGCATATCAGGATATACATACATGTACACTATATTTCTGAAACTATCCAGACAGACATTCTAATGAGTGAATTCAGCCGCACCCATTGCTAACAAGTGCTCAGTTGTGCACACTTAGCTTGTATAATCTCCATAGAAAAGCACTGACCAATAGAATGGGATACTCTGGAGCAGCTGCACATTAAGGTCTCCATGCCCAGTGCCAAGCATGGGCTAGAGCAGGGGTCTTTAATTAAAATTCAGTAAGGTCCAGTAAGGACCATCATACTTCAGTGCCATATACTGTTTACTGAAGTAGCCTAGTAGGTATATCAACATCTTATATAGTCAACAACTGAATGTCAAATCAAATAAAGTACAATTCAGTCATATTTCAACAACATTTATTGTCAGTTTTCTCTTTTTAGATCACGTCATGTGAAATAACCTCCCTATGACTCACTTTCTTCTCCGACTGCTGTGTCTCGCCTCGTCCCTCCCCTGTGTGCGTCACTCACTTGAGTCTCAGTGCTCGTTGTAATGCACAGATCTGATTGGCTGGGTAGCGTCATGTGTGACATTTACAACCCATGCGATTGGTCTGTGAGTCTCCCAGACCGCTAAAACTGTATCATAAAGGCTAGAAAAGTTACGCCAATAAAAATAGGACCACCCCATCGAAATTAAATAATTCTCCATAGTTTATCGTTTATAGGTCCAGGTCCACATAGGACAGCGTCTGGGTCCAGAATCGGACCGCGATTCCCCTATTAGTGACCTCCGGGCTAGATGCTGTGCATTGGGCTGTGGAGCAGTGCAGCTGCATTCTCTGGACTGATGGGATGAGTTGGAGTGATCCAGAGTAATTGTCCACAATCAGTACCTGACCTTACTAATGCTCTTGTTGCTGAATGCAATCAAATCCTAGCAGCAGTGTTTCAACATCTAGTGTAAAGCCTTCCCCGAAGAGCAGAGGCAGTTACTGCAGCAAGGGTGGGGCAAACTCCCTATGAATACCCTTTATTTCAGGAGAACACTGGCGTCATATATCTAATAAGGTTATTAATAAGGTTTTTATAGACTAACCAAGACCTTAATCTCAGCAACCAAAAACATGTTGGTCAGTTAAACATTGACAATACAAGTTAATATAATTAATTTCCTAAAAATATATGAAAAAACACGTATTAAATTTAACGTCTGCACCGTGTTTTCACTGAACCCTAGAGCCGAGAGTGCCGAAGCTGAAAGTTGAGATGGTAACACTAATACTGAGTTGTCCTTGTGTCTGTAGGAGCACTCGGGCCGAGTGTTCCGGCTGCAGTTTGACGAGTTCCAGATCATCAGCAGTTCCCATGACGACACCATCCTCATCTGGGATTTCCTGAATGTGTCGACTAACGGACAAATGGAAGGGCGATCGCCATCACGCACGTACACCTACATATCCAGATAGCAGGTAAGACTGCACACACACAGTGTACACTTACAGGCCTGGTATGTAGAGGGTCGTGGTCACCTATAAATGCTTATAGGATTCATGTAAAGGTGTAATTTTATATTTAAGTTATACAACTGTGAAAACATCTTGACACTTAAAACTGTCATGCGGCTCGTTTAAGGTAAGAGAAAATTCACTTGATGTTTTTCTGCCCTTAAAATTCTTTTGAAAACATCTCAGTGTGCAGTAAATCTCACATTTCACCACAATTTGATTTGATTATTCTTAAATGATTCAGTTTTTGAGGGGTCAGTGTTTTGGGTTTTTTTTTTTTAATACATTAAATAAACAAATATAACTAAAGGAATTATTTGCGGTATTATTTGTGAAATGTGGACATTGACAAGGCTTTTTTCCTCTTTACTTCTAGTTTAGTTACTGTTTTACACAGTTTGACCAGTTAGAAAGCCCTGTTTGTTTGTTCATTCATTCACATACATGTATTTTTGGGGGATTGGCACGTTTGACAACACACTATATTGCCAAAAGTATGTGGACAGTCCTCTTTCTCAGAGTTCAGGTGTTTCAGCTACTCCTGTAAGTGTATAAAGTCATGAACAAAGCTGTGCACAATCTCTATAGACAGACATTAGCAGTAGAGTGGGTCGTACTGAAGAGCTCAGTGACTTTAAATGTTGCGCTGTCGTAAGACGCCACCTTTGCCGCAAATCAAATCGAGAAATTTCTGCCCTGCAACACTACATGGACAAAAGTATTGGGACCCCCACGCAGTACACCAACAGGAGCTTTTATGACATCCCATTAAAAATCTGTGGGCATTAAAATGGAGTTGGTCCCCCTTTGCAACTAAAACAGCTTCCACTCTTCTGGGAAGCTTTCTACAAGATGCTCATCCAGAAGAGCATTTGTGAGGTCAGACAGTGATGTTGGATGAGAGGGTCTGGCTCACAATCTCTGATCTAGTTCACCCCAAAGGTGTTCGATGTGGTTGAGGTCAGGGCTCTGTGAGGGCCAGTCAAGTTCTTCCACACCAAACTCACCCAGCCATGACTTTATGGACCTTGCTTTGTGCACTGGGGCTCAGTCAGTCATGCTGGAACAGAAAAGGTTCTTCAGCTGGCACAGTGCAGTCAGGCAGGTAACGTTCTCCTGGCATTCACCAAACCCAGACTCGTCCATCAGACTGACAGAGAGAGAAGCTGATTCGTCACTCCACAGAATACATTTCCACTGCTTCCTGAGTCCAGTGCGGCGCTTTACACCACTCCATCTGACGCTTGGCATTGTGCTTGCTGTTGTAAGGCTTGCATGCAGCTGCTCAGCCATGTAAAACGGACACCTCAAACAAAAAAAGCTGCTGGTGTTCTCAGAACAATGGACTGACCATTTCTTTGATTTCTTGATTCGTTAAGTAGCAAATGATAAACCAGCTTGTACTTCTAAGGCAAAATATATCCCTGCATACTTGTTTGGGAAGCTGAAAGTGAGTCTCCTGAAAAGAATGGAAGCTGTAATAAATACTGAATACTGATATTGGAACGTGGTATTTAGTTGTTGAGGCTTCTGTGTAAATGTTCTGTTATATTTGTGTTCTTTGTATCTGTAGATCCAAACATAGTAATGTAATACAGTGCGTAATGTGTGGTCACTTAACAGGGCAGCGCTGGAGGCGTGCGGAGTGCGAGAGTGTGTGCGGGGACTGTCCTGATGACCGAGTCTCTGTGGTAGTGTGCCAGGATCAGAGGTCGAGGAACGCCACCCCCCTCCTCCACTCACCCATCTCTCTCTCTCTCTCTCTCTCTCTCTCTCTCTCTCTCTCTCTCTCTCTCTCTCTCTCTCTCTCTCTCTCTCTCTCTCTACCTCCTCTCTTTTTTCCTCATTCTGAGGGCCCCCTACACACACTCAGCCATGCTCCTCTGTCCCTCTTCTGTGGATGAGATGGAGAGAGGGATGCCATTGAGGAAGAGCATGGAGCTCCGCCCCCACATCTAAAGTGATGGCTGCCCTAGCCCCGCCCCCTGGACCCAAGGACTATATATCTATCTTGATTTATTTTTTTTGTTTTTTGTTTTTTTTTCCTCATTTTTTGGTGAAAAGAAGAAGGAAAAAAAAAAAAGAAACAGTGGAAGAGAATCTTCCATTGAGGACTGTACTTGCATGAATGAATGAATGATGGGACAGTAGAGCCGGTCAAACCCCCTTTTTTTCGTCTTTCTTTTTTTAATTCTTTTCCTTTTTTATTTGGGAAATCATTCATTTCGCTTTCTTTGTGATATTGTACTAATAATTGTAATTCTCTCCCTTTTCCAAATTCTCTTCTCCGATATGTCGCGCTGTCCCTCCATTTCCCTGCTAGCTCTAGCTTTATCTTTCTCTCCTCCTCCGTCTTGGTCCCTTTTGCTGTCCGCTTGTCTAGGTTCCGAATGACCCATAACTGATCTGAATTTAGTTGTAAACAGAAATGTCTTGTCTAAAATGGTGTTGTATATTGAAAAGATTTTTTAAAGGAAAAAAAAAAACATTATTATTAATAAGAATAAAGTACTTGACTGTGAAGGAGTGTTAACAAGCTGGCGCAACCAGATTGCTTTTAATGCAGATGTGCGTTTGCCTGCATGCTTGTTTTTAGGGACGAGTCCGAATGTTTGAATGTTCGCTGGTTCATGAAAGTAAGTTGAATAGAAAATTAGGATTTTTCAGTATGCAAATTAGCTTATTTCTAATATATTCTCAAAAGAACTATGAGCTGTCTGAACTCTGTCTCCACTAGAGGGCAGTGTAGAGCCTGTGTCTTTATGGTTTGGTCACAGTTTCATATCTGTGTATTCCATAGAAAGACTACTGCAGCCGGCTAAAGGCTTCCGTACAATTATCGCCTGCAGACAAGTGCAGATGTTTCTCTGCATACGTTGTTACCCTGTTCTTCAGTGGTCAGGACCCCCACACAGCATGTACTTTGTGGGTGGTGGATCATTGTCAGCACTGCAGTAACACTGACGTGGTGGTGGTGGTGTGTTAGTGTGTGTTGTGCTGGTGCGAGTGGATCAGACACAGCAGTGCTGCTGGAGTTTTTAAACACTGTGTCCACTCACTGTCCACTCTATTAGACACTCCTACCTTGTCAGTCCACCTTGTAGATGTAAAGTCAAAGACAGTAGCTCATCTGCTGCTGCACAGTTTGTGTTGGTCATCCTCTAGTCCTTCATCAGTGCCCACAGGACGCTGCCCACAGGACGCTGTTGGCAGGTTCTCAGTCCAGCAGTGACACTGAGGTGTTTAAAAACTCCAGCAGCACTGCTGTGTCTGATCCACTCAGACCAGCACAACACACACTAACACACCACCACCATGTCAGTGTTACTGCAGTGCTGAGAATGATCCACCACCCAAATAATACCTGCTCTGTGGGGGTCCATGGGGGTCCTGACCATTCAAGAACAGGGTAACAAAGTATGCAGAGAAACAGATGGACTACAGTCTGTAACTGTAGAACTACAGAATGCATCTATATGGTCAGTGGAGCTGATAAAATGGACAGTGAGTGTAGAAACAAGGAGGTGCTTTTAATATTATGGCTGGTCTGTACGTCCAGTGCAGATTATCCAGTCTTTCTTCTGAAATGAAGGGTATTAATAGCGAGTTGGTCGCTCTTTCCTGCAGTAACAGCGTCTACTCTTCTGGGAAGGCTTTACACTAGATGTTGGAACATTGCTGTGAGGATTTGATTGCATTCAGCCACAAGAGCATTAGTGTGGTCAGGTGCTGATGTTGGATGGTCAGTTCTGGATCACTCCAACTCATCCCAGAGGTATTGGATGGAGCTTCATCACTCCAGACAACACAGTTCCACTGCTCCACAGCCCATACTGGGGGCCTTTATACCCCTCTAGCCCACACCTGGCATTGAGCATGGTGATATTAGGCTCATGTGGATGCTCCAGAACAGCTCATTTTATTGGTCAGTGCTTATTTATGGGGATTATACTACAACCCCATTTCCAAAAAAGTTGGGATGCTGTGCAAACTGTAAATAAAAACAAAATGCAATGATGTGCAGATCATTTAAACCATATATTTAATTGGAAATAGTACAAAGACAACATATCAAATGTTGAAACTGAGACATTTTTATTGTTTTTTGAAAAATATTTGCTCATTTTGAATTTGATGCCCGCAACATGTTCCAAAAAAGTGGGGACGACGGTAACAAAAGGCTGGTAAAGTTGTGTAATGCTAAAGTTGTGTAATGCTAAAAACACCTGGTGGTTGATGTCTGCATGATCAAATAGTACAACAATTCAAGAATAACGTAAAATAGCAAAGAACTTTCATCATCTATGGTACATAATATCATTAAAAGATTCAGAGAATCTGGAGAAATCTCTGTATGTAAGGGACAAGGCCAAAAAACAGTATTTGCTGGCCATGATCTTTGGGCTCTCAGGCAGCACTGCATTGAAAACAGAAATGATTCTGTAGTGGAAATCACTGCATGGGCTCAGAAACACTTCTGAAAAACACTGTCTGTGAACACAGTTTGTCGCTGCGTCCACAAATACAAGTTAAAACTTTAAAACACAAAGAAGAAACCAAACAGATCCAGAAACACCGCCGCCTTCTCTGGGCCCGAGCTCATTTAAAATGAACTGAGGGGAAGTGGAAAAGTGTCCTGTAGTCCGATGAATCAACATTTGAACTTCTTTCTGGAAATCATGGACACACTGTCCTCCGGGCTAAAGACCCCTCAGCTTGTTACCAGTGCACAGTTCAAAAGCCAGTATTCATGATGGTGTAGGGGTGCATTGGTGCACATCTGTGAAGGCACAGTTAATGCTGAACGATATATACATGTCGTGCCAACATATACTGCCATCCAGACGTCTTTTCCAGGGAATTCAAAATTAAAAAAAAACAAAAATAATTCTCAGTTTCAACATTTGATATGTTGCTATTGTAGTATTTTCCTTTAAAAATACTGTTTACATGATTTGCATATCATTGCATTCTATTTGTATTTACGTTCTGCACAGCGTCCCAACTTTTTTGGAAATGGGGTTGTAGATGTGTGTGCACAATTGAATGCCTGTGTCAGAAATCATCTGAATTCTCCAGTTACAAGGGCTTTCTAGATATTTTTGCACATAGTGTAGTATTGGAATAGTAAGATGCTCAGTGGTGTCACCGTGTTTCTTGACCCGTCCAGGGTGCGGAAGCCTGCAGCCTTAAGATTCCTATATTTATTTATCTATTTTTTTGAGAATTTTTTCCAACAATGCTTTAAAATTTCAGTTTGAATGTCAAGTTTGACTTGAAATGTCCATTTTAAGTTTTCATTTGTTCGCATGCAGGAAGCAATTTCTGATCTAAAGGCTATCGGGCATTGCAAAACCGTTGCATTGTACGTCTTGGAAATTGGACATTCTATCAATGATCTGATACAACAGCATTATGTTAACACCAAAGTTTGCAGACAGTCAGCACAAGTCAGCACTTCACTCCAGCACTCCTGCTTCCCAGCGCTAGTGTTGTTAATGAGTTCTGCAGCAACATGATTATAGTCGTCATCAGGCTGTGTTAGAAGTTACAAGGGAATTCTGCAGATTTTCCAACAGAAGTTAGCTTAATTGAATCGTTAAGAGTGGTTTGATGTGAAACGCTTTGTTCTAGAGAAACTTCTAGAGAATCTGTGGTAGTGACCCTCACAGACCCCTCACATTTATTACGTGAACACATTGTTTTTTTTGAAACAATGTTTTATGACTTTTCTGAGAAAGCTTTTTTAAATCTGATGGTGGGGGGGGTACATGCAGGGCCTGCCCAGTAAAACGTTACACTGTTTTCCCATCAACATTCCATATAGAAGGTCAGAAGACTCGTGTAGGTTCACTGGTGGTTTTGGATAGTAAATAAAATGTCTGTATTTGTGTTGTAGTCATGGCGACCCCTGGTTCCCATCACCACCACTGTAAAGAAATCTGGACCATTTCACACCAAACCACTCTGAATCTCTCTGATTACATCTCAACATTTGAATTATGTGAACATTGTGAACAATTCAAAATTTGAATTGAGTAGTTTCAGCATCACAGCCTAAATACTTCATGAAAAATAGCTCATTTTTAAATCATAGTAGGTTTTATAGATGAAATATATCCGTATCTGTGCCAACCGAAGTTTTCAATGAATATCAATATCGGAAATGATTGTAAGTGAATCAGAAGTGGTATTGCACCATCTCTAGTTATTAACTATGATCACATCTGCTTATGAACCACTGGTCATTACTGAGCTTTGATTTTGCGAATATACAGTAAAGTAATGGGATATTTCTTAGATGATGAAATGTTTTCTTCTCTTGTACCGGTTCATTAGCAGCAAACAGGATCTGGCTGAACGTCGGCTTCGGTACGAATTGGTGAAAATACTGGAGGCCGCTTTGTGCCAAGAGTATAGAATGTGTGCGAGCGAGTCTTTCAAAGGGAGGATCAAAGTAAGTCTGCAGCAGAAAGACCAACGCTGCCCAATACGGCTGATCAGGAATGCAGAGGAAAACTAGAGCCCTCACACTTTCACCACACACAGCTGGGGACGCTTTTCCAGGCACAGATTAAGCCTAGTCCAAGAATGAAAAGGCTTTTCAATCGTGAATCCCCACCGACATTTGTAATTTAATTTAAGGCTAATCTAATATGTGTCTGGAAGGCCATGGTGTACACCTGTAATCTTCTCTCCCCCTGATCGTTTTCACATATTTCACCAACTGCTCTACTGCAGTTTCTCTCGCTCTTAATGACCAGTTCTCCAAAACGCCGCTGCTGGCCTTGATAACGAAACCCTAGTCACTTAGATCTGTTCTAAGTAATGAAGAAACCGTTGGCTTTGGTTTTTATGGCAGTCTTTCTCGATCTTACGGTGACTGCTCTCAATATGGCTGACTGTTCTATTCCATCGCGGCCTGTTTTCTTTAGAGGAGCGCTGGTGAAAATGAAAAATGTAACCGTCACAACATCTGTTGTAAACATGTCTACTTGCTTCCTACAGCTTTGCTGCAGTAGTTCTTAGAGTAAGACTTTTTGGTTTGAAGACTACAACAATCTTCTGGTGATGTAGCTGAAAAACTACAGTTGCTTTGGGTGATTTTTTGAGGTTGGTCTATTTTTTAAATGCTTTTTTTTTAATCCTAGCTTACAAATACAGAAGGAAATCAGCTAAAAAGAAGAGTATTGTCTGTATAACAGTCTTCAAATCACCATTACAATGGAAAGAATGCATCACTCAAATGATATAAAAAATGACTTGTCAGATGAGGAGTGACAAACTAGAAGCTAAAGCTAGCAAGGGAGCCTAGTTATCTAGATCCACTGGCCTGTAGTGCTTTTCTTTCCACTTGAAGTCAATAGTGGGCTGAAACTGAGCTGATCAGTTGGATCAGGAGTGTTGGCAGCATGGAAAACGTTGAAGTCCAGGGCAGTGGGCCTCCAGGAACAGGGTTAAAGAACACTGATATTGATACCTCAGTTTGGCTTCTTTTCCCTGATTTAAAGGGTGTAATACGTGTCTCATGCGTCCGTGTTGTGGTAAATAAAGCTGGAGTTGCTGTTTTTTATTACAGTTTTGTTCCACAACTGAGGTGAGAGTTGCAGTAATGTTAAACCCTTATATCATTGGCTAGAATTGCAGTCAGGATAGGTTGACACCACAGGGATTCCCATTGTATGGTTGTATGTATCTGCGTAACACATGCCGGGTGTTGTAGTGAGAGAACACTGAACATGAAATTGATATAAAATCAATGTGCGAAACACCCCGTGGTATTTGGGGTGGGTCTCATGTCGGCTGGCTACTCCAGCATTGGTGGGCTGCTAACTCACTTGCCATAGTGGTGCGGATGCTAGCTTCATGGGAATGGTTTGACCATTCTTCTTCTGGAAATGCTCTTTTCTAGTTTGGTAATGCGTGGACATTAACTGAGATCGTATACACATCACTTCTGTCTTCGGTTTGGGAAATGAGTAACAATTCTTTCCACCGAACTCTTAGGGAATTGGGCAAGTTTTTAGGTTTACAAATATGCAACAGCAGGTTTTTCAGAGATATTTCAGGCACAGTTGCAGTTGCAAGTCTATGAAGGACCAACCAAGGTGAACCAATTTGCTAAAGCGCCACCTTGAGGCAGATCTCCTCAGAATATCAAAGCTACTTCTCCTTAGAATACCAAAGACAGAAGCCCGCTGATTGTGGGTGAAGCAGCTAAACAATGACTTTTCCCTATGTATGTATGTGAGCATCTAAAACACTGTAACATCATATATTTATTTGCAGGAACCCTGCAAAATTTTGAGACATTAAAGGGGTCCAAAAGGTTATTTAGAGTGTCCACGGCCCCCAAAGGACCCCTCGTATCTCGCACCCTGTTTAAAACCACAAGTTCTGTGAAACTGATGAGCCTGAGGGATACAGTGCTCTGCTAGAGAATACTGCATAACACAAAAATAACATCAAACTCTGTGTTTTATCAGGTCACAATGCCCCTTTACTCATAGAAAGATGTTTCAGGGCTTTAAACTGATAATAACTATGTAGAAATGACCTTAAAAGTCAAAAATATGTGTTATTGTAACCATCATTTATCATAAGCAGATGAATCTGTGGGTATTTTAGTCTATTCTTCACCCTGTCCTGTTCCACCAGGTGGAGATAGAACAGCTTTAGTTGAGAGAATCTGAGGAATGTCTGGCTGATAGGATTCTAATAATAAAACACCGCCATGCAAAATGTCAACAAAATAAATATTTTAATAACAACCTGTATCAAAATAGTTCATCTCTCACTTTTACCTTCAGCCCCAAGTAACAGTGGGACAAAGTAGCGTAACTGGGTCTAACTGGACATTGGCTTTTATACAATCTTCAGCGTTGAGGACCAGAGAGGTACCAGTGTCGGCTTGAATAACTAATACATGTTCAGCTACCCGGAGTGGAGTTAAGGTCGCTCTCCAGAGATTATTTCACAACGCAGGATCTCTACATAAACAGATGAGACATCTCTGGCTTTTACTATTGGAGAGGCCTTAGGGTGTCGTCCCCAGTATGTCAAGTGAAACGAGAAGTGTCACTCCATGAAGTATTCTTGTGGGGACGAGAACCTCTGGGGACAACCATGAGACATTTGGGCAAAATGTAGGTGGGAACAAAGTGAGTGTGAAATTTCTTAACCAATGAAATGCTTTGTGAAGGTGGATCTCAGAGTCGGTGGGCAATGGTGCACTCGTGAAAATTGTCCAAGGGACAACAAGCTTGTCGTCGGCCCGTAATTGCAATGTAGGTTAGCATGGCTGAAAGATCCCCCACGAAAGGAACATTACATGCCATAAAGATAAACATCACCTCCATTAAAGGAAAAACAGTTCCATTAGCTAACAACAGCTTGTTTTGCTTGTGTTATTGATTGTACTCTAGACATTAAGGAGCAAGGAAAGAGGAATTTGGGGGTGGATTTTAAGGGGTTTCCCTGGAAAACTTGTAGAGAGGAGAATCACACTCTGTAATGTCTTCTGGTTTTCTCAAACACTAGAGGGCGCTCCCAGAGCGAGTCCAAAATGAATGGTTAAGATGGAGCATTTGAGCAAAATTCGAATTTATAATTGCTTAAACATTTAATGTAAAAGAATACATTCATTTCCTAAACACTGAAAAGCTTAAAACACAAACACCACTGTTATATTTTTAGGAGCTTTTAAACTCGAATTACAGGAGTTTAAAACAGCGCCTTGTACGTTCATAACGTCTGTGAGAGTGAACAGCCAATGAGCTGCTCTGCTCACCAACCAATCAGCTCTCAGTAGCTGTTTTAGTGAAACACACTCTTCTACTTTCTAAAATTAAAGGAAAGTTCTGAGCGAGTGATTAGAAACTATTTAAACTATACTTTTTTAGACGCTTTAGCTCCATTTACCCCAATTCATTGAGGACTTGCTCACAGGCGCCCTCTGGTGTTTTGCAGTCATGTTTTTGATACAACGGGGGAAATAAGAAGCTCTGGTTTACGCTCTTACAGGTTGTCCCCAGACGTGTATTCTTGTTACAAGATGTCTGGCCCCACAAGACTATTCATGAAACAGCCTCCTGGTGTCCATTTCTGGATATTCATTTATTCATCTGTCATTGTTCAAGGTATCAACTTGTGGCACTGGGTCAAAGCTCATACTCTCCACTGAATACTTATGTTCTCAGAAATGGCCAAACGGGGCGCATTTACATTTTAATGCCATTCAAGCGACTTACAGTTTTTATCGTGGCGAATGTAGTGTTAGGAGTCCTGCCCAAGGACTCAGTATAGCATGGTGAGCTTGCCCAAGAGGGACATCAAACCCCAGTCTTTCTTGTTGACTTGTGTGGCCACTTCATGTTACCAGCCACTACAGACCAGTGCCCCTCAATCCTGGACCTGGAGGCCCACTGCCCTGCACAGTGTAGTTCTTTTTCTGCTTTAACACAACCATTTTAACTCGAAATGAGCTGATTAGTTGGATCAGGTGTGTCAAGAGCAGGAAGACTTCTTAAAAATAAAAAATCTTAAAAATAACGCTATCAGAGAAGGTTATTTGCATTGCAAAAAAAAAATCATCTTAAGACTAATTATTATTATTATTATTATTATTTTTTTTAAAGATTGTTGATATTGATGTTGCTATAATGAGGCTATATAACTCAGTGATCTCTGATCCTCCTCCTGCAGAGCTACCTTACGTGCACAGTTTACTTCCAACTTATATCCAGTAAGCTGCCCCACCACTTACTTAACTCTAATACGTCTGATCCAGCCAATCAGGGACTTGGGAAGACGTTGATTTGCTGGAGCAGGTGTGGTAAACTGTGAAAATAGGCTGTGCAGGAAAGTAGCTCTTCACAAGGGGGGCTGGACACCACTGGTATAACTGATTTCTACATGTTTTTAAGCAGAGGTGAACTACCCACCTCTGAGTTTAAGTCATTTTATCTAATGAAATATTTTCAGGTTTTTTGCTTAAATTTCCAAGAATTATTTTTTAAAACAAGCCTCATTATCTGCCAATGGAATAAGACAATTTTGGTAGATAAAACTTCTTAAAACAAGTAAAAAATCATTTTGATATTTGGCCAACATTGATGCTACTTTTGGTTTTCTTAAGGAGTCTAAACAAAAACCCATTTTCACACCTTCACTGTTGAGAGTATACTTAATATTAAAACTACGGAAAAACTCCATCGTGTCTGCTATCCTGATTCTGAATTGCATCAGAATCGTACACAGAGCACAATGAGTAGCAGAAATATGGATATAGGATGTTTTAAATCTCCAGAATCAGGAGTAGGACATGCAGAGGTCCTTCTTCTGGTCAATGGAAATGCCATACATTTATATCAGTGAGTTGTTGTTTTTGTTTTTCCTGTTTTAAATCCTTTTTCTGTTGTTGGGGCACCAAAAACTGGCCTGGCAGCTGCAGCAGTTCCTGATTAAAGGTTTTAGTGATTTCACACTCTAATCTTCTAACCAAGTACACAGTGTATCAGTATGAGCTTTTACCCATAGCCACCCTCAAACTCCAATCCTTTCTCCTATCAAGTGCTTAGTCTTCTGTGTTGGATTTGACTATTGCAGTTCAATTGAGGTCTTTACTACCACTCCTGTTTCCAGCACTGACATTAGCTACATTCATCTGGTCATTTTTGTGTGTCAGAGGGTTTAATATGCCTTTACAGTTGTCCTATAGATTAGCGTTTCAAGCAGATGCTTTGGGTCAAAGATGATGTGTTATATTATACACGTCGGTCTTTCACAGACATTCTGGCTGTGAAATGGTCAATAAAGTTTGCCTATTTTCAACGGTCAGTCACTAGTTTTTTTGGTATCATTGGACACTGGAGGGGCCTTCTTTGGCTTGAAGTGCTGTGTGCCCTTGTCATGAGTCATGGGTTCTCCGAGTTTAGTTCCTGGGTGCGTGCCCAGCCGTCTTTGGTTACATTAGATTGACTACAAGCCTCCACCCTTGATTTGACCTCTACCTGGAGGTGGGTTCCTGTTTGTATGACTCCCCAAAACATCAGTATCCGTTGAAGAAAAGCATGAACGGCTCAGACACACTAAGCCAACTGTCGGCCACTGCTGGGCCATCATTGAGTACCTGTGTCTGACTGTTCCCTTTCGCGGTTTGTCTCGCAGGCCCTAGCCTGTCCTTTTCACCACCCAGTCGTCTGCTTGAGTAAACCGTGAGTACCTAAATTAGCTTTTCAGCCTAGCAAATCAGTGCAGATCCGGAAGCAACTAGCTAGGTTAGTTTGTTTGTCTTTCAAGATACTGGGTCTTCTGGATTTTCTGTTTTTGATTATGAATGCAAACTACTGGTATGGGGAGTCTTTTCACGCAGGCATGTCAGCTTCTTTTCACGAAAGATGTCAAGCAGCAAAAGCTTTCGTTGCCACTTGTCATCTTGGAGTGTCCGAGTGGCCTGAAGTCTTCATATCTGCATGTTAACCTCCACCATGCGTTACGAGTGGAGGTCGGGAGGAGCATGGCTCTCCTGCGTCCTCCTGCCCCTCTTGCTCACGGTGGTGAAGCTGCTGTGCTGCAGGCTGGGCTGCTCTCCAGGAGGGAATCTCTTCATGAAGTGGACGTCCTGTTGGTTGGGGAGAGTCTGCGGCCCTCGCCGAGGTCGGCCCCTTTTGGTGAAGCCCACGTACCAGCCCACGTAGCGTGCCGACATCCAGGCAGTGTAGTTGTTCTCCAGCATTATCTCGATGAAGACGCACTCAGCGTTCCCACTGCTGGCTTTCTGCAGACCAAACACAAACGTTCATGCGCTGTGGTGTACAACATCTGGTGTGGTTTTCATTCATGCTCAGACATGCATCAGCATTAAGGAGCTAAATGTGTTCACCATGCTACGATAGCAAAAAGCAGGCGTGTGTAATGGAATTAGGGGACACCAAAATGCTAACGTGGCTGACGGTGGAGGAAAACCAGTCATATGATCTCATTGGGTTGATGATGACTGGCTCAAACTGAGCCTCCTTTCGTTAGCAATGTTAGCATTCTTAATGAAGGCTTACTGTAATGTTAAAGCAACTCACCCTTCCCACCAGCTTGCCCTTGCGGTTCATGCACAGGTAGAAGTTGGTCTCTTTGCCGCGAATTCTCACCTGACTCCCAAAGGTGTCGGCCTCCACAACAAGCTGGGCTTGTGAAGAGACAACACAGACAGAGAGGAATATAGATGGGCCGAGGACGTGCTCGATTTGCCTTCTCATAAACTCTGCCAGAGAAAATATTGCCAGAGAATTTTTGGGTCTTCCAGGCCAAAACACAGGCAACTCCCCATCTGCAACTATTCATTTCAATAGGTATTAGTCATCTCGGCTAATCGACATAACAAAAAAAATGTCCTTCACTGGGTGCTGCCATCTTGACAACTTCAGTCCTCACTGGCCAATACTGCATACACTGCTCTCTTTCTCTCTCTCTCTTCTCCTCGGCCGTCTGATGGGGCAAACTGATAACACTTTAATCCCCTGCAAACTTTTCTCTGGTATTTAATTTGTATTGTAGTTGAGCCTGTTCTCGTTTGAGGGAGAGCTCGATTGCTATCGGATCATTTGTACAGTCCTTGAATGACATGGAGGTCATATAAGATCGATATCACCCCCCTCCTCTCCTGCTTCCCCAACCAACACGTACGCTTACATGTCCCTCTGTTCTTTGTCTTTGCCCTTCTGTTTAGGACAGAGGAACAGGGCAAATTCAATCCATCACCCGATCGATCCCTTTTTCTTTCCCTCTACACTCTTAAAAATAAAGGTTCCTGGCTTGGATGTGAGGTTCTTGGGATGGCCTGTAGTTTGTTTAGAACCTGTATATTACGCAAAGGTTCTTCATAATTTGAAATCGTTCTTCACAATTGTACATCTATAGAAATTGCTTAGGTTCTTTGGCCTCTTTTTGCAGGCGATCTAGTGGCATTTCTGCTGATGGAATGGATATTTTTTAATGAATTTAAGCAAACAAAACATTATTCCCTGTAACTCTGAGCGTGTTTACATGAACTCAATAATCTGTTTATAATCAGATTTTTGCAGATTTTTATCTGATGATTCAAATGGTCTTGTAAACAGCACACTCTGATTTCTTAAATCGGAGTAACGTCTAGAAATCCGATCAAGAAATCTGATAAAGAGGCTGGATTTCAGCTCAGTAATCAGATTTCTCAGTGCATGTAAACTCTTACTCTGATTTCTTTCAGATTTCTCAGTCTGTGCATGTGCGTTTAATAAGCGAGCAGCGTTGCCGCGAGACGCAGCAAAGCACTTTTGGAGCGACGCTGAAATCAAATACATGCTTGATGAAATGAAGGATTTAAATATTCTTCATCTTCTAGATGATGTATGTTCATATTTTCAGGTAAAGTCTGAGGTTTACATTATGTTTACGTCATGTCTTATACTGTGACTGTGATGGCTGGTTGCAAAGCAGAAATCCAATTACTGTCTGACTCATGTAGGCCTGGAGTTTCCCCATTATCTGATTACTCAAGCACATGCAAACACGTTGATCAGATTACTGACAAAATCTGATTTTCTGCAGTTATCGGATTATTGAGTGCATGTAAAAGCACCCACTGTTGTCTCAGTGTGTGAAAGTTGGGACTCTGAGTTGAGCTGCTAGTGAGCAATGAGGTGTGAAAGGGGAGCGGTTGAACCCCCTGCTGCAAAAACTATCAACATTTTGAATCAACATTTGCAAATGTCTATCCAAGAGGACCATTTGCACATTCATTTTGCCAGTAGCGTAACTACCAGGAGGGCAGGGCAATTGCACTGGTACCCATGATGCAAGGGGACCACCACCTGAAATCTTTATTAGGCCCATTCAAAGAGATACTGATACCCAAGACCCACAGAAAGATCCAATTTCTTAATAAAATACCTCACCTTTGCAATATGATATATTCATTATGTGGAACCTTAAATGGGTCTCCATTTAGGACAACCTTAGATGCTAGTGGGTGGCCTTGAGATAAATAATGAGTAAACGAGCACATTACAAATTAATTTGTTTATTAATTGAACTAATCTTTTCCATATGGGAGGGTCTTGTTCATTTTTTGGCCCTTAAGGTCCTGGTTACGCCACTGCTGTTAGCAGACAGTGGATGTCACCGTATTTGCAAATGTCCTTCTTGGGATGTGGACGTTCTTACCGAATTTGTCCCCATCTTCTCCCTTGGCCAGGATCTTCCTGCCGAGCACCTGCACATGTTTGCCGCTGGTCCTGCTGTACAGCTGGTAGACCCTGTGATGCTTTCTGCTCAGACTATCCCTCACGCCCGTCTGGTTCTCCACATGCTCGCCGAAATCAACATTCTCCACTGCTTGAACCTACACAGAGAGTTAGGAACAGAAGTCATAAAGCCATGGGTTCATACACTGAATATACACCGATCAGGCATAACATTATGACCACCTCCTTGTTTCTACGCTCATTGTCCATTTTATCAGCTCCACTTACTATATAGGTGCACTTTGTAGTTCTACAGTTACAGACTGTAGTCCATCTGTTTCTCTGCATACTTTGTTAGCCCCCTTTTACCCTGTTCTTCAGTGGTCAGGACCCCCATGGACCCTCACAGAGCAGGTACTATTTGGGTGGTGGATCATTCTCAGCACCGCAGTAACACTGATGTGGTGGTGGTGTGTTAGTGTGTGTTGCTGGAGTTTTAAACACCTCAGTGTCACTGCTGGACTGAGAATAGTCCACCAACCAAAAAAATCCAGCCAACAGCGTCCTGTGGGCAGCATCCTGTGACCACTGATGAAGGACTAGAGGACGACCAACACAAACTGTGCAGCAGCAGATGAGCTATCGTCTCTGACTTTACATCTACAAGGTGGACCGACAAGGTAGGAGTGTCTAATAGAGTGGACAGTGAGTGGACACAGTGTTTAAAAACTCCAGCAGCACTGCTGTGTCTGATCCACTCGTACCAGCACAACACACACTAACACACCACCACCACGTCAGTGTTACTGCAGTGCTGAGAATGATCCACCACCCAAATAGTACCTGCTCTGTGAGGGTCCATGGGGGTCCTGACCACTGAAGAACAGGGTAAAAGGGGGCTAACAAAGTATGCAGAGAAACAGATGGACTACAGTCTGTAACTGTAGAACTACAAAGTGGAGCTGATAAAATGGACAATGAGCGTAGAAACAAGGAGGTGGTCATAATGTCATGCCTGATCGGTGTAATAAGTAATGTGTTATATTGTATGCATCATTTTCGTGTTGTCTTTTATCAGTGATTGGCAATGATTGGTTATGATGTAATATGTCATCACTGTCGGAACAAAACCTTGTGCTCAGATTTGTCATTTCTTTTTTTACATAATCTGAAGGCCTAGCTGCCTTTTACACTGTGAGGAAAGGTCATGATGAAATGACCAACAGATGGTCCAAAATGACTCATTCTACTAGCTTACAGTGAAGGTTAAGTTTTTCCCTTCTCCTGAAAAGTCTTGTTTGGAGGTACGAGGGTTCGGTTCTGACAGCAACGATGTGGAAATGAGCTACATATTCGAAGTCAATCCAGAGTCAGATTTACCTGCAGGAGGCTACACAGCAGCAACACGGTCTGGACGCATCTAGCAGAATGAAAAGAGAGAATTGAGATGATCTGTTATCAGACCTTAACATTCCTAAGTATGAGATAAAGCCGGGAGTGAAACGAGTGCAGTTCTGATGACAGATTGAGGAGAACCGTGGAAAAAAAAAAGCAGCAGCCACGATTAGATACAGCAAAGATGTGCTGGTCCACGCTCCCTGCTGCCCTGCTGAAGAAAGATCGCTAGAACCATTAGGGTTAAAACCTAATGGTTCTGGTTCTTCAGATTGAGTGTGTATGGTTCTATATAGTTCCAAAAATGCTTCTTTTATTGTTATAGAACTGTTGTCTTTACTAAAGAACCCTTGATTAACCGTTTTTTAGATGTAGAACCATTTCGGGCTTAAATGGCTCTTTGCATGGTGAAATTGTTCTTCAGATTAATAGAGAACATGGTTCTATGTAGCTATATGTTATTGTGACGATGTCAAGCTTCTAACAATAGATGGACCCTTTTTGATGCTATATAGAACCACTTTCAGCCAGTTCTAAATACTCTTACAAAAGATGGTTCTTCACGGGTCTTTAGTAAAGACAGTGGTTCTATTTAGAACCAGGAACACTCAAAGATCTATTTGCATGCAAGTCGTTCTTCAGATTGATGAAGATGGTTCTATGTAGCACCAAAAAGGGTTCTGTTTTTGTGACGATGTCAAGCTTCAACAATAGAAGAGTCATTTTTGATGCTATATAGAGCCATTTTCAAAAAGGCGCTATATAAAACCATATACAACACATTCTCCATCAATCTGAAGAACCATTTCACCATGCAAAGAACCATTTAAGCATGCCAATGGTTCTTTGAGTGCTCATGGTTCTAAATGGAACCATTTCATGCCTGAATGGTTCTTTGCATGGTGAACTGGTTCTTCAGATTGATAAGAGACTGTGTTGTATATAGTTTCTGTAGAACCTTTTCGTAGAAAATGGTTCTGTATAGTACCAAAAAGAGTTCTGCTATTGTGACAATGCCAAGCTTGCAACAACAGAAGAACTCCTTTTGGTACTATATAGAACCATGTACAACATTCGCCATCAATCTGAAGAACCATTTCACCATACAAAGCATGCAAATGGTTCTTTGAGTGTTGGTGGTTCTAAATAGAACCACTGTCGTTACTAAAGAACCCTCAGCAAACCATATTTGTTTAAAAGTATGGAACCATTTCATGCTCGAACACTTCTTTGCATGGTCAAATAGTTCTTCAGATTGATGGAGAACGTGTTGTATATGGTTCTGTGTATATGGTTCTACTTTCTAATGGACATTAAAGGTTACAGAACACTAGTGTCCTGTTGGACACCCTAAGATCCCAATGGGACACCATCAGGAATCAGTCCCAGAGCACCTGTTAGAGTCCTAGTAAACCATTTGAGTCCTGCACTGTGGTATCAACCCATCGGGACAGTGCAGAACACCATTAGTGACCATTAGTGACCACCAGGAGCCAGCTGACCTTTTTTCAGCAGGGTGTGATCTGAGCAGTGCTCTGCCTGAAGCCCTTAAAGACTGACTGGGGTGCATCGAGAAGTTCTGGCTCGAATGTGAAGCACACGCATGCACGAGACAGGTGGCACGATGCCACAAACGCAGCCGAATCTGCAGACAGTTCAACTTACATGATGGGAAGTGGAGGGAGGATGGGCTGCATGGCTCGCGCGCTCCAGAGAGTGAGACTGCAGGCTGTTTTTTCGCTTGAGATCGTTTCAGAAACACGAGCATCTGAGCGCGCGTGACAGGACGGCGGCTGGTGACGGAGCCCTGTTCACGCGACGGAGACCGTCCCCTGCTGGAGCAGCACAGGTGAAGCCCACACGCCGCTCTGTCCGGACAGCCCGCCGCGCAGCTCCTCTGTCTTCATGACAGGCTTTCAGATCTGAGCGCTGTCGAGAAGCTGGAGTTTTCATAGGGCGAAAAGACAGTTAGGAATAAAAATATATAAATATATATGTGTAAAAAGGGGGGGTGGGGGTCTCTTCCAGGTTCTCCTGCAGTGTCGGGCTGCTCTGCTGGTTTTTCTCCCCTTTTTCTGCCCTCTTTTGTTTCGGTAAAGCTCCCCTCGCTCGCCACAGGACAGCGCGTTTGCTGAATGGGGAGGAAGCGCCGCGCGCCGGAGTGGAACGAGGAGGAGGAGCGCGCGGGGCTGGGACGGTGCGAGCGAGCAAGCGGGTTCAGTTGTCGCCAAGGGGTGGGAGGGAAGGAGGGAGGGAGAGGCGGTGGTGGTGGTGGGGGGGGTGGGGGGGCATCGTGGTCCACCACCATCATGGCAAAAATATGAAGTATGTTTCCGTTTAAATATGAAATATGATAATAAATACAATAAAATGAGGCTTTGGAGCGCGTTTTGACTGTCATACTTAAAAAAAAGAGGGTTCTTTAGTAAAGGTAGTGGTTCTGTTTAGAACGCTGAGATCCATATACACTAAGGGGTTTTCTAGAGTCTTTAATAAAGGCAGAGGTTCTATTTAGAACTATGGACACTCAAAGAACCATGTGCAGGCTTACATGCTTCGTAGTGTGGTGAAATGGTTCTTCAGGTTGATGGAGAATGTGTTGTAGGCCTACATGGTTCTGTGTAGCATCAAATAAGGTTCTTCTGTTGTTGTGATGCCAAGCTTGTAACAATAGAAGAACCCTTTTTGATGCTATATAGAATCATTTCTATATAGAACCATGTACAACACATTCTCCATCAGTTGGAAGAACCATTTCACTGTGCAAAGAACCATTTAAGCACGCAAAAGGTTCGTCGAGTGTTCATGGTTCTAAATAGGTTGTCTTTACGAAAGAACCGTATTTTTTTTTAACAGTGTAGAGCCATTTCATGCTTGAATGGTTCTTTGCATGGCGAACTGATTCTTCAGATGGAGAATGTGTTGTATATGGTTCTATGTAGCACCAAAAAAGGCCCTGTTATTGTGACGATGCCAAGCCTTTAACAATTGAAGAACCCTTTTTGTGCTGGTTCCATATAAAACCATATACAGCACGTTCTCCATCAATCTGAAGAACCATTTAACCATGCGAATAACCATTTAAGCTGGCAAAGAACCATTTAAGCATGCAAATGGAGCCATTGTCTGTACTAAAGAACCCCCATTTCATGCTTGAATGATTCTTTGTATGGTTCTTCAGATTGATGGAGAACGTGTTGTATGTGGTTCTATGTAGGACCTGTTTGAAAATGGACCAAAAAGGGTTCTGCTATCGTGACAATGTCAAGCTTGCAACTATTTTTTTTTTTGGTGCTATATAGAATCATATACAATACATTCTCCATCAATCTGAATAATAATAATAATAATAATAATAATAATAATAATACATATTTATGTAGCACTTTTCATTTTAATTACAACATAAGTAAAACATTTAAAATACAAAACACTACAGTGAAAATTATAAATGATGAAAGAAAACAATCCACTTCTAGACACGTCCTTGCTTAATCAGATATATTTATATATTTTTTAAATCTGTATTTATAAAGATAAATCGGGCTTTCATTGCTCATATTATCTAGAATGCTGTTCCAGAGTTACGGGGCTACGTAAGTAAATCCACCAACTGAGCTGTAAGAGATCCAGAGTTTGCAGCATGCTTGAGCAAAGTGGCCTAGATGGGCTTCAGCATATCAGTAAGATATAACATGAACTGGGCCATTAAGAGATATTGACACTCTTGGGTACCACTGGTAAGGGATAACGGGGCAGGGGGCAGGCACACTGGATTTGATCAGTAGCTAATTGCTTTGCCTGACCACAATGACCACACCATGTAAAACTGTAGTTGATCCTCTCCTAACTCTCATGTTCTAACTCTGAAGATAACCGTTACCATCTGGCTAGTGGTGGCTGCTACATATGACCTCCAGTGGAACTTGTACTGGCTGGTGGCATCTCATCTCATGTTCAAGTTAACCAATTAGAATTAAGCAGGCTGTGCCAAATATGCCAACTGTACTATCAGTAATACACTGATCAGGCATAACATTATGACGTTGTTTCTACGCTCATTGTCCATTTTATCAGCCCCACTTACTATATGGGTGCACTTTGTAGTTCTACAGTTACAGACTGTAGTCCATCTGTTTCTCTGTGTACTTTGTTAGCCCCCTTTTACCCTGTTCTTCAGTGGTCAGGACCCCCATGGACCCCCACAGAGCAGGTACTATTTGGGTGGTGGGTCATTCTCAGCACTGCAGTAACACTGATGTGGTGGTGGCGTGTTAGTATGTGTTGTGCTGGTATGAGTGGATCAGACACAGCAGTGCTGCTGGAGTTTTTAAACACTGTGTCCACTCACTGTCCACTCTATTAGACACTCCTACCTTGTCGGTCCACCTTGTAGATGTAAAGTCAGACGATAGCTCATTTGCTGCTGCACAGTTTGTGTTGGTCATCCTCTAGTCCTTCATCAGTGGTCACAGGACGCTGCCCACAGGACGCTGTTGGCTGGATATTTTTGGTTGGTGGACTATTCTCAGTCCAGCAGTGACACTGAGGTGTTTAAAAACTCCAGCAGCACTGCTGTGTCTGATCCACTCAGACCAGCGCAACACACACTAACACACCACCACCACATCAGTGTTACTGCAGTGCTGAGAATGATCCACCACCCAAATAGTACCTGCTCTGTGAGGGTCCATGGGGGTCCTGACCACTGAAGAACAGGGTAAAAGGGGGCTAACAAAGTACGCAAAGAAACAGATGGACTACAGTCTGTAACTGTAGAACTACAAAGTGCACCTATATAGTAAGTGGAGCTGATAAAATGGACAATGAGAGTAGAAACAAGGAGGTGGTCATAATGTTATGCCTTTAGTGGTGGTTTAGTGGTGGCTGTGACATCTAAATATGCTTTGCAGAGCTATGGCTAGTTTTCCCCTTAGCTTCCTACTGTGGCTTAGCAAAAAACCAACATGGCTGTTCACGACCACAAGTTTAGTTCAGCTCCCTGCAATATTGGAACCTTATGACAGACCTTGACTCACTCATGCATGAACTGCTACACATTGCTTATGTCACAGAAGCAAACCAAAGTCAGATACTAGCTTTCAAGCAAGGCTCAAGCTCAGAAATACTTAACCACTCATAGAACTACAAACAGGCTTAGAACTCATTACCTGCTGATTTACCTCATAAGCTGGTTAATTTGTCACTGGGCCAAATTAAGTCCTTCTACATTCTAGTGATACCATGTTACTGTCACATACTATTGCACATTGTTTTGGCATTGAAATACTTCTTGCCTCTCTGCACTGTTAGAAATAAAGGTTCTGTGCAGGTACATTTTTCGATTCATCAAGGTACAGACTATGTAAATGTTCCCTCAAAGGTACAACAGTGGTTTTAAGGTCCAATTGTGGACCTTAAGTAAGTTTTTCCAGGTGAAAAGTACATATTTGTACCTTTTCATAACCGAATGTTTTAAACAGAACAGTAAAATAAAAGCCTGGAGACGAGACGGGGTGTGTGGAGTCAGTACAGCTTAGAACATATCATTTCAGTGGATTATGGTTCAGTTATGTTCCCTGACTAAAGGTACTGAGATGGACCCTTGAGGGAACCACCCCAGTGACAAGAGGGAAACTGCTCCAGTGACAGTTTACTACCTTTATTTCTGAGAGTGTGTACTGATAAGTGTTTCATCAACAAGGGGGCTTGGGCCTTGTGTACCTTCTGCCTTGAATACTGTCCACATCTCCACTTACCTCACTACAAACTGCTCACCTAGACCTGATCTGAGCAACCAAGTCATGTCCTCAATGGTAGGAGCCACCGCTGGGAAAGTTGAGACAGCACCAGGAGGTGGTTCAGATGATACAATGTGGTCTTGCTGGAATTATCGGCATGCTAGTACGACTCGCCAGAGCAGCTAATTTAAGCCTTACCTCTGCTTCCCTTCATCCTGAAGACATTGCACAGGATTCAGAGCTGTTTTACTACAGGCTCCACAATAGTTCCCAGTACTGCTGTCACTTTGAAAGGTTTCACCATGAAAGCTTTCACTGACAAAGAATGTAACTGAGCTTCGGTGAACTGTGGAAGACAATCAGAGTTGCCAGAAACTTGGAATCTGCCAAGATTCTTGGAAAATACCTTTCACATTAGGCATTTCTGTTGGTAAAAGATGTGACCTGTGCTCAGGACGTTCCAATTTGCCAGAATTCATAAAGCCACAGGTGCATTCATAACCAGATTTCTGTCTAGTCCCAAACCGCAAAAGCCATAGACCACAAATATTTTCCATGGACAGGGCCTGTTAAGATCCATTTCCCCCAGAGATGAAGGATGACAGAGACAGAGATTAAGCATGATTAACTTTGTGAGTTATTTTTCCTTCCTCTTTTAAGCATCTCAAAACCTCTTGAAAGGGAACCTTTTAAAAAGGGAGTAGGTAAGACGAAACTCTATTAGAATATGACAAAAGAGGAAAGCGAGTGTGAGGGAGGTATGTAAGCAAAGAGCAATTCCAAAATGAACATTGCTTTGGGATTTCGGCAACACTGTTCAGTCCCCCTCCCCACTTCCCTGACCACAACAGAACCGCAGACACCCGGTCAGCCAACAAGCGCCAGTAGTGCGCGCAACCCCCGCCCCGTTGCTCCCGCACCCCTGTACCCCATCTCGCAAGAGAGCTGTGCAGAGCCAGAGAGAGTGAATGGAAGGAGAGATGAGGTTTCTTGGCAGTACCGAACGTCTTAAATGTTCCGTGTCACATT